AAAATTTAACCTCACGGTTATTGTGACCAAAATTATCACGGTTTTCGGTATTATTGCGGTATTTTTTAAACTGTGTTGCATATGTTCAGAAAGCATTGATAGTCCTGTTCTACACAAACTGAAATAGTTCTGAAAAGGTTTAACAGTGTTTATTAAACCTAAAATAACACAAAGCCTTAGCAAAAGTGCAACTTTTCACAAGTAAAGGAACAAATAGCTTATTTTTCTGGAACATGTTACAGTAGTCAGTGCAGGTTTAAATTATACAAATCCAATCATTCGAAACATAAACAATATGTAAACAAATCAAAGAAACACCACTTGTTTTCTCATATACTTGTTTTCTTCATTATCAAAATGAAAATCTAAAACTCCAGTCCACACTTGACTTGAGCGCTGTACAAGTCAACCTTAAAAAAATATATTTATTTAAAATAGCCACTTTAAACAAATTACTAAAATAACTACTACACTATGTAATCAAATCCAAATGTTCAAGTATAAATGGCATTGAATAAGTAAACAAATCAATGACAAGGAACTAATCGTATATTTCTCTTCATCATCAACAAATAAGATGCTTCATCCAGCAACAGGGTGTCCGTGACACGGTTTAAATGCTGGCAGAGGACGCTGCGGCTGCACTATTTAGTGACTCGTTGCATTCTCCCTCAACCAAAAGTCCTCACGTCATGCATTTAAGCTAAAATGCTAATGTTAACTTACCTTGCACTGGCTGTAGAGACGTGGGTGATGGTCACGCAGATGTGCCATGAGATTTGAAGTGTTGCTGCCTTTTGCAGACGCTTGTTTCCTGCACGTTCTGCAAACGGGATAGCCGTCTTCTATTAACTGTCCCTCAGCATTTTTCAGAAATCCAAAATATGCCCATACTTCCGATTTAGTCTTCTTTGAGGGCTGATGGATGTCCTGGACGCTGCCGTCTCCCCCTTCGGCCATTATTTCAGCTTCAAAGTTTTGGTTGCAAACTAAAAAGTGCGTGTGCGCGCCGCGGGAACTTCAGCTGAAGCGACGGTGGCTGGTAAGGGTCACCGCGCCGAAACCGCGGCCACGGTAAACCCACCGAGATAATTTAGTTTTTTAAAAACTGGACGGTTATTTTTATTGTCAACTTTTTTACCGGGGTTTACCGCTATACCGGTTACCGTGACAACCCTAGACAGGAGAGATATGATCTCTCTTTTTAATTCTCATCAGAACTCTAGCTGCAGCATTTTGGACAAGCTGAAGACTTTTAACTACATTCTGTGGACTTCCTGAGAGTAATGAATTACTGTAATCCAGTCTTGATAGGGTTGGGCATCATTTGATTTTGAACGATTCAGATTCCAATTCCTCGTTTCGATTCCGGTTCCTATCGATTCCCGATTCCGACTCTTTCAAGACATGACATGCTTTACATGAGCCAGCTAACCACAGGTCCTACTTGATGAAATAATCTTAACTTCAACATGAATTTTAATTCTATGAACAACAACATCACCTTCATTTAGACAAAAATGTGTTTTGGAGAAAAAAAGAAAGATTTGCAGCCCAACCAGTGTGTTTGTTTCTGACCACAACCAACGTCTGGAAGAAGCCTCTGGGATGAGAGGCTAAATGTCTCCAACATATCCAGAAACGTCCAGCTGTTTTCAGCTAAAACTCAGGATGATCATGTCCAGGATGACTGAGAACTACACCTCCATGCTGCAGCAGCATTCAGTCAGAACAGGAAGTGAAACAAATGTAGCTGCTGTCAGTAACAATCCACCATATTTTAAACATTAAAACTCTCAACAGAATTAGTTCAGAAAGGAAATTAAAATGTTTACATCTTTGTGTGTAATTTATTATTATTATTATTATTTATTGTGGCAGAAGCTGGTGTGGTCCACCACAGATAAGCTGCACTAGCATGATGACTTTCATTATTCTACAGGTTATTGTTCAGCCTTTTGACGCCCCCCGTGTTTGACTGCTGACGCTCCGTGTGTGTTTTTATTTCTGCAGTGAGACAAACTCACCTCACACCGTCCAGAGTTTGTTCTTTAAAGCTTCTATTAAATCCACCGTGTTGACGTATTTTAACAAGTTTCCTCTACGCTGCAGTAGTTAAAGTTTACATCACGGTGTAAAAGTTCGGCAGACGCGTTTGCTTATATGTGGATGGGGGGACTCGGTGCAGCACAGACAGCTGGTGTGATCAGCTCTGAAAAGCGTTGATCACAATTTGTAGATCACGTTTATTTTTCACGGAGATTGGCTGCGGATTCCTCTTCCGTTGGCATACAAGGAATCAAAATAAAAAACGATGAGCGATTCAGGAAAAATGAACAGTTGGAACCGGTTCCAATCGATGCTCGATGTCCAACCCTAGATGTAATAAATGCATGAACTAGTTTTTCAGCATCACTCCTGGAAAGGATGCATCTAATCTTAGCAATATTCCGCAGGTGGAAAAAGGAAATCCTACAAACCTGTTTAATGTGGGATTTGAATGGCATGTCCTGGTCGAAGATAACACCAAGGTTCCTTACTTTGTTCTCGGAGACTAATTTAATTACTTACAGGTCAAGTGATTGACTAAGCAATTTACTTTTCTGAATTTCAGGTCCAAAGATGAGAACTTCAGTCTTGTCTTGATTTAAAAGCAGAAAGTTTTAAGTCATCCAATTTTTTATGTCTTCAAGACAAGCCTGTAATCTACCTACCTGATTAGGTTCATCAGGGTTAATGGATTGATATAACTGAGTATCGTCAGCATAACAGTGGAAGTTTATCCCATGCTGTATAATGATTTTACCAATTGGAAGCATTTATATATAGTAAAAAGAATTGGTCCAAGCACTGAACCCTGTGGTACTCCACAAGTAACCCTGGAGTATGAAGAAGATTTGTTTTGTTCTTTTACGAAATGCAATATATCAGACAGGTAGGATTTAAACCAGCCTAGCGCTGTTCCTTTGATCCCTACAACATGTATGGCATTCAAAACTTGAGTTTGAATCCCAACAAAATGGAGGTCCTCGTAGTTGCACCTGAGAAGGAAATTTCTGGTATAAAAAGAAGCTCCTAGGTTTCCTGTTCTCTTTTGTTCAACCCTTTGTACAGAACCTAGGTTTCACATAGGGCTGGACAATAATTCAGTAACAATATATGTCGATCAGTAGACATGTGGTTCAATAGAAAACAAATGGATCAATAAAAACTTTAAGTTTCCAATTTTTCATTATAGCCTATTGGGTAGCTTTTTTCTAGAGTCATTACTTACCCCCAACAAATCAAAACACAGACCCAAGCACGCTCTGTCACCAAGCCCTCCTCTCTCAAACCTAAACAGACAGCAATGTGACTTAAACAAGATGTTGCAGCACCATTGCTGCAATATTTTCATTCTTAAAAGTCGGACAAAAACAAACAATGTTTGTTTGCAACAGAGAATCAATAAAAAACAAGTCTGGTAATGCAACCAACTTCTTTTATCATAAAGCAATGGCCTAAGGTGGCCAGGGCTGCACTTAAAATATGCACTCACCTAAAGGATTATTAGGAACACCTGTTCATCTTCTCCTTAGTGCAATTATCTAATCAACCAATCACATGGCAGTTGCTTCAATGCATTTAGGGGTGTGGTCCTGGTCAAGACAATCTCCGGATCTCTAAACTGAAGGTCAGAATGGGAAAGAAAGCTCAGGAAGTAGAGCATGTTGTCCAGTAATCAGAAGGTTGCAGGTTTGATCTCGGCTCCGACCAGAGAATTCTGCTGTTGTGTCCTTGGGCAAGACACTAAACCCACCATGCCTGCTGGTGGTGGTCAGAGGGACCGGTGGCACCTGTGCTCGGCAGCCTTGCCTCTGTCAGTGGGCCCCAGGGCAGCTGTGGCTACATCGCAGCTCATCCCCATCAGCATGTGAATGTGTGTGTGAATGACTGATTGTGTTGTGAAGCGCCTTGGGGGGGGGGGGGGGATTGTAGGACCATATGAAGGCTCTATACAAATACAGGCCATCCATGCTTTCGTTCTTTTTTAAACACAGAAACAGTTTTGTTTACCTGTTTGTAGCTACGACTGAGCGTCAGCCTGAAGAAGCCGGCAGCTGTCGGCGAAACCGTAGCTACAAACAGGTAAACAAAACTGTTTCTGTGTTTAAAAAAGAACGAAAGCATGGATTTACAAAGACACAGCAAGAACACACCTAAGAAATACAGGCCATATAAGCAATTTTGAGCGTGGCATGGTTGTTGGTGCCAGACGGGCTGGTCTGAGTATTTCACAATCTGCTCAGTTACTGGGATTTTCACCCACAACCATTTCTAGGGTTTACAGAGAATGGTGTGAAAAGGCAAACACATTCAGTCTGCGGCAGTCCTGTGGGCCAAGATGCCTTGTTGATGCTGGAGGTCAGAGGAGAATGGGCCGACTGATTCAAGCTGATAGAAGAGCAACTTTGACTGAAATAACCACTCGTTACAACCGAGGAACGCAGCAAAGCATTTGTGAAGCCACACCCTAACCCTTGAGGCGGATGGGCTACAGCAGCAGAAGACCCCACCGGGTACCACTCGTCTCCACTACAAACAGGAAAAGAGGCTACCATTTGCACCAGCTCACCAACATTGGGCAGTTGAAGACTGGAAAAATGTTGCCTGGTGTGATTACTCTCGATTTCTGTTGAGACATTCAAATGGTAGAGTCAGAATTTGGCGTAAACAGAATGAGAACATGGATCCATCATGCCTTGTTACCACTGTGCAGGCTGGTGGAGGTGGTGTAATGGTGTGGGGGATGTTTTCTTGGCACACACTAGGCCCCTTAGTGCCAACTGGGCATGGTTTAAATGCCACGGGCTACCTGAACATTGTTTCTGACCATGTCCATCCCTTCATGACCACCATGTACCCATCCTCTGATGGCTACTTCCAGCAGGATAATGCAGTTAGAAACCACCAGTGTTCCTACCAGTCACTATTCCCATCGTCCTTTTCTGTGCTCTCAGGGGTGATGAAGCTTTGATTGGATCAACCGGGGTCTTGCACAAGAAGAGGACCGCGTCACATGGGAGTGTGTGTGCATGTGTGTGTGAGGGCCTCCCACCGGCGCCCGCTTTTCCTGGACCAGCATGGCGGGGGTCAGAGAACGTGGCTCGCGGACCCAGAGGCCGTGGTCGGTGTACCGGGCCAACACCTTTGAGCTATCCAACGAGATGATCGGGTTAGCTCTCGCGGGTGAGTTACGAATCACTCGTTGTCGTCATCCATGTTTATGTTTTCTAAAACTTGTGTTTGTTGGTTGTTTTGCAGGAAATAGTCAGGACCCAGACGAACCTGTGCTGGAGTTCAGTATTTGTGAGTTTTTGACAATATTCACCCAAACCGTTGCCGTCTGTTATAGCATTATTTAATGTTACCTGTGATGGAGCAGGACGGTTTAATATGAGATAAAGGCAGAATGAGATTTATTATTTTTAAAAATAAACTTTTAAACGTTTCCACACAGGGATCTAGGGAGAAAAATGTTTATCGACTGTTACCTGAACCTCTTTGTGTTTTGAGTGATTTATGTGTGTGTGTTTTATCCTCACCCAGCGTGCACAGGCCTGGTGATTCCCTCTATGGATCGAAAGCCCAACAGCTTCGTAGCAGTGAGCTGCACCACGCCACCCCAGGCCTTCTGGACCAAACACTCCCAGACCGAGGTCATAGAGGTCAGACTCTTAGTCAAGGCTGATCCTGATTCCAAACAACCTGAGAGATGCTCAGATTCTGTAACGTGACGTGTTACAGGGGCTGATTTCAACTGGTGTTCATCCTCTGACTGACCTGAGGTCAGCAGGTTGGCTCGGATTAAAATCAGTGGGATGTTTACCTTCACAGATGTAGAACAAGAAGAAGTTTGTTGGATAAATATTTCAATTTTTCTTAATCTAAAATCAAAAAGTAGCACATTTTCTTTTAAAAGTGTAATTTTTCTTTGTAATTTGCAACTTATTTTCTCCTTTTTCTGTTTGAGATCAAATATTTTCATTAATTTCTGCTTTAAAATGTCATACAATAAAAATTATTATCCTCTCTGGACTAAGATCAAGATAAACATAATAAAAAACAATGATAAAGTATATAAACAATGCTACAACCTTACAGTTAACTGCTTAATGAGTTTAAAATGCAAACAAAGGTCGTAGACCTTAAGTGTGAAATAAATGCGTGTACGTAAAATGATCATCAAACAGGTTTTGACTGCAACAGATTAGAATAGACACTAATTTAAGGAAATTAAAGTATTTGAAAAATGAATGAAAGGAAAACATTTCAGTATTAGTAAAGGCTCGTCTGAATGTTTGTCTGTTTAAAGTTGTTTTTTATTGTCTTCTCAGGGAACCATCAATCCCATCTTCCTCAGCAGCACAGCCTTCTTCCAGGACTCCAACATCAACCAGCAGACGCAGCTGAAGCTGGCCGTCTACGACGTGAAGGACCGCTCCCAGAGCACGGTATTAGCCCTCTTCCTTGCTAGTGCCGCGTTTAATTCGTCTCTAGACATCAGGAAGTCGTGGATGAGTGAGTTTCTTTAGGAAAATCCACAAACTGCTAGTGAAGACGAGTTAACCCTTCTTCCTTCTTTGTGCTCAGATGTATATGTTGGGCTCTGCGCTGTTTTCTGTGAAGGAACTCCTGCAGGAGAAGAGCCACAGATTAGAGCTGGAGCTCAGGTATGCTTCCACTTCAACATGATCACCTGGTTGCTCCTGGTTTTGTGCTAGATTTTAGAAAATGTTTCAGTCATAGAGAATCTGGTTGGAATCGGTAGGATGTTTCAGCTGTGTGAGTTTAAATTACTGATCTCAAATGTAAATCCAACCAGATGGTTTGACTCGGGTCTTTTCTGGCGCTTACCAAGTCCATCCATCCAGAAAAGAGCAGATTCTGGTGACATCAACTTTAAAAGTCATGTCAGATGAAATAACAAACCCATTTTTACTAAATAATAACAGGTCTTAGGCAAAGAGTATAAATATATAGCTAGGAGCCAGTATCCTTGTTGGCAGACTCCGTTTCCCAGGAGGAAATGCAAATGAAGCTAGGCAGTTTTAGGCCAGCTGAGTCTACTCAGTTGATTTTTTAAACAAATTCTCATGAAAACCAAAGTGATGAAAGTAATAGAAACATCAGGGTGAAACCTCCAAAGAACAAGAATGCTTCATGGAGACTCGTTTCATTTGAATCCTCACAGTTGTTATAAAGTAGAATCCACCCAAGTCTTAAAGGGAATTCTTCTGATTGGACATTTTGATCAGCTTGAATTATCCGTCTCGTTGTTTGAAAAACAACAACAACAACAAAAAGAAACACTTCGGTAAAATTTCTCACTTCACACTCTGGAAATGCTCAGCTCTGATATCAGAAAGAATTTTTTATTATTATTAAATAAAAAAATGTCAAACATTTAAACTCAGTTGGCTTCATTTTACAACTAAACTATGTGAACCAAACAATGTTTAATAAATTAAAATTGTCTAAAATTTTACTATTTATCAAGTGAGCATTTCTCAAATACGTGTCTTCATTTATAAAATCTTATCTGATGGACAAATACCCAAACGGTTTAATATGTATTTTAATGTAAATTTATCTATCCGCTCACATAATCCAATTCTCTATCGGCATTAGGGGTGCAGTAATATGGAATCATGTTCCCTATCTGGCAGTGGTATACAGTTGATGTTTTAAAAATGCATCCGTCCATTTTCGGCTGCTTATTCGGGGTTGGGTCGCGGGGGCAGCCACCTAAGCAGGGAGGCCCAGACTTCTCTCTCCGCAGACTTGAATCTGCACCGAAGGGCCTTGAGTGTCTGTTAGTGCTTGTTTTTGTCTTCTTAAACTTTTGCTTTGCACTATCTTCCATTGGGAAAGAGAAGGAAACTCATCTGTGGGTTATCCTGTTGTCTAGTAGCTCTGGTTTGGGCCAAGTGAAAACAATAAGTGCAATCAGGGGCTGTGAACGAGCTGTTTCTCCCCTCTCTGAAAGCACTCATCAGGTGATCTAGGTCTCAACCATTGCAATCAGCTGGTGCATGAACACCTGTTTCCAACTAGTAGCACAGCATAAGTTTGGTGGCATAAATGAAGCGTCAGCCCTTGTGTCTCAGCCCCTCTGGTGTGAAGACATACGTGTCTACCTACGCGTGTCCACAGAGCAAACAAACGACCCAGACGCTGCTCCATCGACACCTTGCGAAATGTGCCATTATCCTGTACCTGTGATCACTAGCTTCAGAGGAAGGTCACACACAGCAAACTGCTTTTGCAACCTTCAAAACCTCCGCTCGCTAAAACCAACTCCCCCCGAAGACACCCACCTGTCTAAGGGACTGTGGAACTGCCAATCGGCTGTAAACAAAGCAGACTTCATTATCGCATATGCAAACCACCTTTCACTCGAAGCACTGGCTCTCACTGAGACCTGGATCAAACCATGTGACAATGCTACCCCATCTGCTCTCTCAGTTAACCACACTTTCTCCCATACTTCACGTGCATCTGGCCGAGGTGGTGGAACGGACATGTTAATTTCCAACAAATGGATATACAGTCAGTTTCTACCCATCACTAAATACAACTCCTTTGAATACCATGCCATCCAGGTAACTGTACCGGAAAAAAAATTATTTTTGGTTGTCATATATCGCCAACCAGGTCAACTCAGAGACTTTCTTGATGAACTCGACACCCTGCTCTCCTCCATTCCTGAGCACGACTGTCCCACAATGGTCCTTGGAGACATGAATGTCCACCTGGACAATCCCAGCTCATCAGGCTTCCTGTCACTAATGTCATCATTTGATCTAAAACTAGTACAAAGTCCTTCAACTCACAAAGCTGGAAAAGCACTTGACCTCATTTTCACCAGAAACTGTGCCATAGACACAATCTCTGTCACACCGCTGCATCTTTCCGATCATTACTTCATCCATTTCAGCACGACTCTACAAGGGAGGTCCACTGCTTCCTCCCCAATGGTCTCATTCCGCCGCAACCTCCGCAATCTGGCACCCAACCACTTCTCCTCTCTTGTTGCCTCCACTCTTCCATCTCCCAGCACATTCTCTGCTTATGAAGTGAATGATGCCACCGAGTCACTCTGCTCCACACTCTGCTCTTGTCTTAATAACTTGTGCCCTTTAGCCACAAGACCTGCTAGATCCTCTCGGTCGCACCCTTGGCTAAATGATACCCTCCGGTCTCTACGCACCAATCTTAGAGCTGCGGAACGGAAATGGCGCAAAACAAAAGATCCTGGTGATCAATTGAAATTTCATGAATTACTGTCCTCATTCTCTGCCAGCATCACTGATGCAAAGAAAGCTTTCTACACTGACAAAATTCTCAGCTCTACTGACTCTCAGAAACTATTTTCAACCTTCAAAACTCTGCTCACCCCTCCATCTCCACCTCCTACCAACAATCTATCAGCTGACACCTTTGCCTCATTCTTCACTGACAAAGTGGAAGCTATAAGCAAACAGTTTACTCAACTGGCCACTCCTGAACATTCGCTACCACAAACTCGTTCTAGCTCAACCATCTCAGGCCCTACTGCTTCATTTACCTCTTTTTCCCCTCTCACTGAGAACTGTGTCCAAGCTTCTCACGTGCAGCTGCCCTACTACATGCCCACTTCCCATTCCGACTAAGCTGCTCCAAGCTATTGCTCCTACAGTAGCCGCAGCAGTCACACATGTGATCAACGCTTCACTGACATCCAGTACATTTCCCACCTCTCTCAAGCATGCTCAGGTTAAACCGCTGCTTGTACCCGTGATCTCATTCTTTCTGTCACTACCCAAAGCTCGTGACCATGGTGAGGGTAGGAACGTAAATCGAGAGCTTTGGCTTCTGGCTCAGCTCTCTCTTCACCATGACAGACCGGTACAACCCCTGCATCGCTGCAGACGCACCACCAATCTGCCTATCGATCTCGCGCTCCAGCTTTCCCTCACTCATGAACAAGCCCTTGAGATACTTGGGGTAGGACCTCATCCCTGACCTGGAAAAGGCATTCTTCCCTTTTCTGACTTCAGACCATGGTCTCAGATTTAGAGGAGCTGAGGGTCGCTGGGACGCTGCCGAACGCCTTCTCCAAATCCACAAAACACATGTAGAGTGGTTAGGCGACCTCTCATGCATCCTCCACGACCCCCCTATGGGTATAGAGCTGGTCTAGTGTTCCACGGCCCGGACGAAAACCACATTACTCCTCTTGAATCCGAGGTTTGACAATCCACCGGACCCTCCTCTCCAAAATCCCTGAATAGACCTTACCAAGGAAGCTCAGCAGTGTGATCCCTCTGTAGTTGGAACACACTTTACAATCCTTCTTTTTTAAATAGGGGACCACCACCCCAGTCTGCCAGTCCAGTGGAACTGCCCCTAATGTCCACATGATACTGCAAAGCCGCTTCGGCCAACACAGCCCCACAACATCCAGAGTCTTAAGGAACTCTGGGCGGATCTCAACCACCTCTGGAGCTTTGCCACTGAGGAACTTTTTGACCACCTCAGTGACCTCAGCACCAGAGATTGGAGAGTCCAACCCAAAGTCCCCAGACTCTGCTTCCTCACTGGAAGATATGCCAGTGGGATTGAGGAGGTTTTCGAAGTATTCCTCCCATCGATCCACGACGTCCTGAGTAGAGGTCAGCAGCACACCGTCCCCACTAAAAGCAGTGCTGGTAGCGCACTGCTCTCCCCTCCTGAGGCGCCGGATGGTGGACCAGAATCTCCTCGAAGCCGTACGGAAGTCTTGTTCCATGGTTTCAGTAAGCTATTCCCATGCTCGGGTTTTTGCCTCTGTGACCAGTTAAAAAACTTTTTTAAATAATTAATTTGATTAAAGGAGGGAATTAATTGTGCATTATTTAGCAAATCCCCAGACTCTATTTTATTATTGTCTTCATTTCTTGTAATCCATAATTTTATGATTTGTAGGTTTTTGGTGGAGGCTTCAGATAAGCCTCACGGGCGTTCGTCTTCTCCAGCATTGTAATTTTAATAATTTTATAAGTAAGGGCATTTTATTTATATAGCACTTATCACAGACATAGAATCACCAAGTGCTTCATATAGATCAAAACAAAATAAACCAAAGTCATAAAATCATAGTGAAATAGATTAACATCAGAAAAAATAAAGTCAATATATACTGTTGTACAGTTTATTCTATCTCTTTCTATTTTGCAAATAAAGGAAATAAAAAATAACTAATTCAACTTCATCTTGCAATTGACGTATTAGTTATGGACTGACTGTACTGCTATAAAAGCAGAGAAGAGCTGCTACTGGTGCCTGGAGAAAAAGAATAAGGGGAATAGTGACGAGTGAAAATGGAAGCGTATGGCAACTAATGTTGGATACCACATTAAGGAGTGATAATTTATAAAAATGGAGCTGTATTTTTGATCCGTCACACACAATCGGTGTGTTTTGCCCTTGTTCTGCCACCTTTTTTTTGTCTGACTCCACTGTAAGACAAAAGCAAACCTAACCGTTGGAAAGTGGGTCAAAATGAGCATCCTGCTTACAGCTGTGTGTTGGATCAACAGGTCAGCAGAGAACAAGCATGTGGGGAACATCACGGTGGCGGCCTGGCAGATGGAGGAGAGGACAGATCAGAGGATGTCAGTCGGACATCTACCAGACATCATCAACGGCCGGGTGGGGGACAGCTCTTCTAGCAAAGATGTTTACTTCAGTTTCAGCGGGAAAAGGTGGAGCTGAGTGATTGCGTTTGTTGCAGACGGTTCTGGCCGTAGACGAGAGCCTGACTGAGGCGATGGGAGTCCGGATCAAATACGCCTCGCTGAGCAAAGACGCGCTGCTGCGTTCAGGTACAAAACAACAGGAGTCAGATCTTCTTAGGTGTGTTCTTGCTGTGTATTAGTTCTAATTCCATGCTGTCGTTCTTTTTTAAAACACAGAAACGGTTTCGTTACCTGTTTTGTCGCTACGTTTCGCCGGCGAAACGTAGCGACAAAACAGGTAACAAAACCGTTTCTGTGTTTTAAAAAAAGAACGACAGCATGGAAGGAGTCAGATCTGTCGTTTCTGCTCTAACACAAAAACCAGCTTTTTACATTTTTCCTCAACGTGTTGTTTTGTTGCTACACACTTGTGATGAGAAATAACCTAGGTGAGGAGGAAGAAACTCCTCCAGCAAGCACGGTGAGTTCACAAAGGAGTGCCAGCTCTGTTTGTTTGGCACCACCTCAGACACTCAGTTACATGAAGGAAGTCACTCAACCTTTAAATGTAGCTAGAAAAGCAGAGTGACAGTTTCATTGTGCCCTAATCTAATTCTGTCTTTTGCCTCATTTAGCAACAATAATCCAATTACTCAGATATGAAGTACACATTTCTGTTGTGAATGAAAAACAACAGCTGGTAAAACTCTGCTGATGTGTGATTGGCTCAGTGTTTGGAGGCACCATGTCCAGGATGTACCGGTTCCCCACCACTGAAGGGAATCACCTGCGGGTTCTGGAGCAGATGGCAGAAAGCGTCCTGTCGCTCAACGTTCCCCAACAGTTCATCAAACTGCTGCTGGAGGAGGACAGAGCCAGGTACAGACACACACCTGTAACCTTTACCCGAGCTCAAACTCTAAAACTTTGATTTGGCTTTTGAAACTTTTATTTTTTTTCACTTTTTTATTTCAGAAATGCGGTAGTTTAGGAGATTTTATTCGAACTTTTCAGATTTTTCTTTTTTTATATCTCTTAAGTTTCCCCTTTTCACACAAGCTTTGAACCTTTTTGACAAAATAACGCTTTGATGGTTTTGGGGGGAGGTTATTCTTTTTATTCAGTGTTTTTTTTTTTTATATATCTACCTCAGACTGTTCCAACATCATTCAGGATTCAGCTGCAGGCATTTCACCTTCTCCTGCATTAATATCTCGGCTTCTTTTTGTCCGCACAATCGAAACAAATAAAATAATTTTCAGATATTATGAAAAAAAATCTGTCAATTGTCTGACTTATGAAGCTGTTATTTTTTGTGTTTTGCTTTTTAATAACCTAAAACGCAATGAACAAGGGCCATGAGCTTTTCCTCCTCTGATGTTTGTGTTCAGTGTGTGTGAGCTGGACGAACTGGGAGAGTTGTCCCCCTGCTGGGAGTGTCTGCGGAGACAGATCGTCTCTCAGCACCAGTCCATACTAACCGGCTACCAGGAGACTTTGTCCAACCTCAACAACTACAGAGGTGTGTGTCTGCAGCAGCTTTTAATGTCTGCAACTCCTAAAGAGGATGTGATTAACCTCCTTGGATCTGATCACGTCAGGTCCGTCGTTTAAAGCCAGTAACCTGAAGTCTGATAAGAAGCTGGAGTTCATGCCGACCAACCTCCACGTTCAGAGGATGAGGGTTCAGGACGTGCTGGGCTCTGGTGAGACACCAACCCGCAGGTCCATCTGTGTTTCGCCTCTCTTCATTCTAACGCTGGTGTTCTGTCACACCAGACCACACGTACGACGTGATAACGATCGGCGCCCCGGCCGCTCACTGCCAGGGCTTTAAAAACGGAGGTTTGAGGAAACTCGTCCAGAAGTTTGAGGAGGCAAAGAAACAGTAAGTGGGGTTTAGTGATGGCAGCAAAAGCAGCTGATATCTTTGAAATTGTATTATTTGCTTCATTCATATTTAGTTTGATGGGGTGTTCTATAAAAGTATTAGTCATCATTTCAGATGTTTTACAGCAGCTAATTTGATTTTTACGTGAAGTGAACTCGTTTTCTAAATCCCTGCTTTAGTTCTGCTCTTTGGTTTTATGGCTTCTTCTTCTTCTTTTTGTTTTACTTCTTTTGGGTCAGCGTTTATGAGGAGGGATGGTGAGTTTTAGCTTGTTTGTGTTTGAGCGTTTCACCATCTCGTACCACCACCACCAACAGTGCCACTGACTCTTTGAGCTGTCGAACAAATCCCCACGTTTTATCATGAGATGTAACCGATTTGTCAATGTTGCACTCAAGTTTAACTAGCTTTAGCTTTTAACCAGGCCTTTCCACAAGATGCGTAAGCTGCTCCTTTTTTAATAGACACATTTTATCTGTGAGCAACTGGAAGTCAGTACTTGTCTTTCACTTTGAAAGTTTCCGGATGTTCCATACTGCCTTTGTGTTTGACTTCCTGTCTGGCTCTGTCTGAACTGCTGAGTTTGACGTGTTCTGGAAGAAAAATGCGTAAAAGCTACACCTGAAGCATAAATTTAGCTTAAGTGACGCATCCTTATGCTTCTGGGCTCCAAAACGTGAGGCACCTTGGCCAGTGAAAATGCACCCATCAAAACTTATTGCAGCTAATTGCTGCATGCTACGTTTTGCTGACGTTATGCAATGCTTACACTTTCGGTGGAAAGGCCAGGTACAAATGACTTTCACGAAGACGTGTCTAATCGTCATAAAAAGCCTCTTCATTAGTCCTGTTTTGCTTCTGAAAAACCACCACAAGCAGCAGGCATGTGCATGCAGACTCTATATTTGTCTGTTCATGTCTTAGAGACTCCTCTCCCTTTGGTTTTTAACAGCCCCTCTCAGACAGAGCGGTACACTCCATCAGACATAGATGGTTGTCATCGGCATACGCTCTGATAATGTTTTCTTTTCACCCTGCAGCAGCGCCATCTCCAGCTCTCAGTCCATCGTCTACTTACCACAGGAAATTGTCCGAGCCAAAGAGATCATCGCCCATATCAACACGCTCAAGACTCAGGTCAACTACTACGCAGAGAGGCTTTCCCGGGCCGCCAAAGACCGGTCCGCCAGTGGGCTGGAGAGGACGCTTGCCATTCTGACTGATAAGGTATGAAACTTTTACATATTTTTGATGACTTCATTCCTAAAATTTGCCTTTTAATTTTACTGAAACCTCTCCTCTCACTTGGTCAGACTCGTCAGCTGGTGACAGTGTGTGACTGTAAGCTGCTGACTTTAGCCATCCAGGCGCTAAACGCAGCACGACCCGAGTACATTGCTTCCAAAGCATCTCCTTCTGCGGAATCGGAGCAAGTTGTTCTCCGCAACGACCAGGACACGCTGCTGGCCAAGTGGAGCGGATGCAACAGCCGATCGTCTCTGCATGTGGACTGGCACGAAGAGGAGTGGGTAAGTTATCCACAGAAACTTGGAACGAAGAGACAGAAACAAGTAGAAAATTGCCTCTTCGGAGGAGAAAGTAGCTTCAGACGACAGGATTTGGAGTCGTATTTCCTGAAATGTGGACATCTCACCTCCGATTGGCTAACAGCAACGCAGCTCTACCACTGACTGCTCTGCAACGTTGATGTTTCATCTCCACAAATAACACAAGCCTGGAGGAGTTCTGCTGTGTGGTGGAGTTGCTAACGCTAATGATTAGCTTCCGCTAGCTGAAACGTTCTCTGCTGTTTCCTGGATTGTGCACCAACAGCCTTCCCTGTCGTGAGTCAAGATGGGTGAGTCCATGTGACGTAGATCTGTCAGGCTTTTCTAATCCTAGAGTTTCACCGTCTACTTTCTATCAGATGCTAATGCAGGAGACAGGTGTAGGAGACTATTTTATGTTCATTCTGCCGGAAAAACTCAGAGTGACTCATTATAATCAGAAATAATAATTAAAAAATGTTTTTAGTGTTCCGTACTTCAAATAAAAGATAGAGAAAAATAAAATGAAAAAGCATTTTATATATTTATTTATGGATCTATATGACGCCTAATTATGGTGCTCTTTTGGCGTCCTCAGGAAAAGGTGTGGGTAAATGTGGACAAGTCTCTGGAGTGCATTATTCAGCGAGTGGACCAGCTGCTCCAGAAGCAGAGGAGGCCCAGCGTCGACAGTCAGGACAGCGTCCAGCGTGACCAGCAGGGTGGCAGCAGTAAGAAAGGTGACATCGGCTCTCCTTTCTGTTCTAAAGTTTGACCTTTGACCTTCCTCGTCTTTCAGTTGCAATGAAACTAAATAAATGAGTGACTTTGTTGGTTCATCTGTGCGACTTCTCTGTGAAAAGGTGAAAGTAAAAAACGAGCTTTCTGGATCAACCCAGGAAGTTTGTCCCAGGACTCCCCTCCTCCATCATCCTCTGATCCACCTTCACCTTCCTCATCATCACCGCCACACTCTTCCTCTCCTCCCGCCCTCTCTTCTGCACGTCCCCCCAGCCCCGAACAGGAAAGCCGTACGTTCATTTTCCTGCTTCGTTTTCTCTCTCCTGTGAGTCGTGTGACCTGAACAAGCTCCTCGCTGGTTTTCTCCTCAGCTTCTAGCCTGACTAGTTTCCACAGGGCAGGTGTTTAAAATCAGCTGGGCCTCAAACACTATCAAACATGTCCGCTTTGTTCACGGGGAGAAAAAAGTCTCACAAAGTCCTTGTGTGTGTGTGTGTGTGTGTGTATCTAGATTTGTGTTTGCGTAACTAAAGCTTTGTGTGTGTGTAACTCTTGATTTGTAACTTGTGTTAACATTTTCGTGTGTAACTTCAGCTCTTACACACACAAATCATTGAGCACGCACACAAACATCACCTGGTACACACGGATAAAACGACACTACACACAGATCAGTTTACAAGTACAAACATCTTTTTGAGACTCTTTTCTCACCTGACTGATTTGTGCGTACATGGTGCGTTCGGATGCTGGGTGGAAGCTGGGAAATTAGAATTTCCTTTGGAATTAGTCTAAATTTGTGTTGATGGGACAAATCTGTTTTTCTGTGGAAAAATATAGTATCTCAGGATCCTGTAGTTATAAAAGATAGACGTACATGTGATTTTTAATATTCTAAAATAGTTTATTTAGACATTTGTGTTCGTGAGCCATGAAAACATAGCCAAAGGGTTATAAGAAATGACTAATAAATGGCAGAGTAGTGCTCTGACTGGAAAAAGCAGGGTTCAAACCGGGAGAAGGCACAAGAAGATGGTACGGTGTCCTGGTGATCTTTCCACTGAAGTAAGTAAAAGTAAGTCCAGCATGCTTTGCAGTCAGGTTATAATGACACGGCTATTATTTTAGACCATTTCAGATGTTTTATAGGTCTGAAAGATTGACACATCGTCCCCAGACAAGGAAGTGGCTCTTGGGCCAGTTTATGTGTCTGTACAATAATATGTAAACTCCCTAATGTTATTGTGCACACACACAAACTGGCCCGAGAAGCGTTTCCTTGTTTGGTGCATGCTGGGAGTTGTGGTCTGACTTGTTCAGTGAATTATTTTTTTACCTTCATCAGGGTTTATGGTGCATTCAAAACCACACATTTTGACAGGCAAGTCAGTAGAGTTGTGCAATGAAGTTTCTAAATAATTTAAAACCATCCTTATTAGGTGGATTTTAAAGAGGCTGTAAGCTAACCAAGCTAAACCACAATGCTAAGCAGCATTTTTGCCCTTGATGTAATCTGAACAAATTCAAATGCAAGTCTGGCGATGCAACTAAATCATTCTATTCGTCTTACAGAGCACAAGCACTATTCTTTATTCACACCTATGTTCACAACCGCTTGTAATGGCTAACATAGCTTAGCTCACACAGACGTTAGCGCCTGCTAACACAGTATCAATCTGTCAGTCCTATAAAACATCTGAAATGGTCTAAAGCAGGGGTGTCAAACTCAAACTCACACTGGGCCGAAATGAAACTCTGGGAGGGAGTCGAGGGCCAAACTTAATATTTTTTGAAAAAGTGACGGCAAATTTGCACGTTTTCTTTATCAACATATATGCAATTTTGAACCTTTAAATTTGGAAACAAACTTATTTCTGCATTAACACTGAATGTGGAATAACCAAATTACACACGAGCAAGTCAGTTTTAAATAAAACACATCAGCGGTATTCATTACTTGTGGTATAATCAGCATTTTTAAAATTATTCAGGATTTATGTTTTCTTGTTTATTCATTTTTCTTGTTTTTTATTCTCCTTTTTTCTCCTGTAATACGTGTCATCGCTGCTGTGACATCTAGCTTTCCCCACTGAGGAACAATAAAGGGATTTTCTATTCTATTCATCTATCTGCAGCCTTTCCACTTCCTGTTTACTGTAGGTTAAACCTTTTCTCACGGGCCAACAACAAAATAAAAATATCATTTCATCTTAAATGAAAATGCAACATCTCACCTGTTAACTTTCATGTTTTGGAGCAGAAAAAGAGCATAAAACCAACATATTTAAAGCTGTTTGCTCCACTGGTTTACTGTGATGCTCACCTGTTCCAGCCAGATACCTGCATCATGGGGTTGATCTGAGCTGAGGAGGAGACTCCTGTTGTTTTGTTCATCTTCATCATGATAATGACAACATTAGATGACAACAGGTGCTCACATAGGTTTGTGCTGATGAACATGTCTGAGCAGCTTGACCACGTTGTTGTGTGTCGGGGAGGAAACACAACCACAGAGTCATGCTGGTTTGAGCGTGTCACTGCTCGCTGGAGTTATATCAGCTCTGTCTGGACGTTAGTTTGAAAACTTTCTCTTTTAGTCGTGAACACATTACTGAGCGGCTAGAATCTCCGTTTCTGGGCTTCAACGTCAGAAAATAGCTGAGTGAACTCAGCGCTGAGTGAGAGGAGTGGTTAGTTTGTCCGAGACAGCGGAGCTGCAGACACCGGTTGCAGGTGCTGGAAAAAACACAAAGGAGGGGGCGCTTCAAAGCATCATGGGAGTTGAAGTCTTTGCGGTAAAATCGGTCAGCGGGCCAGTTTTAATATATTTTTGATATTTATCTCGCGGGCCACATAAAAATGCTCCACGGGCCGCATCTGGCCCGCGGGCCTTGTGTCTGACACATGTGGTCTAAAGCAGTGGTTCCCAACCTTTTTCCCAAGGGACCCCGTTTTTTACCAGTAAAATTTCTGACGACCCCCTCCCATTCTCTCTTCCAGTACAAACAGTATTAAGAAATGATCAAATTGTTCAAGCACATTTTAATATGCTTTGATTCAATAGATACCAGTAATAGTAGGCTCCAGTACAGAACAAAGTCATTAACAAAACCAAACAGAGCATAATGTGCTTGACAGTTTGTATTACTTTTCTGAACACATTGTTTCTTGTAAACACTGATAAATCAATCATTCCTTTCAATAAACGTTTGACACATAAAAAATACACTGAGCAAAATGTACTTAAATGTGTATATTACTGTTTATACTAGATTATTTACTGTAAAGGCTGTGATTAATCAACCAGTCCCATCTTTAATGAACTTTTGACATTTGAAAATAAAACAGTGAGCTGAGCAAAATGTTCTTAAAAGTGTGTTACTCTTTCTGTACTAATTATTTCCTGTCTTAATATCAGTAAACTTTTCACTCAGGAAAAAAAGAAGTGAGCAAAATGCAGGCTGTAAACAAGTAATAAATGACATTTTAACCCCTTAAAGTGGAGAGGTCCTGGCGACCCACTGAGAGGCTTTGGCACCCCCTTGTGGGGGTCGGGACCCCCAGGTTAGGAACCACTGGTCTAAAGTAATCGCTGTCTCGTTATAACCAGACTGCAAAGTGTGCAGGTGTAACTTTTACTTCAGAGCAAAGATCACGATAGGGAGCAGAAGTCTCCTCCCTTTCCGGTCGGCTCACGGGTCCCCAGAAGAACGACATAATGAATGTAAGTCAACGGGGCTAAAAACGTTATTTTCTCATCCGCTTTGCCTTACGCCCTGGATCACACGTGTTGTACTGCTATTTAAATGAAAACTAATGATGGGTGTTTCGACCACGCCAGTCACATACTTTGAGATTTATCAGCTTGTAAACGTTTATAATTAGCATGACTACATCAGCACCTCACATATGTGACATCACCACAGAATCTCCTCTCCTCTAGCGTAGCCGCTACTTACCACATGACAAGATTTATGGTGGTTCTTTCCTCCTGAAGGAAGGATTCGATGTTTGCTGAACTTACAGCCACTTTCTCTCTGTTTTTCTCTGTTTCTGGTTGGATGACGTCACTTTCGTGAAGCGCATTTGTAGTCCTGGACTTATTTTCACACTAAACCTAAAATAGCATTTCCCCTCGTTAGAAAATTCTTCGAAGTTCTTGGAATCAAAATGTGTCGTCAAAATTCACGGACATCATATGTGGAATCCATGGCACAAAACAAGCAGAGTTAGAAAAGAGCGTTTTAGCACCGTTGACTTGCGTTCATTTTTTCATTCTTCCGGGGTCCGAAAGTATACGGGTGTGGCTTAGGCGCCCTATGACCCCGCACCTTCTTCTTGTGCCTTCTCCCGGTTTGAACCCTGCTTTTTCCAGTCAGAGCACCACTCTGCCATTTATTAATCATTTCTTATGGCTACGTTTTCATGGCTCATGAACACAAATGTCTAAATAAACTATTTTAGAATATTAAAAATCACATGTACGTCTATCTTTTATAACTACAGGATCCTGAGATACAATATTTTTCCACAGAAAAACAGATTTGTCCCATCAACACAAATTTAGACTAATTCCAAAGGAAATTCTAATTTCCCAGCTTCCACCCAGCATTCGAATGCACCATGTACGCACAAATCAGTCAGGTGGGAAAAGAGTCTCAAAAAGATTTTTGTACTTGTAAACTGATCTGTGTGTAGTGTAGTTTTGTCCGTGTGTACCAGGTGATGTGTGTGCTCAATGATTTGTATGTGTAGGAGCTGAAGTTACACACGGAAATGTAAACACAAGTTACAAATCAAGAGTTACACACACACACACACACACACAAATATAAATACACACACACAGACCTTTTGAAACGTTTTTTTCCCCATGTTTGTTGTTGTCTGTGTTAACGTCCAGCAGCTATATTTGAATATTTGTGCTTTTTTTGTTTGCAAACCGCGGACAAAGGCCTCCAAACTCTTATTTTGGACTAAGGTTTGCAGGATTATGGGGAAAAGGACTCGTTTAGAGGCAGGAGAAGCCTCTAGGAGTTAATTGTTTTTCCTACATTTTGACCGCGGTCTGCTGTGTTTTCTGCGTGTGTCCTCTGTGCTTCCGCTAACCATGCATGTTGATCCTCCACCCCTTCTTCCAGATGGAAGCCCTTGTGCTGAGGAGGCGTACCCAGGTAAGAGCTGCCAGTCCTACGTGTATTGTGTGAGCTGTGCAGCAGAGCTAGTGTAACGTGCATTTTAAGGATTAGAGTTGAGTACACCTGTAATTATTCAAACAACCTGTTCTCTGCGGCAGCACAAGTCACACACCAGGTCACAACCAGGTAGCTATGCCGTCACGCACTAGATAACAATTTTTACACTTTTTGAGAAATACATGAGTTGTGGTTGTTGAACATCATTTTATGCACAAGCGTGTGGTGAAGGACTCTAATATTTAGCTGAATATCTCTAAATCTGACAGACTTGGAGCCATTTTTCAAAGCTAGGTTTGCTGTTGCGGCCACCTTTAAAAGTGAATCCATGGCAGAACAGCTCTTCCTAGTGATGAGACAGGATGCTAAACACCAAGATAACTAAACCTAAATCTACGTTTAACATCAAAAAGTAATGACTAAAGTTGGCTTTTAATTCAATTCAGTTCAAAAATACTTTATTAATCCCAGAGGGAAATTGATTGCTGTAGTAGCTCAGAATAATAATAATAGTAATCAAGTCATCAAAGAGTTGTTGTATATTACAAAGGCTGTTGGCAGGAAGGATCTCCAGTAGCGGTCAGTGTTGCAGCGAAACTGAAGAAGCCTCTGACTGAAGACACTCTTCTGTTGTCGGACAGTCTTGTGAAGAGAATGCTCAGGGTTGTCCATCATTTTCTTGATTTTCTGGAGAATCCTTCTTTGCATCATCTCCTCCAGTGGTTCCGAAACTGCCGAAACTCTGGCTGAGTCCTTGAAAGGGCTTGGAGTTCCTCCATCTTGTTGGCCAGTGATCTCACATTGCCATTATGATCGATGGAAGAGATGGTTTGAATTTCCTCTCTCACTGTCTCCGTTTTGCTCCCGCTCTGCATCCACGCTTCTTGTGTTTTAGCTCATTTGGGATTTGTGGCTTCAGTTGAGGTAATATTTCAGCCTTTCCAATGTTAATCAGCTGCTCCCGATTGTAAACCAGCTTGTTGCCATGCAGGGCCATTGCTAGCTATTTTGGTGCCCTAAGCACAAAGGCTTTGTGGTATTTCTGTTACAAAACAGCACAGATGGGCCTATCTGACCTCACAGGGGAAACTTTATTTTACTTGAGAAAGATGTTTTAAGATGAACTTATTAAAACAAAAAACATCTTCAAACTCTTCAAGGTCTGTTTTTAGATGAACAACCTTTAACACTGTTCAGACTTATTTTTTGATACAAGTCACATGAACAGGCTGAATAAAAGGATATTTCCCTTTGTTGAATTTAACTATTTCTTCTTTAAAGAAGTGCTGATTCAGAAGAGAATAATTGCATTTAGGAAGATGATGACTTGCTACGTTTTTTCTCCAGCAATAAAAAAAGCTCTAAAGCTTCTCTGAGTTTCTCTCCCTCTCAGCCTCTCTCACTCAGCTACTAATGAACGCCCGGTAGGCAGGGCCAGATTAACACTTTGTTGTACCCTGGGCAACAATATTCAAGGGCTCCATCATCACGACCCAAGGATCACCATAATATGGTCACATACAGAATATTTTACTGTAATATGCAGTAAATATACTCAATACTTGAATGCCTGACATCGCGTAACCCTCTCAGGGTAACCTTTGACCCACCTCGTGTGGACTGACCAATGAGGAGAGGGTCTTAACTTGAGGCCCTCTCTTCACTGGTCAGTCTGCATGAGACTGACTCTCAACTGACGTTCAAAGTCATAGGCAGCGAAGCGTCTCTGTTCAGCGCAAAAGCCCGGGTGGACAGTTTGTTTAATATAGGGTGATCATATTTCCATTTCCAAAAAAGAGGACAGGGGATCTGTGCCTATGACGTCACATTTTGCCTTGGCCCCCAAAATGTCTTGAAACGGCCCTGGGTGTGTGACTGAGTTTTGAAGGTGATCTGAGCTGTATCAGATGTATAAATATTACGTGTGTGTAACTTATTGTTTTATACAGGTAAAAACATGTAGTGGAGATAAATCTACCTACATTTTACTTTTCAACACTTTGTTTAGTTTTCTTGTTTTTATTTAACTATTTTCCTGTCCTGTCTGTCTCTCATCTTCCTGCATCTCCTCTAAACTCTCCAGAAAACCTGCTGCCTGGATTCTTACTTTTTCACCTCATCAGTTACTTTTGAGCAGATCAAAGGGATCTCCTGACCGCAAAGCGGAGAGCGCGTTTCGATGCTGCGTCAGTGAGGTGAAATCACCACAGCACAGGTGATGAGCTCCGCAGTAGCAGAGCGCTCCAGGCACAAATAAGACTGAAAGTAGAGAACATGTGCAGACATGAACGATCGTGTGTAAATTATAGTTTTTTGGTTGCGCCACTTTGAGAATGGACCGTGCGCTGGACGCAGCTGCCTGAATCGCTGCGCAACAACGATCAGCGCTGTGCAGCTGTCTGTGCTCTCTGCTCTCTGCTCAAAAGAGTCCATAAATGATGTACCTATGATTCTACCTATAGGTAGAAAACTTTTTTCCGGCTTCCCTGGATGTGTAGGATATACAGCTCCCCCATCCCTGCTCCTGGATGAAAAGCCGGACATTTTCATCACTACAAGAACCCCCAGGCCGGACGCCCCGGACAGAGAGTGAAAAGTGGACACGGTCCATCTCCTTTCCTTTTTGTATTGTTTTCTCTCTGTAAACATGCTGTTAACTTGCTTTGCACATCTTCTAATTGAAATCTGTCTTTATCATATATATATATATATATATATATATATATATATATATATATATATATATATATATATATACATTATTTTTTCATAAGCTTGCGTTTGGTGCCCCTCCCCCAGCGTGGTGCCCTACTCGCTGTGCGTGGTGTGCGTGTATGGAGCGCCAGCGCTGTTGCCATGGTTACGCATCACAACAAATGCTCAAAAAGTGAAAAAAGCTAAAAAAAATAGCAGTAAAAATCCTCCAAGCTTCACAGCACCAGAAACAGAACAGTAACGTGTCCAAAAAATACAGTTTTTCTTGAGAAACTAGAAGAAAAAAATGCCCAAGAAAAGGCAAAACTTACATATAGTCAACAGAGCTACTCCAACATGCAGCCACCCAGAGCAGCACAGTTCCGGAAATAAATCGAGAATCGATTCTGAATCGAATCGGCACCCCGTGAATCGGAATCAAATCGTGAGTTGCTCTGAGATTCACATCCCTACGATCTGTACTGCCGATTTTTATGGGACAGTTTTAAAGGTCGATTTTAGACGTTGTCCACTTTATTTTTATGCCACATATAACATGAGTTCATGCACAAAATTTCTGAAGCCGAATCAATCTTTGAACTCTGAACTGTTAACTGCAGCTCAGTGGTAGAGTGTCCGCCCTGAGACTGGGAGATCAGGGTTCGATTCCTGGTCGGGTTAACCAAACACTTTGACAAAATGGAAACCAGTGCCTCCCTGCTTGGGGGTTAAACCACCAAATGGTTCCCGAGCGCGGCTGTGTCTGCAGCTCACCGCTCCCTCAGGGGATGGGTCATATGCGGAGAACAAATTTCGCACACACACTAGTGTGTGTGACAACTAATGGGACTTTGACTTTAAATCTTAACTTTGTGAACTGCTCAGTGTTAAAAGCAGATGCCCAAAATAAAGTTAATTTAGAGTATTTATCATGCAGGTGTTATTAGTGAACGTAAAAATACATTAAAATTAAATTCTCTTAAAATTCACTAAGGACAAATATCTGCTGATGCCAATGTATAAAAACATTACATCTGTCTGCTCCTAGAAAGAAGTATAACTCATGTAGTCCAATGCCAGTTTTGTAATATAATTCATGTTTTATCTGCTTAGACAAATTATCATCAACTGATCCAAGAACAGGATTCATTTATCCCTTCCACTTTCCTATCAGGTGACCCCACCAGGACAGGGGGTGGTTAAACGGCGTTTACAGTTTTTGCCTTGGCAGGGGTGAAGTGATGCACCCCTTAAAAAGTATTAAAATAAAATTACACCAGAGGCCCATCTGACCCCATTAACAATGCAGGAGGGTTATTCATTAATGGAGGTAGGTAGATGCCTTCATAAGAAGAAGTGGGCTGGATATTCCTGCTGTGTTATGCAAGGTTTTCCCAAACCGGAACAAACAAACCACTCAGCACGCAAAGATTTTCGCCTTCTGTTGCTGGGAGCACCGGTCCCCTTCGCGTCACGTCTTCATTCCTACCTCCACAAACCGTCTTCCAAGTCTGATTGCCAGCAGTGCTAGCCCTAGCTTCGCACTTATCCTTCTTCCTCTTATCTGGAGTTGGGTCATGGGGTCAGCAGCCTAATGAGCATTTTTCTGCCATTACCTACTTGGCACATTGCGATTTTAAACCATGTCCTCTAAAAAACAACTCGGAGGTCTCTGCCTTTTTCAGCATCTGCTTTTTCGTGGTTCGAAGCGTACCGAGCCGGGGTGAAAATGCGAGGTCAGCGACTGTCGGGTCACAAATCCAATTCCAATGTATTTATAAAGCACTAATAAAAACAACGTACACCAAAGTGCTGTACTTTAAAAATGATACATACAATGGGAGTAAAGCAATACGTTGTAAAAAACGAAGCTTCTGCTCATTGAATGCCACATCTGACATCGCGCAGCTGCTCTTGTCCTCACAGTGAATTAAATTACGATATACTGGGACAGAAAAAACTTTTAATGTTATTGTGGATGCCTTTTTGTGCTGATCAGTGACATCACTGTCTGTAGAAGCAGTCTCGGTATGCTGACCAGGGTATCTGCGGGTCCTTAAAAAGTCTTAAATTTGCTTTTCCAAATTTAAGGCCTTAAAAATCCTTAAAAATGACAAATAATCCTTAAATACAGTTTCCAAAGGTCTTAAATTACCAAAGACCCAATGAACAAAATTATTTTGTTTCTATTAAATTTTGTGAATTTCTAGTTAGTATTCAGCATTTTTTGTGTATGATACTTACATAAGCAGAACTGTACACATTCGGTTGGTTGTGAAAGGGGACTAATTTTAGATGAGCACATTAGCTGGTTAAGCTAGTGGGAGCTTGCGCCATGGGGAAGTGCAAGTTTAATGGTAACTGGATGGTTAATCCCACTTTTGCGATGTGGTTCCAGGCAATAGCTAGAAATTATAGCTTAAATTAAATTTCAAAAGTAGCTTAAATTTGGTCAAAGTGGCCTTAAGAAAGGTCCTAAAAAGTCTTAAATTTGGCTCCCTTAAACCTGCAGATACCCTGGCTGACCTGCGCAGTCCTGAAAGGCCTGAACAGCTGAGAGGACCGGGACAGCATTATCTTCCCCATCCCAGAATTTAACCCGAAATCCCTGCAGTAGCTATTGTCATGCTTCTGAGTACCAGTTGAAAGATGCGCCGCAGCGTTCTGGACCAGCTGCAGGTGTGAGATCCAGGACCGTGCGATACCTGCATGCAGGGCATTACAGTAATCCTCTAGCTGCCACAAAGGCATGAGCCAAGAGTTCAGAGTGATGTTTTTATCTTGGCTAGTGGTCTCAAATGAAAAGAATAACCCTCAGCACAGAACTTACGTGTTTATCAAATCTAAAATTTCCATCCATTTTCACGCCTAGATTAGACACCGCAGGCTACAGGAACTGGTTCAGTCACCACCTGCGTTACCTGGCCCAATTAGCACAACTTTGGTTTAGTTTCATTGGAATGCAGAAAGACTTGACTAAGGCACTCCAATACACAAGTTATTCTCACGGCTAAGGGGCATGTAGATTTGGCTGTCATCACTTGGTTGGTTAGGGGGTGGAGTCACTGGGTGCTCCAGAGTTTTCTGGTCAAAAATCAAATCAAATCGCTTTTATTGTCACGTCACATGTGCAGGTACACTGGTACAGTACATGTGAGTGAAATTCTTGTGTGCGAGCTTCACAGCAACAGTTGTGCAAAATACAATAACGTAAAAACAAGCAAAATATAAAAATGGCTGATCTAAGTAATAATATATATATAGTATGTAAGGTATATACATTCCTAAATGTGTGTGCTAAGTATTTTATTTTTTATTTTTCTACATGTGTGCATGTGAGTGTGTGTATAATGCGTACATACATATTCAACAAATGAATAAAGTAAACAATAAGGTAAGAGATATAAAATGTACAGAGGTTGGTATGTGCAAATCAGTGGCATTAATGTACAGTATGGAGTGTGTAATGTTGGAGTTTCAGTAGTGAGGGTGAGGTGTCTGTGAAGTGTTCAGCAGTCTGATGGCCTGATGGAAAAAGCTGTCTCTCAGCTTTTTCCATCTGGATCTCCAAAAAGCCACCGACTTAGCGGGATGATCAACATTACCACGGGCGCCATTGTTGTGTTCTGTTTCTGTGTCTAAAAATCTGCTCCGGTTTACGGTTCTGTCACGACCTATTTGTCTGCTTCCAGGTGAGTGGAGCGAGGCGCTGTACCCCCTCCTCACCACGCTCACCGAGTGCGTCGCCATGATGAGCGACAAGGCCAAGAAGTCCATGGTGTTCCTACTGATGCAGGACAGCGCCCCCACCATCGCCATGGACGTGTCGCTGCAGTACCGCCGGGACGTCGTCTTCTGCCAGGCGGTCAGCGCATGCACACACACACACACACACACACACACACACACACACACACACACACACACACACACACACAGAGAGAGAGAGATGCTCGCCCATACAAATTAACTCAAACCATCCAGATGACTCAGACTATTAATATAAAAAAGGCGCAGAACTCAGATTTAAATTTTTATTAAAAACTGAGAAAATATGAAAGATTTCACACGTTTCAGAGCCTCTGAGTCGCTGCATTGTATTTATGTAGCAGCTTAGGTTTTGTAGCCCACCTTATGCACCTGTTAGACCTGAATCACCTGTCATTAGTAATGCAGTGCCTCTGATCCAAACCACAGATTACTGACTCATGAAGTTCGCTGCTGCAGGGGTTTTCCAGCATCCTGCTGTTCGTTCATCTCAGATTTCTAGTTTTCCAGCAGCAAAACGCTCAAACCTTCTTTAGTTAACTTGGTTATCAAATGGAAGCGTTGAGTTTCTACCAGTTACATTTTCATACAGAACGGTGCTAAAGTGGCAGAGGAGTTGAGTACCTACCCTGTAACTCTCTCCTCGACTCTTATTTTTGTCGTGATTAAAGTGTTAGCATGACTTCTGTCTATGTTAGGTTTTTTTCAAATGTTTTAACTTCTGTTTTATTATTGCTTTGATCGTAGATTTTGTTGTTTAGCGGCTCTCTTAAGTGTTTTGTTGAGCCTTCTGGGCCACCGTATTACAAGAATTGACATAAAGAGTTTAATAAGGCGTGATTACAGCTGGAACGCCCCTCCACCCTCGAAGCAGAGGACGCCGTTCTGTCAGGAGCTGAGGATCCTAGAAAATGCTTGAATCTTAAGGTGGTATTTAAAAATGTGATTGCAGCGATTGAACATAGAGATACTCCTAAGTAAAAAAAAATAGCAGATGTTTGGTGTGATTGGCTTAATCAGTGATCGGTGTATTTTAAACTCAAGAACTAGATTTTCTTTCTGGTGTAAAGTCACTTAGTGCTAGTTCCTGCTCGCAGATCTTCCCTGTGGAAGTCTTCTTTTCCAAATATGACTGAATACATTTGTTTTCTGGTTACTTTAGATCAGGGGTGTCAAACTCATTTTAGCTCAGGGGCCACATTGAGGGAAATCTAGTCCCAAGTGGGCCGGACCAGTAAATTAAAAACAACTTCAGATTGTTTTCTTTGTTTTAATACAATCAACATAAAACAAGGCTGGAGCCTGAGGACAGTGTATCCAAAATAGTACAAGTACAACACCTGAAGTGAACTTGAAAATTTGAAAGAAAAAATAAATCAATAAATAAAAAAAAACATTCCTTAGTGATTCAAAGAGCTTACAGATCACATGGCTAGATCAGTTTCATGCAGCACTTAAAATATATTTGACTCATTTTACTTAACATCTTTTAGCTTTCACCAGCACATCAACATCAGAAGTCACATCCTGAGTAGCAGCCAACTTCAGGATGTGATTCAAGTTCTTGTGTGAGCATTGAGCACAGCTTTGTTTTATTTATACTCATTACAGAGAACTTGCTCACAAAGAAGTTTATTTTCACTCTACATTGTAAAGTATGAAAATAAAGTTTACACAACCATCTCGCGGGCCGGATTTAACCCACTTGCGGGCCGCATCCGGCCCGCGGGCCGTATGTTTGACACCCCTGCTTTAGATCCTTCTGCAGGCCAGAGCCTTATAGAAATGGGTGCTCAGTTCTGCTAAAGGTTAAACAACCCTGAGACAAACAAACAGCACACAGAAACATCTCTGCAGTTATAATAACTTACTGGGTGTCAAACGTTAGGAGGATTTGTAATCTAAACAAATAAACGTTCATCATGTGCCAAATCTGCTGTAGTTTGTAGGAATGTGAGTATTTCCTGTTTTACGTCATAAACACTTCAGCTAGATGAGGTATAGTAAGTGTCTTGTGTTTCTGTTGCTTCAGCTCACCGCTCTGATCTGCGGTTTCATCATCAAATTGAGGAACTGTCTCCGTGACGACGGCTTCCTGAGGCAGCTCTACACCATCGGCCTCCTGGCTCAGTTTGAGTCTCTGCTCAGCACTCATGGTACGATCCAGCTTCTCACACACACACACACACACACACACACACACACACACACACACACACTGCCCTCTCTGAGTCGGTTAAGTCTGTGCGTTTGTGTTCCAGGGGATGAACTCGGCATGTTGGAGGACATGACCGTCGGTGTCATGGATCTGCGGAACGTCACCTTTAAGGTGGAAATACGTTGTCCTTCCAAATGTCCCTGATGAAGGCCCAAAGAACTTTATTGACTTTGGGTTTCATGAGGATTAATTTGTGTGTTTAGTACCCAGCCCAACTCTTCATCCATTAGTCACTGTGAACACTTTTCTAGATCCGTGTTTTTAGTAAATCTGAGGAAAGGTTTTAGGAGTAATTCATGAATGGTTATTTCTTTCATAAAGGTCACCCAAGCCACTGGTAGCTCCGCCCCCGACATGCTGCCCATCATCACAGGAAACAGAGACGGCTTCAACGTGCGCGTACCGCTGCCGGGATCCATGTTCGACGCGTTGCCGCGGGAGATCCAGAGCGGGATGCTGCTGAGGGTCCAGCCGGTGCTTTTCAATGTTGGCATCAACGAGCAGCAGACGCTGGCGGAGAAGTGAGTCAGACCCCTTTAAGGCACCACAGAGATGTCCATTCAGGGATAAAGCTGAGTTTGTCCCTGTTAGGTTTGGAGACACATCCCTGCAGGAAATCATCAACGCCGAGAGTCTCTCCAGGCTGAACTCGTACTACCAACAGTTCAAAGAAGTCCTGCCTGAAGACTGTGAGTCAGATAATATCTGGTTTTCCTTCAGTCTGAACCGTTTAATCCTGATTCCCTTCTCGTCTCCATTCAGGCCTCCCAAGGTCTCGCTCCCAGACCTGTCTCCCCGAGCTGCTGAGATTTTTGGACCAGAACGTTAGCGCCAGGAAAAACAAGAACGTGGACATCCTCTGGCAGGCCGCTGAGGTGAAGAGACTTCCGCTTTAATCCCTCCTTAGGGTTCAAGGATTTCATTTAATCCCAGCACACATAATCTGATCAGGACCTCTTGTCTTAGATCTGCCGGCGGCTGAATGGCGTTCGCTTCACCAGCTGCAAGAGCGCCAAAGACCGCACCTCCATGTCGGTGACGCTGGAGCAGTGCCTGATCCTGCAGCACGAGCACGGCATGGCGCCTCAGGTCTTCACTCAGGCCCTGGACTGCATGCGCAGGTAGGACGCCCGCCCTCGCAGCGCCCGACCACATGAGTTTGTCCCAAAGAAAAGGAGTGAAAGTTTGAACTTCAGCCGTCCGTTTTAGCAGTTTTCTGTTAAAAAAAAACTAGGATTCTCGTTACACATTTATTGTTCTAATGATCTTTGAGGAGTGAAATTCAAAGTCCTCCTTTTTATTTTAACTTGACACTTTTCTTTCCATTTAAATCGGTATTAGTTTATTTCTATAGTGCAAAACGAGAGTCGTCTCGAGGTACTTCACAATGTAAACTTTCACATTTAGGCCTAGTCCACACGTAGCCGGTTTTTTTTTTTTAAACGAATATCCGCCCCTCCAAAAACTTGCATCCACACCACCTCGTTTAAAAAAAAAAACTGCCCACACGTACCCGGATAAATACGTTGTTAAGGACATGCCAGACCTGTAGGCGGCAGTACTCCCCCCGTTCTTAACCTCGTCCTTCGTCTGTGGTCTTCCGCAAGGAGCAGTAATTCCGCTTGCAAAAAACAAACAAGCAGAAAGCGCTTGGACAATTGATAAAGCGAGCGCAGCTCTGAGGGCATCCATGCTGTCGGCTAGTGTAAACACAGGTCGTACACGTGATGTCAGCATCTTTTTGTCGTGGAAAGTGACGTTGCAGAGCTTAAAACTCCGGTTTTGTCTGTCCACACGCAGACACCCAAAACGGAGAAAACGCAGACCTTCACTTTGGCCGGAGTTTTTAAAAAGATCCGTTTTCGTGTGAAAAAACTCTGTTTTCGTGTGGATGACAGGCCAAAACGTAGAAAAATATCTACGTTTTGGCAGATCCCCGGCTACGTGTGGACAGGGCCTGAGCCTACTTATCAGTGCACTGATCCTGTGTAAGGAAACCCAGCCGACTGCATCGAGTCACTGACTTGCTGTGTCAGAGGCTCTACAGCAGGAGTGGGGAACCCTGGCCCTCGAGGGCCGGTATCCTGCACGTCTTTGCTCCAACACTTCTGATTCAGTGGTTGAGTCACCTGTGCAGCAGCTCATCAGGCTCTGCAGAAGCCTGTTAATCACCTGCTGATTGAAATCAGGTGCGATGATGCAGGGTTGAAACTAGGGCAGCAACTAATGACTGTTTTAATAGTCAACTAGTCACCAATTAGTCGACTAATTGGATAATTATTACATTTTTCTTAAATTTAGCATGAGATTGCTTTAATTATGTGAAAAATGATAAACACAAGAAAGATGGGTACTTCAATGGAAAATGCATATTTTATTGAACTTTGCTGCTGATAGGCCAAGTCATACTAACAATGAATAAAAATGCCCCGTCTAACACCAATTAGGCACAGTGCCCAGTCAGTACAGACATAAATGCATGAATAAAATAAAATTACTTTTGTCAGGCACAGTCGGGCATAACATTAAATCTCTTTTTTTAAAGCGAAAATACATTTAAAAAAATATACATTCAAAACAAAACGTATTGGCTTTCATGTTATTTACATCTTACCGAGGTGAGTCAGACTCTGTTTCATTCAACTGTCTGACGTGCTTTCTCGTTAAGTGTTCATGCATCACCGAGGTGCTGCCGTGATACGCGAGGACTGTTTTGCAAATAATGCAGCTACTGTAATTTCCAGACTATAAGTTGCACTTTTTTTCATAGTCCTGCTGGTCCTGCGAATTACCGTAATTACCGGACTGTAGAGCGCACCTCAAAATAAGCCGCACCGGGCCAAAAGCCGCAGATATCTACTGAATTGAAAACGTAGTTTAACTAAACGTAACTGAACTGATCAGTATCAGACAAAACAGAAAACTTATTGATTAGTTTATTCATCGTCCTCCTGCGCACTGAAACCACCGAAGTCATCTTCTTCAGTGTCGGAGTTGAACAGCCTCAGAAGAGCTTCGTCACATACCTTTTCTGTGGCGATGTCAGTGTCGTTGTCATCATCCACGGGTGAAGCTGGGAAAACAAGCAACACTGTTTTACTGTGAAAAACATCCTCCTGGGCGCTTTCCGTAGCGCTCCTATAACCATTCCTTCATTAGACTTTCCAGCATCCATCCCATCTGGTTGACTAAAGCCGCACCTCATTTTAAGCTGCATGATTCAAAGCGTGGGAAAAAGTAGCGGCTTATAGTCCAGAAATATACCCAAGTGATTTTAAACCACGCTGCTGCGGGCTGGCTCTGGACCAGGAATGAGCTCCCCTGCCCTGCCATCACCTACTGGAGACCGTTGCGAGCTGCTGCGGGCTGGCTCCGGTCCAGGTTTTAGCTCCTGTGTCCCGCTGGGAGGGTTTGAAATACCGCCATCCTCTGCTGGAGACCGTGGCGCGCTGCTGCGCCTTGATTGTTTATTCTGTTATTGTTAGCGGTACTTGTCTTGCAATGTGAAATACTTGGTCTCAGATTTTGTAAGAAAAATAATAAAATTTCCCCCCAAAATTCGACTTATATATGTTTTTTTCTTCTTCATTATACATTTTATGGCTGGTGCGACTTATACTCCAGAGCGACTTATACTCCGGAAAATACGGTAATCTTTTTATTTGCCAAATCCAGGCTAGAATGCTCCCAAACTTTAGATGATTTGGTACGCGTAGCTGCTGTGTCAGACGCCGCCATTTCTGTTAGTTGGCGCTCAGCAGAAAAGCTATTGCACATGTGCGAGTCTCTCGGCAGAGATTGTAATGAAGTGAGATGCCTCACTCGGTCGGAAAAAACACATCTGGCAACAACGTCGACAATGAAATTCGTTATCGACTATTTCCATTGTCGATATTTGTCGACAACGTCGACGAATCGTTGCAGCCCTAGTTGAAACAAAAATATGCTGGATAGCGGTTCCCCAACCCTGCTCTACAGCAATCCTCATACAAAGCAAGCATGTAGCGACAGTGGAGAGGAAAACTCCCCTTTAACAGGTAGAACTTGGCTCAGTATGAGCAGCCATCCGCCATGACTGACTTGAGTTCCTTCCTTTGTTCACCTCCAAATAATGATGTCCACCTTTAGAGCGGAGGATAGTACGGAACTCCAATCATAAAACACTTTAGTTTTTCTACTTTTGATAACAAATTTAGTCCAAAACAATCAGAACAGATACAAACGTTTGCATTGTCATTAAGGAAAAACACTTGTCTTTATGTATAAATGTACAGAAATACATCAAATAGAAGCAAGATGAACCGCATCACTGTGATGAGTTGTTAGGACCGAAGAGCGGGTTTAATTCTGAAGAAATTCTCACAAATTCAGAGTGAATTTCATCTTTTATTGTGAAAAGAACTTGGCTGTTATTTAATTTAAATGTGTTTCCATGATTAAAGGCATAAATATTTTAGAACTAGACCATCTTTTCTGGCTTTGTAATAGTTAATTAGTGACTAGTAAAAGAAAATATAATTGATCTCTTCTGACACTGTAAAATAATAAATATCGGGAAAAAGCCTAAACTTTCTGGATTAGTTTTAAACTTTTGAGAAAGCAACTGAGGTGAACTAGCCGGGCAAGCCATCGTCTGGCCATGACCCATTGGTGGCTCATCTTTCGTGGGGCGGAGTCTACGGTTGTCTTTCAAACTGTCCTAACGTGCTATTGGACATCAGACAGCATGACGTATTCACCGCTGCAGATGTCAGTCAACGAGGCTCCAGCATACTCCGTCAAAGAACAAACAAACACATTGTTTTTGTAAACAACTCTGTCTTCTATTGAGTCAAAGCAAAGGCCACGTCTAAGTAGTCCAAAGTTGAAGTCAAAGCTGTGTCAAACTAGCCGTTCCCATCTTTGTATTTTCAGTAACATCCCGCCCACCGAGCGCTGCGATTGGTCCACCAAACTAATAGAGCGCTGTGATTGGACTGCTACGGATGTTAATCAATGGGGCAGTCTGTCATTACATTGTGGAAGTTCTACATGAAACATATCTACAAATCGTTTTTCTAATAAATGCGCTGTGATTGGTCAGCCACAATCCTGGCCGGGCTTGCGGAGGTTCCAGTGGCGCGTATCTTGACTGACATGCAAAGCAAAATTATTTTTGCTATTTTTAAAATTAAAGTTGGACATTTACTAAACAATGTATACATATAATATCTGAGTTTATGGGGACAAATCACAAATTCACCAGGGTTTGTTGTTTTATAGTTTTGTATTGAGATGCTTTCAAAGTAAAAGTCCACTTCCTGCTTGTTCGTGTTAGATGAGAAACTAAAAGCGCAAAACGTTTTTATTCTCATTAGTCAAGCAGAAAAGTACCAAGTAGTGAGATATCTCACGCCCCTGCTTCTAGATGAAACCCCGTTTTGTTTGTATTTTTATTTCTGCCTCTAATCGTGGAAAACTTCTTTTCTAAATTTAACCTAACATCCAAATAAATTTGAGAAAAATTTAGAAATTTCTGATATTTTCTTTTGAGCTCCCCTCCAGCTCATTGTGTTTAGTGACCTTAAAGCTCAAGCGTACATCCCTCAGCAGTAAATGTGTTTTTGTTCTGATAGAAGAAGGTTCTGTATGAAATATCTCCATCTGTCCTCTGCCTCATCAGCCAACAAGCATGGTGGACTTAAGCATGCTTTTACTTTCATTCTCTTACCCTTTAACTAATAAAATGTGCTGAATAAAGATTTAAATTTGCATGAACATCTAAAAGCATGCCTGTTTTTAAGTTGTGTGAAATTGTTCATTTAGAGTCGAAAACACTTAAAATGTTACGGTTTTTATTTGTTAAAACCATAAAATCCTCCTCTTCCTCCTCCTGCATCATCTTCATCCCATGTCTTAGATAATATAAACATGGTGACTTTTTCTTCTGACTACATCTCTCTTAATTTCTCTTTTTTTCTCTCTCCTCTTTTCCTCCTCCTCCCGTCTCATGAATCTTTATGATATTTCTGTTTGATGTGGTGAACTGGGCTCCTTCCTGCGGGTTGTTTATTGTTGCTTTTGTTTGGATTTCACCTCGTTGGAGCTGCTCCCTGTCATCGCCATCACTCTGATTATTTGGCCATCTCTCTGCCTGCATATGTGCGGGCCATCTGTTTGTTTTCTTCCTCACCCTCCCTCGTTGTCTTATCATCGTCATCGCCTCTGTCCCCGTTGCCTTCCACCCGCTTCGTGTGCTCCTCCTCCCGTTTCCTCCTGGACTGAGCAGCGTTGGGACAAGGGAAGGGGTGATCCAGAAGAACCTGAGCGGCCTGCTGCCGGTGCGGGACCTGTATCTGGACCCCAGCTTGCTGTACTCGCTGCCTCTGCTGGCGCTCAGCCCCAACCTGCTGGTGGTGTGGATCTTCCTTAGCATCACATGCTTCCTGGCCAAACTCCGCTGCAGCTGAGCCAAGGAGATGGACAGAACGGGCTCTCTGTGTCTCTGAATCTGTACCACTGTCCTGTGAGTGTGTGATCCAAACACACACACTCTCATATACCAACCTAAGGGCTTCATGTAACTCATGCCCTCTTCTAGCTGAAATTAGGATGAGATTGACTTTTGGGCTTCTTAATTTATAATTTGGTGACTTAATAGTAGTTTTCTGACTTTACTGTCATAAGTTATCGTGCTCTAAGCTCACATTGATCAAGCAGCTCCCCCTGGTGGCTGAACAGTGCTCTGCCTTATTTTTGACCCCTTTTACTGGTGGTTTATTTACTCTCACTTAGGACTTGTATATATGTGTAAAAACAAATGAGTATACCCAGGATGTAGCCATTATAACTGAAGCAAATGTTTAAAATAATTCTTTCATCTTTCATGTACTTTTTGCACTCATTACACAGGCTGGATTCAAGTAAATTGTAGCTTTTATTTGAAGCCGAAGTGAATTGATGTAGTTTTGCAGGATAGTTTGGAATGTGTTTTGTGGGATATTCAGGTGAATAAGCTTTTTACATCCGGTTTAAACATGCAGCATGAGAAACAGAATTTTTAATGATGCAACATGCATTTTTGAATGAATGATGCAGGTTGTTATGATTGTGCCAAATGCTAAAGTCAGGTTATTATCAGGCCGACTCAGCTGTCAAGATTTAGTTGTAGTCGAGGAGAAACAGGACTTGTTAGTTTTGTCTTGGGAAAAAGACTCATGAACCTTTTTTTTATTCTGTGGCAAAATCATTATTTTACGTCTTGAATATCTTTTTTAAGTTTTGTTTATCAAATGTCTAAAGGAATGTTTACAATATACCGAATTTATCTCACCAACTGCTCAGAAAAAAATACTTATCATTATCAAAATTGTGTTCATGTTTTATCAAAATAAAAAACTTTTTGTTCTGTAATCTCTTAAATCTTGATAACAGAAAACGATCAGATTTTCATTTCATTGGAATTTCATTTGCTAAAATGTAAATGAAATGATTGTGAATTTATGAAAATAAATTTAGCTAATTAGCTGATTTCAACCATTTGTTTCTAAACATTTCAGTTCATAAACAAACTAAAATACGAATTTAGAAAATATATTTTAACTCTATGCTAGCAGCTTTGTGAACTTTTCTGCCTTTTTTAGTATATTTTATAAATGTAGCTTTTGGATTAGTTTATATTTTAGATTAAAATAGAGTTTTAAAAAGAGCTTTATCAGAATTGAAAGTCAATGTCTTCATATTTCACTTTAAATTATAGGAAGCCTAAGCCCCCTCCCTTTCCGGTCGGCTCACGGGTCCCCGGAAGAACGAAAAAATAATTGCAAGTCAGCGGGGCTGAAAACGTTATTTTCTAACCTGCTTTGCCTTACGCCCTGGATCTCACATGTGTTGTATTTTAATTTAAATGAAAAGTAATGATGGGTGTTTCGACCACGCCAGTCACGTACTTTGAGATTTATCAGCTTGTAAAAGTTCATAATTAGCATGACTACAAACAAGAAATCGACACGTCACATATGTAACATCACCACATAAGCTCCTCCCCCCTAACGAAGCTGCTACTTACCACATGACCAGATGTAATGGTGATGAAATCACCAGATTTATGGTGGTTCTTTCCTCCTGTGGGAAGTTAGCTGAACTTACAGCCCTTTTCCCTCATTTTTCTCCGTGTCTGGTTCGATGACGTCACTTTCGTGAAGCGCATTTGTTTTCCTGGACTTATTTTCACACAAAACCTAAAATACCATTTCCCCCTGTTCAAAAATAAGTGCATTCTTGGTGTCTAATTATGCTAATGCTAATTATGAACTTTTATAAGCTGATGAAGCTCAAAGTACGAGACTGGCGTGGTTGAAACACCCATCATTACTTTTCATTTAAATTGCAGTATAACACATGTGATCCTGGGCGTAAGGCAAAGTGGATTAGAAAATATCGTTTTTAGCCCCGTTGACTTACATTCATTTTTTCACTCTTCTGGGGACCTGTGATGCGGAAGTGGCTTAGGCTCCCTATTTTAGGTCTATGATGACAGCTTCCTGTACTTTCCCGCCTTTTTTAGTAGTTTTTCTAAATGTAGCTGGCTTGTGGAATAGCTTCTGTTTTGGTTTAAAATGAGTTTTGAAAAGGTCTATTGAAAAAAAAGTCAATTTCTTTATATTTTACTTTAAACTATAAAAATAAACGTGAACTAAAGTGAAGAACTTATTTGTGGAAAAAGATTGTAGCTAATCAAAGCTAGCAAATTAGCTAAAGTTTTTTGCTTCAATGTATTTATCCTATCCTTATTGTTTTTATGCAGATTTTTTATTTGATCTTTTAAACTACCTCTTCGGTTTCAGTACATGTTAGTGTTTGTTTAAAAATAACAAGTTACCACTATGTCGCATGAATGTCATTATGTTAATGCAAGAAAAAGGATAAAATATGCACAAAGAGAGAGTTTAAATTTTTACATCTATTTACTATTGTTATTCATGTTTACATGAGTGAAGTGCTTCCTGAATATAGTCATTTCATGATATGAAGTGAAATGAAGAGATATTTATTTTCTTCCATATTGTGTTGCTTTCTTGTTGTTGCATTAGAGAATATATTTATACTGTTGTAAAACAATCGTATTGAAATGCTTTTGTTAACGTAATTCTTTATTATGTCTGAAATATGTATTGTTTTAAATGAGAGTATTTATATATATTTGATTATTTTTGCTTGTTGTTACTTTAACATAATCTGTTTTCAATCAGCTGTTGGTTTATTTACATTCTTGTTTGCAGCTATTCCCAAATCTCCCAGTTATGCTGTTAAACTGTGGAATGCTCATGTGGCTGTGTTAATATGTGGATTAACAACTGTTGTGTTTACAGAGTCATATTTAAAATGGAGTTAGAATCTGTTTTTAGTTCTGGATGCAGAAAGTTTCTTTTGAAATGAACATTTCAACATCAAAATTGGAAAACATCTTGATTTTTATTGTTATAGTGGATTTTATTTTTGTTGTTGTCTAAATTAATCCCAGGTCAGTGAACCCTGGTCGGTACACCCGAGTGAAATTGCTGCTTGCATTTTCTCTATTTATGACTCAAAAAGTAAAGGTTTTCTTGCGGTTTGAGTGCCATGTCGCTCTAAATGTGTTACACTTGTTCCGTGTGCACTTACAGTCACACTGCTGCTGAAGTAAATAAAAGTTGTGCCTCCATCTGCAGAATATAAACGGACTTCAGAGTTGTTCCTCATTTTTTTCCTTCTTTACGTTTATCTGGATTATTCTGAAAATTTCCAACAACACTTCTCCAGATTTCTTGCTGTTGCACTGATCATCATGCCTTTATTTTTTTTTCTTTTGCTCTCATTCTGTCCTCCTCCTGTCTCCTCAGCGAGGGCTGCAGGCGAGAAAACACCATGAAGAACATCAAGTGCAGGAAGTATGCCTTCAACTCACTGCAGCTGCGAGCGTTCCCCAGAAACTACCGACCGCCTGAAGGTACCTACGGTAAAGTGGAGTCCTGATGGAGGATGCAGCGAAGCTGTGTGTACAATCAGACAAATGAAGATATTTGTGGTCAGAGACATTTTAGCCATCATGAAGGGAAGGTTAGATCTAGTATTCCCTGAGCTGAGTTTAGAACAAACTGTTAAACACTGTTGCTTACTGTTTATTACTCCTGACACGCTTAATCCAGTTTCCTCTCACTGATGATCTAATAGCTACTGCACTCGTGTTTCATTTATAAGAAACCAGAAGAAATGAATCTCCCGCTGCTGAATTATTAAAACTGTGATTACGTTCAGATACGCTGCAGTGAAATGCTTGTTTTTAGATTTTATGCATTGTTTAAAAAAGATGTGCAAAATAACGTGTGCTCTTATTATGGAGCAACAGAAGCAGTGCCTTTAAAAAGCTGCCCCAAGTGCCCATGAGCAAGATTTAAATTTTGTGTTGACCTGAAAAGTCCCCTTGATGAGAGTGGAGCTGCTGATTTAGTAGGATTGATTTGAGGGGTTTCATTTTGCTATTTCAAGGTGGCCTATTGTAAGTACCTGAGCAGCCTTAGTTCAGACCAATAGATTTCACATCCTCTAGAACTGATGCTAGTTTGAGAGCAACTAAATCCAAATGTGTCGTTTTAAATCGGGTCCAGCCTGCTGTCACTTTTAGAGCTGACTATTGCAGCGTATTGATACCTGTTGTGGGATCTTTAGTAATGTGAGCTAGTTCACCAAATGCGTTAAAACCAAGCCCCCATCATTCGGGTCTGAAAATGAAGCCAATACGGAAGTGAAATGCATGCAAATGCAGATCTAGCTCCGGGGAAAGGCCTCAGTCTGAGCCTCGGCCTCGCCTTAAAACTGTTCCGCCATTTTCAGTCTCTCAACTTAGACCGCTAGTTGTGCCGTTTGTGCGTTCTTTTTAGATTTTATTTGTGCAATTGTTGGACAAAATGACTTGCTGTGACATTAATTGCACAAATAGAGCATCCAAGGAGTCTCCACTTCATTTTTTTCGGTAAGTAAAATTATATTTATGTATTTTAGGTCACTGCCGAGCTGAGCTTAGATTTAACATGTACTGTTTAACCATGAAATTTAAATGTAATAGGGTAAAACCCAGTGCATTTAACATTGGTGGAGCTGGGTTCCGACTATCAGTCTGCCCCCTCCCCTCAGCGGTAGTTCGGCGCATCCCTGACCGCAGCGGCACCTGTCTGCTGCGCGGGTTGCCGGCTTGTGGACCTCTCGGATGAAAACCGATGTTTTCCTCCCGGTTCTCCCCAGTGGCAACTTGGCGTATCTCTGACTCAGAAGCTCCAGTGTTGTGCACAGTTAACTCCGGTTGTAGCTAGGTTGCTATCTCCGTTAGCTTAGCTCCCACTTCCGCGTTAGCTTTGGGTTAGCTTGTAGCTACATCGCTTCAGTTCGACGGGTGTCGTCGTTTGATCCCAGCCTTACAGCCGCACCCTCAGCTCCACCTCTTTTCCCTTTATTAGGAATTGTCTGGGCTTGACGGAACCTGTGACACAGTCAAAATGGTGGTGGTGGCCACCTCCCATTTTGGCTTAAAAACTTATTATTGGAGCCTATGGACACGCATTGTCCAGTATATATGTCGATGGTTAAAACTAGTGGAGTGGAACACACTTCATTCAATGATTCAGTTTTCTAACGGACCTGTAAACCAGGAACAGGTCCCAGTTGTGCCCAGACTAGCCGTTAGCCTATCAGTCTTGAAGGATATAAATGTTACAGGCCTAACATTGCTGAAACAATACAGAAAACGTATCTTTGAACCAGTGTTTTTCTCCGCACATGTAGAAAGATTTTACCTCATTTTTCTCTGCTTATAAAATATTTCATTTCTGTATAATACCTGCTGTGATCTGTTTGTACCACAAGGGGTGTCATTGCTCCTTGTTACTTTTAGTGAAGTACAAATCCAGTCAATCTGCTGTGATACATCCACCTCTGTATTTACACCTAACTTATATCTCGTGTTTTATGTTTTATATGTGTAAACAGGAAACCCGTGATGGATTTTTATCTTTGTGTTGCTGAAATAAAATAGTTTTTTAGTTTTGTTGGTTTCCTTTATTTGTGAGTCATTCATCTGTGACTCGTAATGTGAGTATATAACCAGATTATTACAAAAGCAAGTTTGGTCATTACAGACATACCAGCCAAACCATGTTTAGTCACACTGAGATATGTTCAACGGTCCAGGAAATGTCTATTGCATCATCTCCACCACTGGATGATGAGCTGTTGGTTTGATATCCTGTAGAGAGAAAAGGCATCAGATGAGTGGATTATGCAGATGTACCACTTACCTTGAATGATCTCTATTTTTATCCCCCAAAGCAGCCAAAATCTAAAGAAAAACTACAAATTTAATCTATTTAAATTAAAGACCAAACACGTGATCCTCTGAACCGTTCTTTGTCTCACCCTTCACCTAAGACCAATTTGTCATGGGAGACCCTACCAGGGGCATAAAGTACCCCAGACAACATAGCTCCTAGGATCATTAGGGCACTCAAACTCCTCCACCACGATAAGGTGACGGTTCAAGGCAAGATTGGTTCAGAGGATCTTTCATGGATATACAATCAAAGAGTCGGAGTACCTGGCCCGGAGGGTTACCGGCGTTCCACCCTGGAGCCAGGCCTGGGGTTGGGGCCTGTGAGCGAGCGCCTGGTGGCCGGGCTTTCGCCCATGGGGCCCGGCCGGGCCCAGCCCGAACCGGATACATGGGCTCATCCAACTGTGGACCCACCACCCGCAGGAGGAACATGAAGGGTCCGGTGCAATGTGGATCGGGTGGCAGACCTTGGCGGTCCGATCCCCAGACATGGAAGCTAGTTTTTTGGACATGGAATGTCACCTCTCTGGCGGGGAAGGAGCAGGAGCTTGTGGCAGAGGTTGAGTGGTACCGGCTAGATATAGTCAGACTCACTTCAACACATAGCATTGGCTCTGGAACCCAAGTCCTTGAGAGGGGTTGGACACTCTCCTTTGCTGGAGTTGCTCCGGGTGAGAGGCGGAGGGCTGGGGTTGGCTTTTTGTTAGCCCCAAGACTCTCTGCCTGTGTGTTGGGGTTTACCCCGGGGGACGAGAGGGTAGCTTCCCTGCACCTTCGGGTCGGGGAACGGGTCCTGACTGCTGTTTGTGCTTATGGACCAAATATCAGTTCAGAGTACCCACCCTTTTTGGAGTCCCTGGGACGAGTGCTAGATAGTGCTCCATCAGGGGACTCCATTTTCCTGCTGGGGGACTTCAATGCTCACGTGGGCAATGACAGCATGACCTGGAGGGGTGTGACTGGGAGGAACGGCCCGCCTGATCTGAACTCGAGTGGTGTTTTGTTATTGGACTTCTGTGCAAGCCGCAGTTTGGCCATAAGGAACACCATGTTCGAACATAAGGATGCCCATCGGTACACTTGGTACCAGGGCAGCCTAGGTCGCAGGTCGATGATAGACTTTGTAGTCGTATCATCTGACCTGCGGCCGTATGTTTTGGACACCAAATGTTACCCCAAAATTAAATTTGGGGTAACATTTCAAATAACTGAAATGTATTTTTTCTAAAATGTTTGAGTTTGTAAAATTTAAGTTAAATGTTTTGGATACATACTGTTATTTTAATAAAAATGAATAAAGGTGCAATGCAGTACATCGCCACAGGCTAAATTCTCCCAGAGTTACCACAAGGACCAATTTGGTGTGCCAACCCAAAAATTTTTTGGCCCCATCTGGCCACCCCTTATCAAAATTTTCTGGAGGCGCCCCTGTCGGTAGATCTTTTAGAACTGCAGTTCAAAGGTAACTCATAAGGTGAATATATATGAACCCAGGTAGCAGTTTTTCTTTAGGATTGAGAGGAGATGCAGGAAGATAATAAACAGTACAGAAAAATTGCCAAATAAAAAACAAGTTAGTTTTTGTACCTGGTGGTTGCAACAAACAGACACTATTGAAGGTAATCAGAAGTGAGGAACAGAAAATGAAATTATTATTTTAATGTTTAGAGCAGCAGCATCTCTGAGAGGCTGCCGCTGCGCAGGGGAAGGGGGGAGAGGGCTGAAGCAGGAACAGTAAAGATGCAGAAACTACCGTTGTTAAGAGATGTTTAACTTAGAAAATGTGGGCGCAATTTTAATAGTCAAAAACACCAGCGAACAAGCCCCCCCCCCCCACACACACACACACAACCCACCCCACCTTGTGCGTGTTCTGGCATCTGTTTGGCCTTTCTTGACATTGACGTCAGTGTTTGTATTCCAGGAATGTTTAGTTCTCCAGCAAGTAAACAAGCATGTGATGAAAGGGAAGACCCATCAGAACCCCAAATAAAAACCCTTTAGATCTGGACTGTGAGATATCCACCAAACTGAGATGTGAACTGAAGCTGCCGTTTTCCCTGTCAGAGGGTTTGTGTTTTCTGAGAATTTAATCTCAAATGTTATCAAGGAACAGAACACTCTTGTCTTCAAGAGGTGGAAAATGTAACGGGGATGACCTCTGAAATGATGAGGATTTATTGCTCTTAAAAAGCAAGGAAAATTTATATTATCAACTTTCAGTCAACCAAACAAAAACTTGAAATCTTGACCTCATTCTCAGGGGTAACGGAAGAAGGCATCAACAAACGCCAGTAACACAGGAAAGAGAAACAATTCAAAACTTTATTGACGCTTGCTATTAACAGTCCAAGATCCATGATATTGAACGCCTTTGACAGGCTGACAAATAATGCAATACAGTGTTTGTTAGAATCTAATGCATCATAAGTCTTAGCGGTAGTTGCACTTTGCTGCTTTCTAAAGCTGGACTGAAGGGATTTATTTAGTATGTTATTTAGTTTTTGGAAATTGTCATGATCTTGCCATGTCCTGACCTCCGTGCACCATCACTTATCTCATCAGCCTTCATGCATCACACCAGGTCCCCTCATCAAGCTCATGCCACACACCTGCCTCACCAGCTATATATTACAGTCAACCTCCAGCACTCTGCCAGATTATTTAACGCTCCTGCTAGTAAACCGTCCAGCCTTTTCTACCCTGCCTGATCATAGCCTCCCGACCTCGTTTCCACGCCTGACCCTTGCACCTGCTGCGTGTCTACCTGGTTCCGACCCACGCCTGCCTCCACTTTGCCTTTACCTGAGTTTTACTTCGGTAACACCTCCTCTTAGCTTCAGGCTAATATAGACTGTTAAATCGTCTTACTGTATTTGGTGTCTTCACAGGTCCTCAAGTTCTGGTCATTAGAGAGATATCTCCAATGGGAACAGAATAAACCTTGGGATACTTTAATCAGGACACATTATTTGGAATAGATCTACACCAGCCCTAGGTGGCTCAAGGGCCACAACTGGCCCAGCAGTCATTTAGGACCAGCCCGTTGACCATATACCTCTTAGTAAATAATTTGTTTAATAGCTGCAACTTAATTGTAAGCGTGACAGTTAACAATTTGTGTCGTTTTAAGGCGCTTACTCTGCTGGTGGAACGTTTACATCAGTTTCATGGGAAAACAAGTTTCACCCAAAAGACGAGACACAAGGTGGACAGCGAAAGTAGAAAATTGCACACGTAAAAAAGCTGAGGGAAACCCCGTGTGCCTTACCCGTCTCGTCATTAGTTCGATAGATAGAGAATACAAGGGGATCGACAGACTAAACTAAAGACGCCAACTCTAAACAACCAGTGAAGTTTAGTGATTTTCACTTCAAAAGCTACATCGCTCCGAATTGCATCCACACTGACTGAAAAGAAAAGACAATGGTTCCCTCTTTCCTATTCATTTTCTCTCCCTTTTCTTACATTTTTTAAGTCACAATTTAGTTATTTAATCGTTTTAGAAATCTTTTTAATACTCTTTTGTTTTTGTGAAGTGCCTCGTGATTTTTGGAGGCGCTAGATAAAATATTGTTTTCTTTCTTTTTACGATACAAGAGATGAAGTGCATGGAAATGAGTGGCCTACTGGCAAAAACCTAATGACAATTTGGTCCAACTAAAACGTAATGAAATACCTGTGATTTACACTGACTGGCCAAATAAAAGTCGCCACCTGGATTTAACTGAGCAAACAGGTACGAGCCTCCTACTGGATTGCCTAGTGGCTAATGTAACACGCTGTGGGGGCACTACTATGATCTGGGCTTGCTGCGGTTGGCCAGGTCTAGGTTCAACAACAGGATGTGCTCCCAGAATGAGCTCTGCTGATTAGCTGAATATACTGAATGACCAGGTTATTCCATCTTCCCTGAAGGCATATTCCAAGATGGCAGTGTCAGGATTCATCAGGCTCAGATAAAATATTCAATAAATGAATTTAGCATTATAAATCATGCTCTAAAAGTTGGCAAATCATTAGAGAGCTTGTGTGCATGAGGAGGATTACACATTGTTCCAGAATATTCTGGGGTAATTAACTCATTCACTGCCAGCCGTTTCCTGATCGCTAACGGCCTTCGCTGCCCACGTTTATCACCGTTTTTACTGTTTTTTTAAGAGTCACAGAACGTTGTGCGCTAGGACGATGTCGACGCCAAAACAACCAAAACAAAGAGGAAACTCACCTCTTACATCAGGAAGAATCTGCGCATTTCGAGCGTTATCCGTTCTTTCATAATCCGTTGTCGAACTGTGATCGGCAGACGCTTTTCCGGTTTGTGCCTCACTTTTTTACAGGAACGGCCCAAAACGATCTCCTAACACATGGATGTTCTGCTTCCTGATCACGTGACGTGTGACGTATGCGGATGAAGATCGGCTTCAGGACTGAGATGTTTGTTCTCAGCGCGGGGGCTCGTTCCGATGCTCAAACAGTTAAAAAAAAATGCAAATGACGACTTTAGTCGTCATTGGCAGTGAATGAGTTAATGTTGTTGGTGATTTCAGGAAGGTTAAACATTTCTCTGTGGTGATTCCTTGTAGTCACGTAGATGAACTGCTTCCATGGACAGATCGTGAACAAAGCCTGTTCATCTTAGTGTTTAAATCTCTTCAACATAATCCTTGGTGTAACTTCTGGGGGCACTTGCATCATATCCAACGACACCAATTTCAGTGTATTTATCGAGGTGATCAGTTAAGACTACTAGTGTTGATCTCAGTTTGGTTGTGTCGGTACAGCCATTAGTTGAGAGAGGTTTTATAAGTCAAAGGTAAGTTTTAAGTCATCAGATGCTGAGGTCAGCCAGTCCAGGTTTAAATCCCCAATTATGACGATGGATCTCACCAGCATTTAGTCCTGTTAGATTGTTTCTTATGGAGGGCGTCAGAGGGCCTCACGGTGATGACCTTTGACATCCAGCAACCAGCAGATGTCAAAGAAATCAGCATGAGGCCAAGATGTGCGATATCCAACAAGCCGGCAGACTCCAGTATTTTACTTGGAATGTCCCGAGATTCAGATCTTGCCATTTGATCTTAATTGTTGACTCCCTTTCTTTGATTTTTCATCCGCCGTGTTGTAATACTGCAACGATTTACTAGACTGGAAGTTATCCCCTTTCTAAGGACTTAAGAAGACCAAAAACCAGTAAATATACTTTAAATCTCTGAGTTTTGATCACTTTCACACAGAATAATATTCAGCCTGAGTTTGAAGTGGACGTCAGACTGGTTTTAGTTGGTAGCACTGCTGCCTCGCTGCACAAAGGTTGCAAATTCAAATTCCAGCAGCAACCTTTCTGTATTGATTTATCACATTATCTCCATGCATGTGTGGGTTTCTCCTGATATTCTGATGTCCCCCACAGACATAAACGTACGTGTTTTTGGTTCGTTTTGGTGTTTGGTCTGTGCAAAGAACAAGATGGACCATGCAGATCTGCGTGGAGAAACTGTCTCTCTAGACTGTGATCCTCTACACACACATGTTTTGGTTTTAATGACTGGTCTGCAAGTCTGTGGTGGAAAATTTAAAGTTCAAATAATGAATTTGTTTGGTAACAGGGATGGAAGTATTTGATTAGAATACCTATGGTTTAGCTATGAAAGTGGTCAAAAATCAGGAAAATCTATGTTCAGTTGTATATTTTCTAAATGACCTGTGCAAAAAATGTGTCAAAAGAGGGAAAACTTTTCTTAATGTGAACGATCTGTCTATTAGTTTTACTCTCTCTACATATTGTCTCCTGATTTAAATTTTTTAACCAAAGCAGATCTGTTTATACTTTACATATTTCATATTCTGATACTTTTGAATCATGTGTACATTCATGATTTTAGAGAAGCCATTTGGGTTAGATTGTTAAATGACAAACTATAATTTTTGAGGTGATCTCAAATAAAATCTGTTTTAGGTCCTTTAATACAAACAAAATGCATGATTTAAAGCTTAAATCCATGCATTTTAGAAATCGTTAGGATCTAAAACTTACGTTTGCTTTCATTTTATTCAAGAAGAGTTCTAAATCTTACCTCCAATCCCACCCTTCTCGTGACTAATGACTCGTGTCACATGAAAACCTGAACAAATTGGGTGAAACTGAAGGTTAATGTTATGAGTCAGACACCACAACCCTGACATTCCTCCAACATCGCCACCATGAACACATTCTTCTTCCTGGCGCAGATTTTAAGCATCGTCCCGGTTTCTGTTGTGCTGCTATTTCTCCTCCTGAAGCTCTTTTCCAGCTTCAGCAGCAGCAGCAGCAGCTCCGGGCTGGACTCTCGTGGACTGGCTGTCCTGATAACGGGCTGCGACACTGGCTTCGGGCACCAGCTGGCTCTGTGTTTGGACCGGAGAGGCTTTGTGGTGTTTGCTGGGTGTCTGAACCCAGAGGGAGACGGAGCTCAGAGTCTGGATAAAAAGAGCTCCAAAAATCTGAAAATCCTGAAGCTGGATGTCACCAGAGATGAAGATGTGCAGCTGGCCAGGAAGATGATCCAGGAGAACCTTCCAGAGAAAGGTCAGAGTTCAGTTTGCTGCTGAGACAGGTTCAAATGAATGACATTTAAAAAGTAAGGATTTTCATTTCACTTTTTTTCATAATTTAATGTTTAACATTTTATGTTTAAAAGTGGTTCTAATATCGTAAATGTTTTGTCATGGGTGAGTCGGCAAATAAAAGTTTCTGAAAGGTTTTCAAGAGCTGATGTACATATTTAAAGGAAAAACTTTACAGACTTCTATAATAATATCATAATTTACTGCAATAAAAACAGGCGTAGTCATATTCTTGAAGGCCACCCCAGAGTTTTTTTAATACAAAAAGTTAGATCAAAGTTTCTGTTTTAATCGGTATAATATTTTGATTCTTGCTCTGGACATTAAAAGGTTTATTGCAGTCTCCTGGTTCTGGTCTTCAGGTCTGTGGGCGGTTGTGAACAACGCTGGAATCTCAGACTGGGCAGAGATCGAGTGGAGCACCTTTGAAGACTTCTACACCATGATGGACGTAAACCTTTTAGGAAGCATCAGGACTTCCATCTCCTTCCTGCCTCTGGTTCGTACAGCTAAAGGTGAGTACAGTCAAACCAGTTCTCTGTGTTGCCAAACTAGTTATTGGTTCTTGGGCTTTCTGGCTTTTCTTCTTTTTGCCTTCGACAGTTTGTCCTTTTCATCATCTTCATGTTCATGCCTTCTTTTCTCTTTTTATTCTACATCTGCTTTGTCCCTTGGAGAAGAACTAGATGGTGCTCTGACTGGGGACTCCATAGTCCTGCTGGGGGACTTCAATGCTCACGCTGGCAATGATAGCATGGCCTGGAGTGGCGTGATTGGGAGGAACGGCCCGCCCAATCTGAACTCGAGTGGCGTTTTGTTATTGGACTTCTGCGCTAGTCGCAGTTTGGCCATAACAAACACCATGTTAAAACTTAATGATATCCATCGGGTACACCTGGTACCAGGGCAGCCTAGGTTACAGGCCAATGATTGACTTAGTAGTTGTGTCATGTGACCTGAGACCGTATGTTTTGGACATTCGAGTAAAGACAGGAGTGGAGCTGTCAACTGATCACCACTAAGCTGGATCAAATGGCAGGGGGAGATTCTGTGCAGACCAGGTAGACCCAAACGTATTGTGAGGGTCTGCTCGGAACACCTGGCAGATGAACCTGTCCAGATGGTCTCCAACTCCCACCTCCGGCAGAGCTTTGACCACGTCCTGAGAGCAGTGGGGGACATTGAGTCCAAATGGGCCTTGTTACGCTTTGCAATTGTTGGTGCCAGTCGTAGCAGCAACCCCCGTGCCCGCTGGTGGACACCAGAGGTTAGGAGAGCTGTCAAGCTGAAGAAGGAGGCCTACAGGGCGTGGCTGGTCTGTGGGTCTCCAGAGGCAGCAGACAGGTACCGGAGGGCCAAGCGGGGTGCAGCAGTGGCAGTTTCCGAGGCAAAATCTCGGGCGTGGGAGGAGTTTGCCGAGACCACGGAGAAGACTATCGATCGGCTCCAAAAAGGTTCTGGCAAACCATCCGGCGCCTCAGGGGAGGAAGGTAGCAACTTGCTCACACTGTTTACATTGGAGATGGGGGGCTGTTGACGTCAACTGGGGTTATAGTTGGGCGGTGGAAGGAATATTTTGAGGAGCTCCTCAATCCCACAGACACGCATTCCGAGGAGGAACCAGAGCTGGGAGACGTGGGGATGGACTGTCCAATCTCTGGGGCAGAAGTCGCTAGTCAAACAACTGTGCAGCGGCGGAGCCCCTGAGGTGGATGAAATCTGACCTGGGTATCTCAAGGCTTTGGATGTTGTAGGACTGTCTTGGTTGACACAGCTCTGCAATATTGCATGGTCATCGGGGGCAGTTCCTGTGGAGTGGCGAACCAGGGTGGGGGTCCCAATTTTTAAGAGGGGACCAGAGGGTGTGTTCCAACTGTAGAGGTATCACACTCCTCAGCCTCCCGGGGAAGGTCTGCTCCAGGGTCCTGGAGAGGAGGGTCCGGTCGATAGTTGAACCTCATATAGAGGAGGAGCAATGTGGTTTTCGTCCTGGCCGTGGAACTGTGGAGCAACTCTTTACCCTTGCTATGGTGATGGAGGGGTCATGGGAGTCGACCAAACCAATCCACATGTGTTTTGTGGATTTGAAGAAGGCTTATGACCATGTCCCCAGAGGCACCGTGTGGGGGCGCTCCAGGAGTATGGGGTGGATGGTCTTTTGCTAAGGGCCATTCAGTCCCTTTACCAGAGGAGTGTGAGTTTGGTCCGCATAGCCGACAGTAAGTCAGACCTGTTCCCAGTGTGGGTTGGACTCCTCCAGGGCTGCCCTTTGTCACCGGTCCTGTTCACAATGTTTATGGACAGGATTTCTAGGCACAGCCATGGTGTTGAGCGTGTGGAGTTTGGTAGCAGGAGTTTCTCATCTCTGCTTTATGCAGATTATGTGATGCTCCTAGCTTCATCAGGCTCTGACCTACAGTTCTTGCTGGGGAAGTTTGCAGCCGAGTGTGAGGCGGCTGAGATGAGGATCAGCACCTCCAAGTCTGAGACCATGGTTCTCGACCGGAAAAGAGCAGCTTGCTAACTCCGTGTCGGGAGAGAGGTCCTGCCTGAAGTGGAGGACTTCAAGTATCTCGGGGTCTTGTTCACGAGTGAGGGAAGAAGGGAGCGGGAGATCGACAGGCGGATTGGGGCAGCGTCTGCAGGTGATGAAGGGTGGATGATTTGTTTTTATCATTTTTACCCGAGAAGTTTCGGCTAACACCATAGCCATCTTCAGAGCTACAGAAGATGGCTATGGTGTTAGCCAAAACTGGCTCTAGCTTGAGCCATTTTAACTGGCTCGAGATCGAATTAGAATTTGTTTTTGTAGCTGAGAGTTGGTCACAATTCACATCACAGACTCTGACTACATCAAAATATAATTTTAGTTTAAAACTGAAATTGGGCTAATGCTAGGCCTCCAGTTAGCCTGTGCATGTTTCGTTAATCTTCATGTATACAAAAGTAACATAGCCTACATGTTGTTTAGATGGTTTATGTGTGAAAGTGTCAAGATCTCGTTGTTGTTTTCACAGGTCGGATGGTTTTCGTGTCGAGCATCTTCTCCTTCTTCCACTGTCTGAACATGGGCGCCTACAGTGTGTCGAAGAGGGGGCTGGAGGCGTTTGCTGATTGTTTAAGAGTGGAAATGGAAAGTTTTGGTGTGAAGGTAGGTACAAGTTGTTGTAAAAGAAACAGAAAAGGCTTGTTGGACTGTGGCTAATGAGAAACTTTTACTCATTTTGATTCATTTCATTCAAAATTATGACATCATAATTGTTTCTGAAGACAATTTGTGATAAATGAAACCAAGGAGACAATCTGCCTTTTATCATGCTTTTATTTTTAAGGAATTAAATAATTTTAAGTGAACACATAGAGGCTCTTCTCCTACTTCAGGTCAGCATCATCCAGCCAGGTAACTTCGCTGGCGCCACCAACATCCTGAAGACCAAAACCGGTTCGGAAATCTGGGAAAACCTGAACGACGAGCAAAAACTGGTCTTCAGCCGCCGCTACATGGAGCTGGCCTGCGACTATTTCACGTCCACATGCAGGACCGGGTTCAAGAGCCCAGAAGTGGTGATCAAAGCCATGCTGCACGCACTCACGTCAACTCGACCTAAACACAGATACCTGGTGGTCTCCACGTTGGATCTGATCTTCTTCAAGTTGTTTCCAGTTCTGCCTTCTTTCATCTCTGATGCCGTTTTTTCTCTCAGCTCCATTTATGCAAAGAGAAAAGAGATGCTTTATGCTTAAAAGACACAGTAGTTCTAGATCTACTGTATGTTATCTTCTCATCTATTAAAGTAAACGTATCATCTGATTGACAGATTTCATCAACTCCAGCCAACAATAATATGAGCCATTAGTCTGTTGTTGATGCCTTTTGGGTCAGAACCTAAAATATTATGAAATACCTTGTAAAACTACACAGAAATATTCATCACAGAGCCTGCTTCTTCATCTGAATCTCAGAAAACACAACAAAAATATAAAACCACATTCTACATGTTTTACTTTTAATCTGGTCACATCTTATCATTCTAAATAAAGAGAAAAACACTTTAAACTATTCTGGATTTAAATGAATTATTCCACAAGTTAGACCCAATTAATAACATGTTTTCATCAATAAACCTCATGAATTTGTGGATCACTATCAAAATTATGAATCCAAATTTCGTGTGTTACTAAACATTATTTACTTCAGAAAGTTGAATAAAACAAAACCAGCAGCATTTATGTGTAACAGATTTAATAATCCATATTTTACGTCTCTTTCATCAGTAAAAGTTGTTTATCGCTGACGTATTTAATCTGAATAAAGTGGGATTAAGGGCTGTACTCACATTGATTGATTATTGCCAATAATCAATCCCATTTTCCCCATGGGATTGAAGGTTTAGAATGCAAACAGAGAGATTTCATTTTTTTCTAACTGAATCTGCTTTTTGTAAACTCAAAGCAGATAATCTGCTATGCTAGCGCAGTTTTATTGATTTTATTTAACTTTCATTACTCTTGTTTTTATATCTTACTTAAAGGTTTAAAAACATTAAAGCTGTGTGACTGCAGATGCTTTTTCATGATTAAATTATCTTTGCGCTCCTTTAATTTTGACCCTTCTCGGAATCCTTCCAAACTGTTAGAACCAGAGAAGCCGATTGGCTGCGCCTGAGAGCAGCTCAAAAAACAGGAGGTCTCACTTTGTTGTCATTTCTGAAGTCACTTCCAAATAAGAGAAAAACGTTTAGGAAATATGTTTAGATAATTTAGATTTTGAATGGAGAAGGGGGAAATTTCAGATGTTTTAATTGCATCATAAAATAGTTTCTAACACTTTAAGCTGTTGCTTTCATACTGGTTTCAGTGGTTCTTGAGCAGCTTCAAATGAGACAGCCCTCTTCTGGCCAGAAACTGCACTAAACAACATTGCTGGTTCAGGTAGGTACCAGTACCAGCCATTGGTACAAGCCAAGAGTTGCATCTTGTTCAAAATCCCTGTCTGGATCAGCACCACCATATTTAGCCTCCCTGCTGACCCGTTACGTCCCTGCAAGATCGCTACGTTCGGGTCAGAGTGACCTTTTGTTGGTACCACGATCAAAACGTAATTCTAGGGGTGATCGTGCCTTTGCAGTTCTGGGTCCTCGGCTTTGGAATCAACTCCCACAAGAAATCAGACCATCCACATCACTGCCCACTTTTAAAGCAAGGTTTAAGCTGTATTTTAGATCTGTTTCTCAGTTGTTTTAATTCCCATTTTAATGTTTTGGATCACAATTTTTATTATTTTTTTAGCTCTTTTTTGTTTTTAAATGTTTTTATCTCTGTATTTTTTTATTGTGCTGCTTCTTTGCACTATGTTCACACCTTGGGCCCCCTTGATTGGGGGTGGGAAGGGGCTTTATAAATAAAATGATTGATTGCTTGCTGCTTTACAGCTTTAACCCTCTCAGGCTCGAAATAAGTTTAGATAAAAGGACGAACAACTAAGTCCTTCAGGGGTACTTCTGAGTTAAAAAATGCTCATGAAATACGTGTGTGGAGTAACCAGGTAGGTAGGTTTTAACGTTGCAAATCTGCAACGCCTGCCTCCAGAGGGTTAAAGTGACAGTGTGTATTTTTCCTGGCGATAGGGGGCAGTAGATACCTGAATCATTGCAAGCAAGCAGTATTTTTGTGTTGGAGTAAGACCTTACCGAATGATGTCCATTAGGGTCAAAAAGCTCTAGGGAGTGCAAACTTTAGCAAAATAACAAGCACATCATATTCCCATCACTGGCAACAAGTGAAGAGGTAAATGTGTAAAACAACAACATTTAAGAATGACAAAAGTTTTGTAACCTTTTGTTACAAATCAGTAAATGCATTCTGTCATCATGGGCTCCCTTAGAACAAAACATGGCGTCTAACATGGTGTCGCCCAGAGACTTAGAGTGTTTCTCAATGTCAAGGCACCTGGTCTTGCGAGGCCAGGCGCCTTGCTTACAAGGACACTGTCCTTCGTTGGTCAAAGAAAACAGTTAAATGGAACAGACTTGCATCACGTGACCGCGGCTTCCGTGGCAGTCCAGAAACGTCACGTGACACAGGAGATGTTATATTTTATACGTATACATTTCAATATAGATATATAACGAGTCTTTTACTTTTTAAATTGTGTATATTTTGGTTAAATTAATTATGTAAGCGAGTTACTACCTGCTAACCTCCGAAGCTGCAACTACTAGCATCTAACCAACCATAGCTAACTGCTTTAGATATAAAAAAACATTTTATATATCATCCCGATAGCTACAATTAGTTGACTTACATTCAAACTTGAAATTTGCCCCAAAGTAGCTGCCAGCCTCTGATCCGCCATCCTTTTGAAAATACAGAGGTGGATTGGGAGATTTTTTACCAAGGCTAAGCTACAAGATACCTCCCGTGTATCCTTGCTCAGCTAGCTAAACGGCTAACAAACGGAGAACAGATGCCTTGGTAAAACATGAACATTGGAACACGTCTTGGCGGTTCCTGACGACATCTCCGGGACCAGGACATCAAGGCGAGGTTCCATTTCATTGAGAAACACCCTCAGACACGCTCCCATGTATTTTAGACTTGATTTTTATGGTTATATGTTATGAAGCGGCAAATATTTTTCAACAACTGGGCATCATTTCATTAATTTTCTACAACATTTTGATGAACATTTCCACAATTTAATGGTAAAAGCTACACATTTTCTCTTTAATGTACTGGTATCAAATGTAAAGGATAGCAGTTAGCCTCTTTTGTGCGTTCATTCTGTGTATTTTTCCTAAATGCTTTACTTTGTTGTTTTTAACACAGATAAAGGTTGTTTTCCCTTTTATGCTGACGTTTCAACCATTGCCGCGGTCTTTTTCGGAGCTAGCCGTAGTTGGTGGAGAAGGAAGTGACGCCGTCAGCAGCGGCTAGCTCTGAAGAAGACCGCAGTCATGGTCAAAACGTCAGCATAAAAGGTAAAACTACTTTTTTGTGTTAAAAAAAGAACCAAGTAAAGTAGCAGTTAGCCTTTTGGGTTCATTGACCACCAATAGAAAACACACTAAAAAGACATGCTCTTTGATTTATTTAAATTGGAGCCTCCAGAAATGTTTGTAGTCTCTACAGCATATCTGTACGTTCGACGTTCTGTCTATGTAATTGTCTAAAAGCTGAAGCAGCAGAAGACATCTGTAAAAAGCCCAAAACACATAAATGGGCGTTATTTGTCATAGAAAGAATTACTTAGTGTTCATTAGCATTTTAGATTTTCTTATCTGATATATGTCATTTTAAGACACTCCCCCTTCCGGTTGCCGCTACAGAGCAGCTCATCCTGTTTAGAGACGATCTTTGTCGCTAGCAAACAGCAGAGAAAAGCCGCTGTTTGCTTACCATCTAACAGCTCTACTGACGTGTTTTTCACACTGACAGAAGTGGACGACTAAAGGGGCTTGGACAAAAACGTACTGGTAAGAAAGAGGAAGCGTTAAATCCAGAATAAAAGCAGCGGTCAGATTTGTAGGGTTTGGGTTAGTTTACAGGCTAGCTGCTTGCTTGGCTAACCAGCAGGATTAGATGGAAACACCTGGCATAGATTTTATACTCATTTTATTAATTGTATCTTCATTTTATCTCGCTAAGGAGGGCTAAAACGGGCATAAATAATTAGAATATTATCCAAATTTATTAAAGTTGTGAAATGAATTACTTTCGTTTTGACATTTGCTTTTTTCTTTCCTCTAAAGTTCAAGGAACAGTCAGTAAACAGGCGGTGTTTATTTATGACGTTGTTCTGACTGCTAATGTGTCTGATTCAGGGACAGAAGCAGTCCTGAGGATGAAGACATAAAGCCAACGGATGGACCCTCAGAGAAGGAGGTAAGTGCCTCCTGACCAGACTGGGGATAATCCAGTTCAGCTGGTGCGGGCTGGCTGGATGTGATCACCATGTGACATCGCCTACAGATGGAGCTCTGCTCACTTCTGCTTTCCCCCACAAAACAACTGTTGTTTAGATGAAGGCAGAGCAGGAGCGTGAAAGAAGCTGCTGCTTCAGCAGCCGCTCGCCCACTCTCTTCTGTTTTGTCAAATAGTTCCAAGTTGTCCCTCAAAGTAGAAATTTCTCCAGGTATCTGAAGATCAAAGCAAGTGTAAAAAAACTGGTGTGTTTTGCAGCTCTGAAGATGACGATGCAGGTGAGCGAGGCCTCCTCCACACCTGGAAGGGCTACTCTTACAGCATCACCCCGGAGAGGCTGCTGCTCCCTCGGCCGGTGCTCCAGGCCGCTCTGGGAGCGCAGCATGGAGTTCTGCTGGTGGAGGGTGAGACTTTGGCGTGTTCTGATGCAAAAACAGAATATATGATGAGAGAAGCACATAAGTTATTTGCTAAGTTCTCCGTCCAGTGGCAGAAAGCTTGGGTCAAGCTCTGGCCCAGCATGATAATGAGCCAAAACACCAAAAGTGTGTTCCTCCTCTTTGGTTCCCCCTCAGGTGGACAGGTGTACAGTTTCGGGGAGTTACCATGGAAACAGAGTCCAGCATTGGAGGCGATGAATCCGACTCTAGAGAACACGCTCAGTGGGCAGCGGGTGGTCGCCGTGGCAGCAGGGAGCTTCCACAGCGGGGCGGTGACGGAGGACGGCGGAGTCCACATGTGGGGGGACAACAGAGCTGGACAGTGTGGCCTGTCGGGTCTCAGCTCCGTCCCCAACCCGACACCGGTGGCCCTGGTGGAAGCTGGCGGTGCAGAAACGGTGCCGATTCTGGAGCTGGCCTGTGGGGAGGAGCACAGCCTGGCGCTGTCGGTCCAGAGGGAGGTGTGGGCGTGGGGCAGCGGGTGTCAGCTGGGTCTGAACGCCCCTGCCTTTCCTGTCTGGAAACCCCAGAAAGTGGAGCAGCTGGTGGGGAGGTGCGTGTTGCAGGTGGCCTGCGGGGCATCACACAGCCTGGCTCTGGTCCGTTGTCCAGGTCTGCAGGACGTCCAGCGTCCCCCCGTGGACAAATGTAACCAGTGTAACCAGCTGCTGTACACCATGATGGACAAGGAGGACCACGTCATCATCTCTGACAGCCACTTCTGTCCTCTGAGGGGGGACACCACTGAGGGGGAGGCCAGGCTTGAGGCCACTGCTCCCACCCAGGGTCTCAAATCCTCCCCATCTGAGCCGGTCCTCCCCTCCTACAGCGCCTCCTCCCATATCCCAGCAGCCCCTGCAACTGAAGGACACACAGACCCGGCCTCTGACCTCAACGGTGCTCTGAACCCAGAGGAATCAGAAACACGACTAACTAACGGTCTGCAGCCAGGCTCGGATGCAGCTCAGTCTAAAGCTGCTGCCGCCGCCAAAGGGTCGCCGTATCCCGATGAGCAGGCGGTGAAGGAATACCTGAGGAAGCTGTCGGACTGCTCACAAGTAGAGTCAAAGACGGTGAGTTCAAGCATCCTTTAATAACACAAAACCTTTTTTTCCCAGATAAACTTCGGTCTCTTTGATTTATTTTTCGTTTTAATTGTGAAGTTTGAGTCCAGAATGACTTGTTCAAATGATTCAGATGATCTGAAGAGATCCAGAAATAAGAAACCTCAAAGTAGGATTCTGCTGCTTCCAAACGGGAAGGAAGATTATAGATGATGCATCTCATTTTTGTTTCTACTCCAGCCATCTTCTGGAGGTCGTAGCTCCTCCACCCTCAACAGCCTGGTGGCCTCTTGCGCCTCAGCAGTGGGCGAGCGCGTCGCCTCCACCTACGAGGCTTTGTCCCTTAAAAAGGTGATGAACTTTTACCTGCCGTCGCGGTCCGAGGCACTAAGCGGAGTCGGGGAGAACACCGCGGAGCGAGTCCGCCGGGAGGAGTCGGTCCAGGCCAAAAAGAGCTCCAGCACGGGGGACATCCACGAGGAGGAGGCGGAGGGTTTGAGGCGCCGCCTGTCGCTGCCAGGACTCCTCTCTCAGGGTAGATACGCTGTTCACGTCTTATCCTCCTCCTATGGCCTTCTGCGTAAGTACACCTCGCACATGTGCAGGTGGACGTCAGTGTTTGCTCTCTCCTGGCTTGTTTGGCTTCACGTCATGGCATGCTTCATTCACAGCTTGGGAGTTTCTGTGTGTCATAAGTCTCGCAACATCCGTCAAAACCCGACAAGGACTCAAGCGTGCCGATGCGGCGACTTGACCATCCAACGTCAGATCTGTGTCTTGACGCCGAAACCAAATGATTTCAAGTTGATCAGACGGTGTAAAGAGAACCAAGATGGACAGAAATGTAATGTAATTAGTTGGGTTGGGCGATATGGCCTAAAATCAATATCGCAGTATACTGAGGATTTTATCCCGCTAACGATAAACGAAAACTACAGGTGTGCGCAGCGACAAAAGTTGTTCACTAGATGGGGCTGTCACATGTATTACGTATACCGGTCGGCCTCTAATTAAAAGCCCTTTTTACGAGACACACCATGTCGGTAAATCAGCGTAACATTACTGTAATAGTGTGTCTCAGAGATGCGCCGTGCCGGCATGACGGTGTGCAGGTTTTGCGGCATTTGTCTCGCCTCGCTTGGTAGTAAAATGGTAAATGGCCTGTATTTGATATAGCGCCTTCTAGAGTCCTGGAACCCCCCAAGGCGCTTTACAACACAGTCATTCACCCATTCACACACACATTCACACACTGGTGGGGATGAGCTACGATGTAGCCACAGCTGCCCTGGGGCGCACTGACAGAGGCGAGGCTGCCGAGCACTGGCGCCACCGGTCCCTCCGACCACCACCAGCAGGCAACGTGGGTTAAGTGTCTTACCCAAGGACACAATGACAGCGACAGACTGAGCGGGACTCGAACCTGCAACCTTCCGATTACTGGGCGAGCACTTAATTCCTGTGCCACCATCACCCAGTAAGATTGCAGTAATTTTCATTGTTTTGTAAAAAATGGCTAATAGGACGCGAATGTCTCCAACCTTCACACATTGTTTCTTTTTTCATTTTCAAATCTATTGACATGGGTCAAACTGTCGATTAGAATCGGAAATTCCGATAACGATAAACTTTCGATTTATTGCCCAGTAGGGCTGCACGATACTAGGAAAACCTGCGATATTCGATAACAGTGATTAATGTTGCGATGGCGATATTACTTGCGATGAATAAAAACTTAACTCAGGAACTAAAATAATCAGAAATAAAAAAAAAAGTTATAAAAATGAGAAAAGCAAAACACATGAAAAGGAAAGGGAAAAAGAAAATAAACAAGAAAAAGCAATCCGTGGATCCCGGGAGAAGCAGAATCGGCAGAAAGAGCAGAACTAAGCTAACTCAGGTGTTTGCTAACCATCAAAATTAAGGGCTGTCCACCTTGGGGGCGGGGCTCTAACCTTTGAGAACCCACCCAATTGGCCAAATGGGTGAAGAGCTCTATTTGATTTGTTAAAAAAAAAAAACGTAATACTTTCGTTTGACAGAATGCATCATGTGTAGCAAACATTTGAGCTGACCATTCATTACGATATTTATCTGTTCTTTGCGATATGCGTATTGTGCATGCTGATATCGCGATAACGATATATTTACGATATATTGTGCAGCCCTATTGCCCAGCCGTACGTTACCGCCACCATGACAACCGCTGATAGCATTTTAAGGTCACCGTGATGACAATCTGTGGCTCATTAGATCATCACGGTAACACACGTGAACTCTGAGCAGCGGAAGGGTCCCGTGGTTACACTGGTTTTTAACTTGGCGAGTTTAAAGCCCCAACACTTCAGGCTTAGTGCAGAATTATGGAGCTAATAAAACTCTGTGGAAGTTTGGATGTTTGGACTCTAAGGAGATTTGAGAGTAAACCATTCGTCTCACAGCGGGTGGAAGAAGACTAAAATGTCCACATTTTGAAGTTTTATTTACAAAAAACTTTATGGAAATAAGAGTGAGTTAACAAATATTTTGGAGCTGTTAGACAGCTCTAAAGTGGGAGTGTGTGGCGTGTAAAATCTCCAGAAAACCTCCAACTTAAAAGGTGATTGTGTAAAAAGCATCAAAGAAGTCGAAACACCAGTTAAGCCATGAAAAGTCCAACTTTCTGTGACCCGTTTAAACTCTGATGTTTCTACAGGAAGGTCTACCTGACATATAGAGCTCCAAAAAGGGGCGGGGCTTTCTCATTTTTTGACCAAAATCCCGTATTTTCTCAGCATCCTTCGAGCGTATCTGCATCTTACTTACGTCATATCGATACTAGACGCCTCTACTCCACACAAGGTCATTTAAAACTAGAATTTTTTAAATATTTTAATTTTCAGGTTTGAAAAGGAATAAAAGTCAGGATTATAATAGAAATGCACTCTTAACATCAGCTTTTCTCACATTTTGTTTTTTTTAGATAAATAAGCTATAAATATGTAAAATGAATCATTTTTAGGACATTAGTACTTTCATATAAATTAATTTGTCTCTGCTATGAACTTAAAAGATAAATGATCATGTTGTAACTTAGATTTTCTCTAAACATGAACAATAATGATACTTATTGTAAATGTGGTGCAATAATTTAAAACTGACCTGCAGTCAGTTTGCATGTCCTGTTTTTATCAAAGGGATTAAAGTCCTCCACGTTATCTGTTCACCACAATCTACAGATCAATACACCATGTGTTTTTTAGGAGAATTTCCGTTTCACATAAACAAAATGTACCTATTAAAAAAAACAACCTTTTTTCTAACAAATGTGTTTTTAAAATCTGTTCTGACGAGAAATGACTCTAAAAACACTTTCTGCTGTTTCTGTGTGGAAAATCGATGTGAAAACAGGCTGTTTTTTTTTATTATCAGAAAATCCCTCATTCATTCACGAAATGATCACTTTAGTTCCACGTGGCAAAGTGATGTCATCCTGCAGACTCATGGTGTGATTAATTGGAGTTATTAGAGCAGAAAGATGGATTCTGCGTGAATGAAAATCGGGGACAAGGTTTAGTTTGAGTTTTTACACACAGCTTCTTATTTCTTCGCCTAAAAGGTCAAGTGTGGTTATTATATTGATGGAAGAATCCTGCAGTTTTTGCAGCCTAATGAGGGACTGAAACTGTTATTTTAGATGTCGAGAGGCTTGTTTGTGTGTTTGTCCCGTCTGCTGCCTTCGACGACCCGGCTGATCGTTCGCATGAGTTAACTTTTTCTTAGAGCTGAGAAACAATCGCTGAAGTAGATGATGAATTAGAAACTTGGCGAATCCCTTTGTGGTTCTGCAGTGTCGCCGCGGCTCCTGAGGAAGGCCGCTCGTCCCCGGATGCGCGCCTTGGCCCTCACCCCGATGGGAGGAGGCGTTCCCGAGGACCAGGAGGTGCTGCCGTCCCTGCAGACGGAGGTGTGGAGCTGGGGGCGTAGCGAGCACGGCCAGCTGGGACACGGCGACACCTTGGCCAGGTGGGACTTTAATTTATGACGGACACAAACTACAACTCAAACTCAGAGTGGCTCTAAAGACGTAATAAACAAGCAGTTAAAACAAGTACCTTGTTCTATCACTTTTAGCTGGGCAAAATGGCTTCAAATCAATATCACCATATATTGGCAGGGCTTTTCCTGTGTTCAAATTTACTAGGCGGCTGCCTCCAGCTATTTTTGTGCCGCCCCAGCCTGATTTCACTCTGCCCCCAGCTATATGGACGTTATTTTACCTGCAGTGGCAGCGTTGCGCCACTACAGGGGCGCTGTATCTGCAGCGGTGCGCCGAAAAGCACTAAAACCGCTGCAGAAAAAGATCAAAAATAGCTTGTGTGGCTAGTTGGTACATATCTGTGGTTGGTGCTATTGTACGCTGACCATACGTCCTCTTTCCCCCGGACATGTCCACTTTTCACTCTGTCCGGGGTATCCGTGGGGGGTGGTTCCTACCTTGATCAAAATGTCCGGTTATTCATCCAGGAGCAGGGATCGAGTTATGGGGGCTAGATATCTTTCAGGGAAAGATCCAGTTTCTGCCTATATTACAATATTTATGTACTCTCAGCGTAGCGGGGTTCTGTTGAGTGGAGAGGATGTAGGGCGCTGATCGTTGGTGCGCCCGCTGCGTCCAGCGCACGATTCATTCTCAAGGAGGGGCAACAAAACATTATTAACACGTGATCGTTCATATCTGTTCATATCATCTGGTACTCTTGTCTTTTAATCGTTCCCGACGCGCTCCGCTCATCGTGTGCTGCTGTGATTTCACCTCACTGACGCAGCATCGAAACGCGCACTCCGCTTTGCGGTCAGGAGATCCTTTGATCTGCTCAAAAGTAACTGATGAGGTGAAAAAGTAAGAATCCAAGCAGCAGATTTTCTGGAGAGTTTAGAGGAGATGCAGGAAGATGAGAGACAGACAGGACAGGAAAATAGTTTAATAAAAACAAGAAAACAAAACAAAGTGTTGAAAAGTCAAATGTAGGTAGATTTATCTCCTCTACACGTTTTATAAAATAAAAAGTTATACACATGTAGTATTTATACATCTGATACAATTCAGATCACCTTCAAAACTCAGTCACACACCCAGGGCCGTTTCAAGACATTCTGGGGGCCAAGGCAAAACTGACCCCCCCCCCCCCCCCCCCCCCCAACCCTAACCCGTGCATAATAGACATGCCAACATTACATTGTTAGCAGCAGAAATTAAACGTTATTACCATTTCCAATACAAATGCATGTTAATGAGATGCATTATATTTTACTGGATAAATTTATGTGTTATTTAGACTAAGATGAGTGTTATTAATACAAACCTAAAATGTTACTGAAATGTAGGTCAAATATTTAAATATATTTTATCTATAAATATCAGATGGAAAAAGGGAACTAAACACCAATCTAATGCATATTATTGAGCCTTTTATAATGTTTAGCCTTTAAAATATTGAGGCAGTTGAATGCACAGAGTACGCACGTGCTGGCGCACGGTCAGGAGGATGCTACCACCTCTGCCTCAGTTTGAGCCAGGAAAAACCCTGATTGAGGATTTCACCTCTAACGATAAACGGACGATAACTACAGGCATGCGCAGAAACAAACGTCCACTAGATGGGGCTGTCACAAGTTTTACGTTCAGTCGCGTTTCTACATGACTCAAGGTGGCGCAGCTTCTTAAAGGGACATGAACGCTGCCAACCGACACACATCTTCTCATTTTTTATTATCTAATGGGCCATTCCCATCTGTACCGGGTCGGCCCGGGCCGGGCGGGTAGCGTAGGTTGTTTACATATCTGGGTGGTCTGGTATTTTTCCGGGCCAACCAAGGCTCATTCTCAGCCCTCTTCTCGAGGGGGTCTGCTTCAGGCCGACCAGGGCCAACACACCCACTGCTGACAGCAAATTCACACCTTCCATTAGAGCAAGCCTCTGACTGGTGGGTAGAATCAGTCCACATGGGCTTAAGGCAAGGATGTGTGGAATCAACCGGGCCAGGCTGGGGCCGACTGGGGCTACCCGGCCCGGGCCGACCCGGTACAGATGGGAATGGCCCATAATTTATTGACTTGGGAAAACTTGTCCCGATAAGAGTCAGAAATTTCGATGACGATGCATTTTCGATTTATTGCCCAGCCCTACTTTTAGGGGTCCTGGTCCCTCGAGGGCCGCTATACTGCGTGCTTTAGTTGTTTCCCTGCTTCAACTCGCCTGGTTTTAATCAGCAGGCGATTAACGGGCAGAGTGGCTCAACCAGTGAATCAGGGGTGTTGGAGCAGGGCAGCAGCAAGGCTCCCACCCTGCACCAGATCACTTTAATCACTTTGGTTCAGTAAAAATAACTTTTTCATCACTTTCTTTAATGCCAACAGCCTGAAACTAAAGGTTTCTTGGAGATGCAATAAAAACAAATGAGTACTACAGGAGCACTGTACTTTACTTCAGAAACACATTATATCTCCTTATGAACAAAAATGTACGTGTAAAAAATTAACGGCTTGTAGCAAGCCACGCCCCCTCCCTCTCTCCTGTTTTATAACTTTATGGCAGTGCCTCAATGCCATTTAGACATGTGCTTCCTGAACAGCCTCAGTTTGAAGAAATGGGTTTGTCTTTCAAGATTGATGAGCTAACTGCTAGTAAAAGTCCAGCCAACTTGGATTGCTTCCGCCTTAGCACAGCCATTACTTATGCTAACGTCATTTGTCTAAACAACAGAAATATTAAACTCCTGCTGATGTTGACATTTATGCTTGTAAATAATCAGATGAATCCACGTGACTACCCACAGGGAGAGAACCGGTTCATGAAATAACGTGAGCTGCTCTGCCTTTTAAAATATTAGTCACCTAAAGAAAACTGCTTTACAACTAGCCGTTAGCTCACTTAGCTAGCACTACAGAGAAATGCACTTTAAAAGGACCCGAACTGCGTCTTGATTCCTGGTGAAACGTTGAAAAAGCATCTCATTATCTCCACCTGGTGGAGTTCAGCTGCAGGTTTCATGTAATCGGGTCTCACTGGATTACCTCATAGGTACAGTAAACGCGTCCCGGTTTAGAGCCGAAACAGCTCGTCATGCTCCATCTGTTTAATTCACTGATGAGTCATGATTTTAAAGCCGTTATTGACCTCTGACCTTTGTCCCTGTGTGTGTGTGTGTGTGTGTGTGTTTTCCCAGGCTACAGCCACTCTGCATCAAGAGTCTGAACAATAAGGAGGTGGTCCGGGTGGTGGCGGGGGCTCAGCACTCCCTCGCTCTGACGGCTCAGTCTCAGGTTAGCATCCCTCCAGCCCTCCGCCATGGTGTTTAGCTTTTAAATGCCCCACACACCTGTGTTCGTACCCTCCAGGTGTTCTCGTGGGGCAGCAACAGCTCCGGTCAGCTCGGTCACATGGAGTCCCCTAGCTCCGTCCCCCGACTCGCTAAGGTTTGGAAGCCAATGACGGATCCTCCCTTGTGACGCCAACGACCTTTTTGACCTGTGTTGTTTATTTATTTATTTATTTTCCTCTCAGCTCTCTGAAGGCATCCGGGTTTGGGATGCAAGCGCCGGAGAGAGACACACCCTCCTGCTGGCAGACGGAGACTGCATCCAGCCTATTATTTACTACAGCGGGCAGCAGGTGAAGGAGGGCGAGGACGAGGAGGCGGTTCAGGAGGGAGAGGAGGAGAATCGGGTCGGGAGCTACACCCAGCAGCCCGTTCTGCTACCTTTCTGTATGAACGTAAGAACACTCGGAGATGATTCCAGGTTCAGGGAGAAAAACCTTTCCTAACGAGAGCTCCGTTAATGCCAGCTGGTTCACGATCTGAACGTCTCTTTTTGCCCACCAGCTCGGTTATGTGAGCAGCGTGATTGCCGGCGGTCGGCGGTGCGTGGCGCTCTCCGACAGGAACGTGATGGGCTTCATCGCCAGCCTCCACGAGCTGGCTTCAGCTGAGAGGAAGTTCTACTGCAGGCTGTGCAGCATCAAGTCTCGGGTCATACGCCCCCTGCTGGAGCTGGGTGAGAGGGTGTTTTTAGACACCTGTCGGCTTGTCTCGAGTTCGTCTCTGACTGAAGTTTGACTCCAGAGTCTCTGAGCTCGACGCTTGGCCAAGGGACCCTAGAGCTCCTGCAGACACTGGCGGGCCGGTTCAGCGTCCTGTGTCACCTGACCGGTCAGCACGCGGTCAGTCTCACCAGCAATCTGCGCCGAGGCCGGGACGTCAGCGGCCTCCTGATGCTTGACCACGTGGGCATCTTCCTCAGCTCCTACAGCGAGTAAGTCAGACTCGGTGCAGATTCGTTTTACTGATTTTAAGAAAACTAATCTAGAAACGTGCGTTTGTCTGAAGTTACTGCAGTGCTGTCGGCAACTTCCACGTGGTGGGAGGCTTCCAGGCTCTGATTAAACCGTCGCTGTGAGTATTCTCCCAAGAAAACATGCAAAAACGCCTGAAAACTGTCTGACTTTTAATGGCTGATGTTGGCTTTGTAAAGAGACGTCTTTGGGAAAATCCCAGAGCCGCTGCAGAGGCTGTCTGAGAGCAGCGAGGAGAACCTGGCTGTGCCTGACCTCCTGGTGGCGCTCTTCTACCTCCCAAACCTCCATCTGCATGAATACGGCCGGCTGCTGCTCAAGCTGGCCACCTGCTTTGAAGTGGTACGCAGACAACTGACTTCTATCAGCTCAAGTCGTTTGGGTTTTTTATATTTACAGTTGATACGGGTGAAATAATAAAAATGTGCATAGGTGGAACCTCCTGGAGTCTTGATGGAGTTTTGATGTCACGATTGTAAAATTCCCGTTTTTCCGTTTTCCTAGTCTTCCAACGATTATCAGAAGCTGCAGGACGGCTGCTCCAAGTTTGAAGCTTTGACCCTGCAGCTGAAGAGGAAAAGAAAGGAGGCGGAGTACACATCCCACTTCTGGAAGAGCTTTCCAGGGAAAATGACGGTGAACTGACTGTTTTTTCCAGCCCTCCGGGCTTCTCTGGTGTTGCTGAAACCTTTTGTTTCCGTTCAGGATTCGCTGAGGAAGCCCCACCGCCGACTCATCTACGAGAGCAGCAACAAATCTCTGACCCTGCAGAACGCCGGCAGGTTCTCTGTCAACTGGTTCATCCTGTTCAACGACTCTCTGATCCACGCACAGGTCAGCTCCACGCACCTGCTCCCACTTCACCTCCTCTACTTCTTCTTTAGTTTCACTACCAACACTAACCTCATGTGTTTCAAAAGTTTGTGTGTGCTTGCCTTTGTGCTGTCAGGGCGTGGCGCCCCATAAAAATCCTGTAAGTATGCAGCCATCGTTAGCCCCCCCCCCCATCCTCCTTCCACCCTCCATCTTCTGTCAGTTTGGGCCTTTGTGTCGTAAAACGTCTCTGTTACATCAGAAGTAAAAATGTCCATCAGATGATGCCAGAGTCGTGATATAAACACCTTTTAGATTAAAATTCAAAATTTGCCATGTTAAAACTTTAAAGGTGCAGTATGTAAGAATATAGTGAGAATTTTACAGTGAGAAAATCCCTAGAGTCTAATTAAGGATGTTCCAATCACGTTTTTTTTTTTGCTCCCGATCCGATTCCGAGTCAGTTGATTTTAAGAATCTGCCGATAGAGTCCTGATCCGGTACTTTACAGATGCATTAAGAAAAAAGGAGGACACACCAGAGTTGCGCATTGATCGTTCCACTACCTTTACTCATCAGAATCAGCGGATGAGGTCAAGTCAAGCGATCCCTGAGTCTAATGTTTCAGTCATCTTAGAAGGAAGGTTATACTGAATCTTATTTCATATCCAGCTGCGGGGATTATAAGATTTTCTCCGTTCAACACAAAGGACGGAGGGATGTAACGATGTTTACCTTTAGTGAGTGCGGGGTTGCCGTGCCTCGTAGGAGCTAATACTGCAGCGCTCACAATTGTAATTTGGTGACGGTCAGCAAAAAGCTCGAGTAATTTAAAGTGGTTGCAGTAACCAAATTTTACCACAGGATGTAGGAATGTAAGAAAATATCGATATGGCAATATGTCGTGATTTTTTCCCCCAGCGATATTTTATCGATATTTAAAGCCGTGTATCGAAAATATTGATGTCACAATATATGCTGATATTTTTTCCTGTAATATTATATAAATATTCAAAAGCCTTGTCTAATTTTGGAAGAATTTACATGCAAACATTTGTGTATTTTCTTTTCCTTTGGTGCAATTCCAACGCCGACCGCTAGTTGGCAGCAGTGCGCGATGGGTTTAGTTTCCACCATTAAAATGTAAATCCCTCTGTTATGGATCCGATACCTCATGTTAATCATGTTAAGCTAAATGTATGATGATGTAATTGCCTCTACTGAAGTGGAGCTATTAGTAATCAGGGCAAACATGGCTGGAGTCTAACAGTATTGGCTCATATCAGCGATCATACTGTAATGACTCAGAGTCTCTGGTTGCTCTTTTATGAGTATTATTTTCGGGCTTCTGTCGCCGTAACCCATGCCTTACAAACTCTTAACTTTTTCAACAGAATCACTCGTAACTGAGTATTTACTAGCATAGCAAACCAGAGCAGAAAAAAACAGAACAACATTTCTCACCCGTTGAGCTCGCCTTCAGAATAAAACTTTTACCATATAGTTTACTATTCAAACCCTTACAATATGATTGAGGTAATTTGGCCACTCCCACTATCTGTAGATGTTTCCTATTACACAGAGGACGGAGGGGTTTGGCTCGTCTCCGCACAAGCAGGATGGATAAACAGAACTCCGTTGGTGTTGAACGTCCCCAAATAATTAAAAATCAGGACGCCAAATGCAACGTTTAAAGCAGCACATTTACCCAGAGGCTCTCCGATTGAGCAGTCTTGTGAGAATACACGTAATAACCGCTTCGAGACAGGGCAACATGTCGCTAGCATAGTGGCTAAATGCTAGCGTAGTGGCTAATCGTTAGCATAGCAGTTTGACCAGTTATATCGATATAAAGTCATCTTATATCTTGTTTAAAATTATATCGATATTTTAAAAATATCGATGTATGCCCAGCTTTGCAATTTAGCAAAATAGAGATTTTTCAAAATAAGACACTGCAATTAATAAATGTGAGCTTTTTTGTGTATCTAAACAGACTAGAGAGATAAAAATAAACAAACACACACACTCCTGTGGAGAAACACAGCATGCCCATAATTTTATATACAGTTTTTACAGCAAAAGACGGATTTAATCAATGTGATTACAAACAAATTCATTTAATTTAAAGGTAAATATACAATAGCATTGTACACTACCACAAACACTTTAGAAAGGAACTGGTCTACAAAACAGCAGCAGGATCAGTGCAGTTTCTGATATCAACAAGCGGAGCAAACTGGTTACACACACACACACACACACACACACACTCGGAAAGGGAACGGGGGTGGGGTTGGAAAACAGGCGTGAGCAGAAGCGCTCGTCGAAAATTCTCACCTGATGTGAGCAGGGGAGCCACGGACAGCCACAAGGCGGTTCGCAGCTGGTGTGTTTCTGGCGTTATGGAACCAGAACACATTTAAAATAAATATTTAAATATATTTTTGTTCAACTTTATTTAATTAAAAATATTTCAAGATAAGAGCCATTTTTGTAAGAAAATATTAGGTGGGTAAAGCAACATTCTAGCTAACATGTTAGTTGTATCATCATATATTAACATTTAACTACAAAAATAATGTTTAAAAGACCCTTATGCAAAGCAGACTTGGCTTTTAAGTTGCCAACAGTACAAATAAAGAAAAAAAAAGCATGGATAAAAATGTTTATGTCTATAGTTACTTTTGTCACTTTAAAGTTTGTCGTGCGACATTTGAGTTTTGTTTAACAGAACGGTACAAATCCATTTGTAGGAAAAAATAAAATCAGTTCAGCTGTGAATTTACTCAAAAAATAAGCTTTTACTGTGAAAGGGACCCTAACTGCAACAAACCATTTTTTGTTTGTTGAATTTTGACCTTTGACCTCTTGTTGCTTTCCACCTGTGAGAGACTGCACGGGACGATAAGCTGACCACAATTAAAGCTGCAAAAGTTTAATTCTGCTCATTTAGCCACGTGAGACTCATGAAACATAAATATTTTAATTATCTCTTTAAGCTGCTGGTTTCAAAATAAAAGCACCAACAGCTGTAGAGGAATTACTTCCTGCTTGATCCCCGTAGTGTTTTTCCACTTTTTTTTAAATTATTTACTTTTTTCCCTCTTTGTGGCTCAAAGTTGAGTTCTGTTGTGTAGTAGTTCTGCACATTTCAGTCCCCCCCCCCCCCCCCCCCCCCCCCCCCCCCCCCCCCCCCCCCACGATGTCCAGATTGTTCCTAGATGGTAAAATCGGCAGAAACACACAGCAGGGAGACGCCAGATTTGTAATTGTTCTGAGCAGAAGTGTGTTGGTGGATGGTGATAAAAGCGTGCTTGCATGATTGGTGCTTTTTATTATTTGGTTGTTTGTAGGGCCCGACCGATATGCTTTTTTTTGGGACCGATACGATATAAAACTTTTAACAAAGGCCGATATAATGGCCGATAAATCTCCCTCACAAGAAAAAAAGAATTAAAAATGTTTTTAAGCTCAAACCCTTCATTCTCTGCCTTTTTGATGCAAACTTATTTCTCCATTACACACCAAAGAACTGTCTCAATAGCTCACTAGGGTTTCCAAGTAATACAAATAAGATTTATTTAGCAGATATCAAAAACAACAGAACACACAAACTCAGGCCCTGTCCACACGTAGCCGGGGATCTGCCAAAACGTAGATATTTTTCTACGTTTTGGCCTGTCATCCACACGAAAACTGAGTTTTTTCACACGAAAACGGATCTTTTTAAAAACTCTGGCCAAAGTGAAGATCTGCGCTTTCTCCGTTTTGGGTGTCTGCGTGTGGACGGACAAAACCGGAGTTTTAAGGTCCGCAACGTCACTTTCCGCGACAAAAAAATGCTGACATCACGTGTGCGACCTGTGTTTACACTAGCCGACAGCATGGATGCCCTCAGAGCTGCGCTCACTTTATCAATTGTCCAAGCGCTGTTTGCTTGTTTGTTTTTGCAAGCGGAATTACTGCTCCTTGCGGAAGACCACAGACGAAGGACGAGGTTAAGAACGAGGGAAGTACTGCTGCCTACAGGTCTGGCATGTCCTTAACAACGTATTTATCCGGGTACGTGTGGACAGTTTTTTTTTTTAAAACGACATGGTGTGGATGCAAGTTTTTGGAGGGGCGGATATTCGTTTAAAAAAAAAACCCGGCTACGTGTGGACTAGGCCTCAGTCACAGCATAAATCTAACATTGAAGTTTTTTCTTGTAAACTGTGTTTTCCACAAATACGTTTTAACTTAAAGGAATATTCCACCACTCAGTAAAATTGTGTCTTTTTAAGATTCCCTAGAGTTGACATGTCAGAAAAAGCATTTTATAACCAGCCCAATATGATCTGGCAGCAGTTGGTTTTCTTAGTTTAGCATAAAACAATGTAAGTTAATTCACATACGTTGTAGTGTTTTTTTATGTAGGTGAATGCAAGCCTTCCCTTCCATTGCTTTATGCTAAAACAACTGGTTACAACATGTTTTTTCTGACTTGGCTAACTCTGGGGAATCTAACAACACACACGTTTAGGGACAGAAGATCCCTATAAGAATATTAAAATAATAAAAATGCAGCAATAAATAAAACGTAATACATGTGCTTTGTAACAAAGTAACACTCTGTGGAAGTTCACTTGGTGAACTTATTCACCCTGGACAGGAAATAATTGCACATAAGAAACATAAATAAGAATAATAAAAAAAAAAAGTACCAAAACAATAATCTGTGTTCAAAGGAGTGGAGCCACACAACGAGTCATAAAGCTGGTGCCATCTGCTGGATAGGTAGCACAATATCAGCCATATCGGCCGTCTTTTTGGCCGATAGCCGATACTGTTGATGACCCTGATCGGTCGGATCCTAGTTGTTTGTGTAAAGGTTAAATTTGCAGTCATGATAGTAAGCCAACTTGTTTAATTATACGTTGAATAAATGATGTTCACTTAAATCAAAGCTGGTCTGGAAACAGGCGCGTTGCAAGCTTTTCAAAAGTGTGGGGGATGTTGTCTGTGCCTAAAATAAGTTCATGTTATTCATCTTGTTAGTTTAATTTCCATAGTAGCGGAGCAGGTTACAGATACTTCCATTTGACTGTTTATTTTGATGGATAAACTCAAGGATGCTGGTTGTTTTGAAAGAATTACCCCGACGCACACTGATGCACAAACAGATGAGCTGACATTTTAATCGTTAACACACATCGTGGAGGTAACATCAGTCAAGAAATTATTCCCATCAGAACATCAGAGCTTTATACTGGACACTGTGCTCAGCGCGGATCGGAGCGCACACGGTGGACAGTGAGCTGAAAATCTGTAGAGGGGTTCGCAGCGTAGTGCAGAACCACGGCGCATGCGGTAAGATTTCCTCCCACTGAAACGGCCTGGAAACCCGGTCTCTCTGAGGGATCTGTCACTTGGAAAAATGTTTGCTGATTATGAAACTTTGGCTGAATAGCGCTTGTTCCCATCTCTAATATGGAGACGCATGACACATCCAGTCTGAGGCAGAATAGCAGCTCAGAAAGCACCTGTAGAGACATTTGATTACGCACAAAGTTTATGTGGAGCAGAAGCGGTCGGGCCACGGCAGGTGAAATGTTCCTAGCCTACATGAAGTGTAACATTAATATGTTACTGGACACGCTGGTCTGGTTGGTTAGACCAGTGTTTGAAGTGGAACACACACACACACACACACACACACACACACACACACACGAACACACACACACACACACACACACACACACACACACACACACACACACACACACACACACACACACACACACACCAATTAAAATAATGCTGATAGCATGGACTAGAAGACAGGTGATGGTTTATTTAAACGATGATCAGGCTGCTGTAAAATGTAATCTCCATCCACATCCAGACACAATTATCCTCTATTCTTTCTCTATTTGCTCTGCTCTTGTCTGGGCTGACGTAGCTGACGGTGCGCGTGGCACGCCTAGCGGCTGTGATGCACATTTTACGCATTTGGAGAGATGGGCTGGATGCTTTGCTTTTACTGGAAGATGGATTGAAGATGGATATATATATATATATATATATATATATATATATCCATTTTTTTTTTTTCAAAAATGTCGGAGATTTTGCCGCATGAATAACCGTAAAAACTACCGGTGTGCATGTACCCTTATGAAAGAGTCCTACGTTGAGAGGTAAATATTAGAAGTGCAGGTAATGCATGGTGCCGGTCCACTTAACGCACGGGTGTAGACTGAATATTAATGACGAGTGAATGAAAATGAAATTGTGAGTTTTTACTTCATATTTTAGAAATAAAAATGACGGGGAAAAATTTATGACGTCCTTTGAAACGAAATTCTCTAGCGCGACCTGCCTGCTTCACTTAAGTCACTGCTTATTAAGGCCCGCCCACAAATGACAACCTGGCCCTGCGCCTGTTACTAACCTCTGCAAATTGTTGTTCTTCACTTTATCAAACTCATACTTTGTACAGCTAATGTCAATATGTAGAATTATGAATTCAGTCGAGCTCTTCCCTCCCTCCGTCCTCTTGTTTCTCAAGAGAAGGGAGGGGAAGGAGATTAGGCAAACGGAGTGAGCGCCAAACCAGACCGGTGTGGAGGTGAGCAAAACGGCTGGGAAAGTGTGGGTGTTGAAACCCCCACATCCCCCACGAGTGCGACGCCCATGTCTGGAAAAAAAGGAATATTTATTAATGAACTAAACCAAACAGTCCAATAATTGGTGGATATTTTCCCTCCATGCAAAACTGTTATTCCTTTAGTTAGGTTATAAAAACTGTCCCATAAATCAGTCTACGGAGCAAATTCAGACTCTAAAAGTTAGAAAAGCTGACGTGAAAACACCAGTGGTCATGAATGAATGTGGAAACGTTTGCGTGAGCGTTTGTGTCTTTTTCTGTGTTCTAATAAAATTGTATTAATGTTCCTTGTTGAATTCTGTAATGTTCTCCCTTTTCTCTGATTTTCCATCCAGTTTTCCACCCATCACATCTTCCCCTTGGCCACGCTGTGGGTGGAGCCGACGCCGGAGGACGACGCCGGACTGTACGTAAATGAAAACGGACCGTTTACACACACGGAGAGCAGTGTTTGCAACCTGCAGCTGTAAAATAAAAAGTTACTGAGTCTACACTGGAACGTGTTTTTCAGTGCTGTGGCTTTTGGTAGAAATATGCCATGAAACATCATAAGACATGTCTCCATAGACAACAGAGAAGCTTTGGTGAACCAGGTGAATAATCCCCGCCCCCTTTTAGCTGCAGTCTCAGGTAGACTTCTCAGTAGAAACATTTAGCTCACAGAAAGTTTTGTGTTGAACAAATACAAACTTGTATTATTTCATACCACAAATGCAAATGACTCATCAAATTCTAGGTATTTGTCTCTTCTTCCATCTGCTGCGTCTCTCCCTGCTGTGGAACTGATGGTTTCCTCTCAAACCCCCTCAGAGTCCAGAGAGTTCTCACCCAGACTTCTGCTGTAGCTCCAAATATTCTGCTCAGCGCCGGCAGCGACGGGTCCTTGTAGCTTGTTGCATCTCCAACATAAACACTACAGAAAAGTAGTAGAGCCCCAGTCCCGACTCCTACCCGCATAAACGCAATAAAAGTGATTGATTGATTGATTTGATAAAGTTGTAATCAATCAAGGATACTTTATTAATCCCAGAGGGAAATTAGAGTTTCAGTACACACAATTCAGAGATCAGACAGACATGGGCAAGACACATGACAAGAATTGGTGACTGTGGTCATTCGCAACCCTGAGTCGCGCTACCTTAATAGAGATAAGAGGGGTTACATGAGGATAGGTTCAGGTGGAGGGAAAAAAAGGCACTTCAGAGTTACCCTCCACCGGGAGGGCAGCTTTGCTCTGCAAAACAAAACACCTCAGACAGATATGCAACAGACTTCAAACACAAGTGTCCACTAGGTGGGGGGGTGGGTTGGGACTATCTCCACTTCAGCTCCTGCAGCCACGATAAGCAGCGCATGTCACCTCAGTGTGGATGGGGGAGGAGCATTGAGGGTTGGAGGGTTGCAGTGACCCTGGACGCTTCAGCGGCCTTCCCGCTGTCCTGCCCAGGCTGGGATAGGAGACAGAGTTGAGTTGCCATAGCGACGGCACATTCCACATATCTTCTGAGGGGGAGTTTTCATTGGAGCCTTGCAGGCTCAAGGGCGCCAGATTCTGATTAGAAATTGTTTTGGGGCCAGACAGAGATAATTTCCTGTCTTAAAGTTCCTTGGTCCTCAACCTCTCAGACATATAAAGACAAAAGAGTTAAAACTCTGTTATTATACATCTAACAAATACAACCTCAGTAGAGACAAAAATGTGGGGACCCCCTCAGGGGCCACGGACCCCAGGTTGGGAACTTCTACTATAGAAAAGTCAAAACTGTCTGGTTCCCACCGGGTGGTGAGAGAGAGACAGGTGTGTGGTTACCGTAGGGACCTTAATGAGCCACGGGCCGTTACCGTTAGCCATCATCATACACTGCAGTTGGTGGCTTGGTGGGATTTTTTTTGGTAATTAGCCACAGTCGGTCACCATGGCGACACTAATGAGCCACTAGCAGCGGCTTTAACATTTCTGTGTAGTGTCACAACGTTGATGTTTGCTGCGTTGGCCCTGGTCAAAGTTTCTTCAAAAAATTCAGTTATTTTCATCAATCACTGTGTGATTTATTTAGTTATTTATTTACTCACCCGTTTGTTTGGTGTGTAGACACGGGCTAAAGGTGATCACGCCTGAGGAGACGTTCACCCTGCTTGCTTCGTCTGCCACAGAGAAGGTGAAGGTTTATTTATTTTTGTCCCAACAGACTTACCGTAAAAGCTCTTCACCTGCTGCCACGTGTTTATTTCTTTTCTCCAGTCCAAGTGGCTTCGTGCCATCAACCAAGCCGTGGATCAGGCTCTGAGCGGGGCAGGGCAGGACGTGGGTGGGGCGGGTCAGGTGTCAGAGCCGCCGATCTCCAGAACGGCTTCTTACACCTTTTATAAAGAAGGTCGGCTGAAGGAGGCGACGTACGAAGGGCGCTGGGTCGCTGGGAAGCCCCACGGCAGGTAGGACTCGGTTTCATTCCAAGAAAATCCATTTGAACGTTTGATTTGTTTTCTGGTGGTTTTATTTCAGAGGAGTGTTAAAATGGACCGATGGGAGAGTTTACACCGGCTCCTTTAACAACGGACTAGAAGATGGGTGAGTTTTGCCCCCAGAGATCAGGTGGAACCGACCTGAAACACTGACTTGTGCGTGTTTTTTCTGCAGCTTGGGGGAGTTTGTAGCTCCTAATAAAACGCTGAACAAGAACGACCACTATCAGGGTTACTGGAAGGACGGCAAGATGCATGGCCTGGGCTCCTACAGGTGAGTCCAGGTGTGGAAGCGTTTACCTGAGTGTCGGAAGCTCGCTAGAGGACCCCTCCTCCGTCCCGCTGCAGGTACGCTAGCGGGGAAGTGTACGACGGCTGCTTCCAGGACGGCATGCGGCACGGACACGGCATGCTGCGGAGCGGGAAGCTCAACACGTCCTCCCCCAGCGTCTTCATCGGCCAGTGGCTGCAGGACAAGAAGACCGGCTACGGTGTCTTTGACGACATCACAAAGTAGACGAAGCCTCCTCTGTTCAGTGTGGCTGTCTGGTCCAGGTCATGTTTCTGAAGCGTTGTGTTTCCCGACAGAGGAGAGAAGTACATGGGGATGTGGCAGGACCACCAGCGCCAGGGCATCGGCGTCGTCGTCACGCAGTTTGGGCTTTACTATGAGGGAGCCTTCAAAGACAACAAGATGATGGTGGGGACGTCTATCCCCAGTCGGACATGCCAGATGTTTAAAACGGTTCACTGTAAAATGGCTGTGTGTGTCTCAGGGGACGGGGATCCTTCTGTCAGAGGACGACACCACCTATGAGGGGGAGTTCTCAGACGATTGGACCCTCAGTGGGAAGGTAACCGGTGTCTGCTGGATGAGCTCATCGTAGGTGTGGGCTTACACCTCCTGTCTCTCCCCCAGGGTGTCCTGACCATGGCCAACGGCGACTACCTGGAGGGCTCCTTCAGCGGCGAGTGGGGATCCGGCCTTAAAGTGACAGGCTCCTATTTTAAACCTCACCTGTTCGACTCGGACAAGGACAAAAACCGAGCCGTGTATGTTCTCCCTCCATCTCTCTCTCTCTCTTTTACTCGTCCTTCTGTAGCTGATGCGTTTCCGGTGTCATGACAGGAAGCTGGGCCGTCTGTGCGTGTCTGCGGAGGAGAAATGGCGTGCTGTGTTTGAGGAGTGCTGGACTCATCTGGGCTGCGAGGCACCGGGTCGAGGGGAGCACCGGACGGCCTGGGAGCGCATCGCTGAGGCGCTCACCACCAACCGGCAGCACCTGCTGGACAGGTACAACCCTCGGAGTCAGGCAAACCTGACATTTAATAAAAATGTCTGGAATAACGCGAGTTTGTTGTGTCTCAGTCCAGAAACGCTGTCTCTGAGTCACAGTAGAACCCTGGAGGGTCTAGAGATTGTCCCCGATCATGAAGGGCCCGTCACCATGGAGAGGTACCACTTCATCCGCCTCTACCTGCTCAAGGTGAGTTCAGCTGTCATCACGATGTCCACATAAGCCGGGGGGGGGGGGGGGGGGGTATTACGGAGCTCTGTTGTGGTTAATTATTAATAAAATGTGACAATCAGCTGAAACTGTTGAGAACATTTTGGTTCAAACTAACAGGAGATGTTCAGAAAGTGTGGAAGCCTGTGTTCATCATGTGTTCATCACGTGTTCATCATGTGTTCATCACGTGTTCGTCATGTGTTCATCACGTGTTCATCATGTGTTCATCACGTGTTCATCATGTATCATGTGTTCATCACGTGTTCATCATGTGTTCATCAGATGTTCATCGCGTGTTCATCACGTGTTCATCATATGTTCATCATGTGTTCATCGCATGTTCATCATGTGTTCATCATGTGTTCATCACCTGTTTGTCATGTGTTCATCACGTGTTCATCATGTATCACATGTTCATCATGTATCATGTGTTCATCACGTGTTCATCATGTGTTCATCGCGTGTTCATCATGTGTTCATCGCGTGTTCATCATGTGTTCATCATGTGTTAATAAACGAACTAGGGCTGCAACAACGAATCGATAAATTTGATGAAAATCGATTACTAAAAGCGTTGGCAACGAATTGCGTCATCGATTCGTTGTGTCGCACAACTCTTCCAAAAGCGCCCCCCCTTCCCGCCAGCCGTTGCGCGCAGACAGATCAGCGCGAGGGAGAACCGGCAGTTGTTTGGAAGAGGAACATGGCAGAAGCAGCCAAAAAAGTAAAACCTTTTTAAGTTTGGGAGCATTTTCAGTTAAATCAGGCGAAGACATGCGTTACCTGCAACGTTTAGGTCAGAGCATGGCACGGGATGATGCAGCGTCTTAAACGCAAGCTTGTCGGGATCATCAGCGAGGAAGGAGAGAACTCTGTGTCCGGGTAAATTAAAAACTTTTCAAAAGTGATTCATCCAAGTCCCGGATTATTACACAGGCTAGACATGCCCTAAGCTCGTAACAAAAGAGTCTAAAGTCGTGAGCGCGACGCTTATTAGATGAGCGGGGGTGGGGGGGGACTCGCGCTGCTGCGAACCGGTTCCGCCCAAGGCCGGATTAACTGGGCAATTGCCCAGGGCCCACGAACTCTAAAGGGCCCAGGGCACGAGCAAAATACTGTATCTATAATTTCCCGCTTTATGAGGACTATGGTGACCGTACGTTCCGTTTTCCCCGGACGTGTCCACTTTTCACTCTCTGTCCGGCACGTCCGGACTGCGGGTTCTTGTATTGATGAAAATGTCCGGCTTTTCATCCAGGAGCAGGGATCGAATTATGGGGGAGCTGTATATCCTACACATCCAGTAGGGGAGCCAGAAAAAAGTTTTCTATATTATATCATTTTTGGACTCTTCTGAGCAGAGAGCACAGAGAGCGGCACAGCGCATTGTTGCGCAGCGATCCAGGCAGCTGCTTCCAGCGCACGGTCCATTCTCAAAGTGGCGCAACCAAAAAACTATAATTAGCACACGATCGTTCATGTCTGCACATGTTGTCTATTTTCTGTCTTATTTGTGCCTGCAGCGCTCTGCTACTGCGGAGCTCATCACCTGTGCTTTGGTGATGTCACCTCACGCAGCATCGAAAACACGCTCTGCGCTTTGCAGTCAGGAGATCCCTTTGAGCTGCTCAGAAGTAACTGATGAGGTGAAAAAGTAAGAATCCAGGCAGCAGTTTTTCTGGAGAATTAAGAGGAGATGCAGGAAGATGAGAGACAGACAGGACAGGAAAATAGTTAAATAAAAACAACAAAACAAAACAAAGTGTTAAAGTAAAATGTAGGTAGATTTATCTCCACTACACGTTTTTACCTATAAAACAATAAGTTACACACGTAATATTTATAAATTTGATACTTTTCAGGTCACCTTCAACACTCAGTCACACACCCAGGGCCGTTTCAAGACATTTTGGGGGCCAAGGCAAAATGCCCCCCCCCCCTCCCATAACTGGGCTCCCCAGAAGCCTCTGTGTAATTCATACCCTCTCCAGTAGTGTTAGTTATACAGTGTTTATAAAAGCCCCTCAGGCATTACTGACATGTTCTAATATTATCAGATGAAAAACTAAATTATCAGACATGCTGTCTCATCTGCTGCTTTTCTAAACTTGCAGAAAGTAACAAAACCATTTGAAAGCCACTATTTGTGGATTCTCTGAAAGTTTCCATGGAGTGTGGGACAACTTATTTTTTCAGTCATTTTTGGAAATAGTGATCAATTTTGATTAATTCACAGCCTATGTTTAATTACATTTAAAAATTAGTTGTTTGACATCCCCAGTTATAATAAATGTCAACAGATGAGATCAAACAAAACAGATGAGAATTGCCCTTAAGCTGTTTAATTGGACCAAGCATTTTAGGTCACAGATAGATGTAGCTTAGGGTCTCTGTCTATACACCTTATAAGACAATTTAGGTGATGGCATGTTGTTTTTCTGCTATTGAACTGTTGTCTAATAATGTTGTGTTAAATAAAGTGAAGGAAGGAGAGAAATAACGTTTCCCTAGCAGTTTTAAAAAATTTCCCCATGTAATCCGATTAATCAATTGATCGTGTCGAGACCCCATCCGATTCATCGATTATCCAAATAATCGTTTGTTGCAGCCCTAAAACGAACCACATCTCATCTCAGCTGCGTTGACGTGCTTTTACACAGAAAGTTGCCCAGAACATTTTACTGAGGATGTTTTTCTACTCCGCATCAGCCTCCGTAAACCCAAACCAGGTGTGTGTAACCGATGTTGCCCTGTCTTCTTTACAGCACGTCTCCATCAACCCGCTGCAGAAACGGCTGCTGCATTCAGGGATCCGTGCTGAAAACCTCACCATGAATCTGCGTGTTTCCACTACAGACTTGAACACGTTTGTCGAATGATTCGTGCAATAATCAGATTTTTTATTTCACTTCCACAAAATGCAAGTTCTGGATTAGAAATGACCGAAACGGTGACGGTTTGCCGTCGTATTTAAAAGCCGGCACTCATTAATTAGGCGTCATGTTTTAAGTCGGGTAGTCTAAATGACGACGGGGAGGCTCGCTGGCTGTTGCACACGTGTGCAGTGGGGCGTTATTTTACTGCAACAATCCGAATGGCTGTGTACATGCACGTCAGTCAGAATAATGATCGGACAAAACCACCTCTCTCAATCGGATTGACATTTCATTCCGATCGGGCTGAATCGGATCAAAATATTCCGACTGACGCATTTACATGCAGAATTTTTTAATCTGATTGGGCGTTCGATCTGATTAATTGTGCACATGCTAACGTGGCCACGGAGAGTTCTGGACAAATGACCACTTTGAAACACGGGTTTCTGCACAGGCTTGCGACACCCCCCTCCATCCGCTGGGACGGCTGTTGGAAACCCTGGTGGCGGTCTACAGGATGACGTACGTCGGTGTCGGAGCTAACCGTCGCCTCCTGCAGCAGGCCGTCAACGAGATCAAGTCCTACCTCAACAGAATTTTCCAGATTGTCAGGTTAGATAGATACTGCATCAATAAGTGTCTGACACCTGAAGCTACGCTGTCTGAGTCAACAAACTTTGGTGAGAAACCTGATTTCCTGACAGGCTCTTGTTTCTTTCTCCTATTGCTCCCTAGATTTCTGTTCCCAGACCTTCCAGCAGAGGGCGGTGTAATACCTGAACCAACAGAAGACCTGCAGGACCAGAAGCAGCAGACTCCCTCTGACTCCCCTATGGAGTCACCTAAACCCAGGTACAGCTCCGTGCTGCCTCAACAGCCCCTCCCATGTGTGTGTTTGGTTAACCCCCCCCCCCCCCCCCCCCCCCCCCCCCCGTGTGTGTTCCAGCCGTGTGGTGAGCAGCTCCGCTCTGCTGCTCCCCGTCCTGCTGCCTCGCCTCTACCCGCCACTCTTCACCCTCTACGCTTTGGAGAAGGAGAAGGAGGACGATGTGTACTGGGAGTGTGTCCTCCGCCTCAACAAGCAGCCCGACCTGGCTCTGCTCGCCTTCCTGGGCGTCCAACAGTATGTCTCTCTCTCTCTCTCTCTCTCTCTCTCTTTCTCTCTCTCTCTCTCTCTCTCTCTCTCTCTGTGGACAGTAGCTGCAGGAGAGTCCGACATCCTAACTGCACTTATTGTGTCTCATTTTCAGGAAGTTTTGGCCCGTTTCCTTCCCATCCTCCCTTTCTTCTTTAGGAGAGACGCAGCAGGTACTTTGTTTTGTTTTCCATTAACATTCAAACCAGCGACTGATGCAACTCAGAGCCTCCTGTTTTTGTGATGTCCTGCAGGTCATCTCCAGCACTAAAGATGTCTGCTTTGCCTCTGCGGTGGAAACGCTGCAGCAGATCAGGTACGACTCCGCCCAGCGCTCACATTAAACCGAACCTCTGGTAAAATCTTTTACAAGGGTTTTCTTGTTTTGTCTCGCAGCACAACGTTCACCCCGTCTGACAAGCTGCAAGTGATCCAGATCACCTTCGAGGAGATCACACAGGAAGTGCAGTCGCTGCTGAAGCAGGACTTCCTGTGGTCCATGGACGACCTTTTTCCCGTCTTCCTCTACGTTGTTCTGCGTGCTCGGTGAGCGGGACGTCCAAACATCCTTTTTGAAAATAACTAAATGTGTGCAGAAGTCTTGAAAAAGTTTGGAGAATGAGTGAAAAAGCACCCAGAGTACAGTGAGCACCTCGTTACGAGACTAACGCTCATTCTGGTTTTCCTTTCAGGATCAGGAACCTGGGGTCAGAGGTCAGCCTCATCGAAGACCTGATGGATCCCTGCGTTCAGCACGGAGAGCACGGAATCATGTTCACCACCCTGAAGGTAGCAACACTCCAACACGGTCTGGGCTTCCGCACTCGTCTCCTCATCTCTCCATCTTTTCCGCCTGTAGGCGTGCTACTACCAGATCCAGCATGAGAAGATCACATAGGACCATGGAGCTTCCTCCTCCTCCGTCCCCTCAGCGCCAGATGGACCCGGGCTCGGTGAAATCAGAGGATCATGCGCCAACAGCTCTATTTGCTGTTGTCATGGAGACTGATCCGGAGCTAAGAACACTTTACCTTTATGTAGTCCTGATGTGGGCGGAGTCATTAGCTGGTGTCACATCGTGTGACGCTGGAGTCTAAGTAAACCGGACATTAATTTCTGCCAAGAGGATTTTTTTTAACCTAAAAAGAAAAAAAGATGTAATTTTCCTTTCAGACTGACTCGTGTTGTTGCTCTTTACCGCCCCCTGGTGGAGACCTCTGCAGGGAGCTAAATCTAATTCCAACGGACTTAATTTCAGGGTTTTTGTCTGTTTTTATTTTTTGTTTTTTTGTTTAATCCTCTTTAGACAACCCCTCAACAAAAAGCAAATGCATGAATGCATTTCCCCATGAAAAACAGTTTTATTCCTTCTTTCCTTTTAAAACGTTTAAAGCTGCCAGGACTGTAACTGATGCAGTCCTGCGCAAATGTGAAGTTGTCTTCATCCTGCAGTCACACCCTCAGTTGCATCTTCAAAAGGCAAAACCGACTGAAAACTTTGCTCTTTCTCTCAAGAATTCCTTTTTTCTTTTTTAATGTGCTCCTGACTTGACTGACTCCAGCTGAAGAAATATGAAAACATTTTCACCTCAAATGTTCTAAAAGATTCTCTTTCATTCGTTCAAAACGTCTCTGGCCCTGTTGGTTGTGAACATGTTGTTTTAAGACAATCTGAGCCGTCCCCAGATTACTAAGTACTGACACCGATCGTTAGTGAATGGCACGTCTGAAGAAAGCATGGCTGCTCCTTTCAGGTGCACTCAATCAGACTCGACTAGTTGCACCCGGTGAGAACAGCCTACCTCTATTTGAAGATTTTATCGAACATAAACGGAAAAGATCTTGTTTCTGTAATAGAACGAGTTAAATGTTTAGCTGCGTCGTCGCCAGATGGGACGCTGCTGCTGCAGGTGGAGGCTTCAAGCTGCACCGTCTGTCATCAGCAGTGTTTGATGCGTTTTGTTTACGGAAAACGTCTGCACGGTTTAAAAAACTCCAAAATGCTGCTGAAGCTAAACTGTTTTCTGGAGTTAAGTCGGCAGTTTTCCCGCACATGAAGCTCTTTTACGGTTTTGTAAAAGTCTAGGTTGTTTTCTCCTGAGTTTGGACAATAAACATGGTGGACTCCAACACTTGAATCTTCTTTCAGGAAATAACTGCATTTATTTACAATTTATTGTGTAGATTGAAATTTGATGATGGTCTAGCCTTTCCTAACTCGTTATTTTATTATTGGTCTGCTCGTATTCATAAGTTAACGTTTTTGCTAGGTTCCTGTGAGCGTTTGTGTAAGCAGGAGCGCTTGTCGCGCACCTCCACCTCCTTAGAGGCACTGGTGTCTTCTTCGTTGTCGCTCCATCTGCCTCACTTCACAACTAATCCTGGGATTTGGTCACAACTCAGGAATCATTTTAAATATACTTCCCAATCTGTAAAACACATGCCCATCACTCTAAACCATTTATTTCCTCCTGGTCTCTTTGATGGTACATGTGCCCAATGGAGACGTCATGATATGACCACCTTTGAGGATCTCTACAGGAATGGTGCTTTTTGACTTTTTCAAATCTGCCAGCCTCTCTCCTGTTCTGTTATTTTCAGGTTCGTCATTGCGTCTCTGCTCTTTCCTTCCTATCTTCTTCCTTGCTGGCCACCCCTGGGAATACCTCCCCCACTTACAGCACCTTCTTAGGGTTCTCCCCCCCCCCCCCCCCCCCCCCCCCCCTCCCCGAAGCACTTACAATCAGTCATTCACACACACATTTACACGCTGGGGATGAGCTATGAGCTGCCCTGGGGCGTACTGGCAGAGGCGAGGCCTACCAACCAGGTTAAAGAGCAAGTCACCCCCAACCCTACTTGCTCCACTCCCACTTCCTGTTTTAAAATTGTAACAAATACTGTTACCCAAGAGGGCGGAGCCACTAACAAATAACACGCACAGGCTCACGACGACATTTCAACATCATAATGTACCAGCTAACATCATAGGGTACCTCTTAGCCAACAGCGACGGCAGATTTGAATTCAAATGCAGCGCAGAGTTTTTACCTGAAGAGTGCACAACAGTGGCAGTTTTAGGCAGAATATTTAAATTTCAACTAAGATGCACTAAATTTCCAAAATGCGTCTGCAGCACGATTAGATACTCATTTAAAAAGTTTATCAGCAAAAAAAATAAAAAGTGGATTTGGGGGTGACTTGCTCCAACAGTCTTGCCAAGGGCACAACAGCAGCATTCTGTGGTGGGAGCCGGCATTAAACCTGCAACCTTCCGATTACTGGACAACCCGCTCTACCGCTGTCGTGGTCGCACCGACCTTATGTTCATCTTCACCGCAAATACATGTGTATAGCTTCTCTTCCAGGGTTCAGTAAAGGAAACCTTTCATCAGATTAACAGAAAAACGTTTGAATTTTGAGTTTTAACTTATAGAAAAATCCACCCTTGAGCGCTCACGTTGACTCCTTCAGTGCTCCCATGGTAAGTTTTGCACCCTGAACAAATTCCTGCAGTATTTTAGATACAGTCAGGAACATTAGCGCTGCTCCTGACTCTCCTAAGTGAACACCTTAGCCCCCGTTACTCCACTGCTGCTTCTCTGTGTTCCCCTAACAGCTGAAAGAGTTAAGAAGATTTGTCAGCTCGGTGGCAACCAGCCAGCCGGTGAGGGCGGAACCGGTTTCCGGTGGCCAGAGGCAGGCGGCTCACTTGCCCAGGATTAAGGGGGATCGAGAGAGATTACCACCCTCCCTCTTGTTCCTCTGTTGCTCGATGAAAGCGCACGGCTCTGTCCACCCTCATGGGAACAGTTCCACTACACGCTCGTTTTTCCTCCTATCTTTAGAGGACGTTGAACCTGACGGAGAAGGTGGACAAAGGGCTGGACAGTCTCAAACAGCCTCCGGTGTGGAGGTAAGGTGCTTCAGGTTGATTATTTGAAGAGCTTAGAGGAAGGCCTCAGATCTACCTGTTTACTTCTCCATCAGCTGGTCCTACTTAAAACACCTTTCCAGCAGGTCTCTTCTTTCCAGGACAGGTGTGAAGGTTTATCTCACCTGCTGCATCCCGGTGGTAAGAGGTCACTCGGTTGTTCTGTTTTATATAATGAGCAAAGACCATTCATTATCCAAAGATACCATCAAGTTTCAGCTGATGGTTACTTTGGTTTCACCAGAGATTCTAGTTTGCTGCCATGAAGTCTCCCATTAACCCTCCTACTGGGACAGCTGGGAGTGCTTATTCCTAGTTCATCCTGCTGCACTTGTAGCATCACGTTCTTCTGAGTTGGGAAGCTACAGTAAGATGGAGATCTTTGCCTCATCTGTAAGGCTGATCCCATCCTAACAGAATGCTGCTGTTGTGTCCTTGGGCAAGACTCTTAGCCCGCCTTGCCTGCAGGTGGTGGTCGGAGGCACCTGTGTTCAGCAGCCTCGCCTCGGTCAGTGCGCCCCAGGGTAGCTGTGTTTTCATGGTAGCTCAATCCAACCAACGTGTGAATGACCAATTATGTTGTAAAGTGCCTTGGGGGGTTGTAGAACCCTAAGAAGGCGCTACTACAAATACAGGCCATTTCCCATTTTACCATATTTTATCATTTCATTAATAATCCCATGCTTACGGGGGTCTGAAGCTCGGAACACAGATGGACCGGTAAATTGAAGGCTTATAATTTTGGTTCCGCTCGTTACCATAACAGACTAGAGCAAAACCCTCATTACAGCAAACCTCCTGAACAAGACATGCAACGCAAAATGTCACTTCTGTCACCTCCGGCTCGGAGGAGCCTGTCACAGCCAAGATAAGGTTCTGAGGTTCTCAAATAATACACCCTCCTCCCTTTGTTGAGATGAAAACCACTAACAGGATCGGGGGGGGGGGGGCTCATGCTGGTGGAGTCCAACCAGTGACGGCACCAAGCTTGGCAAAAACATGGGCAGTGGTCTTGCTTTGGTTGCACAAAGAATGGATAGCCTTTAAAAATGGTGCATGTAGGGATGTAAAGCTTTCCCATGTCTACAAAACACGAGTGGACATGGAGGACCAAAGCCCCATGGCCCTCTCAGCAACTGTGGTAACGATTGGGTCTGCTGTCCTACAGCAGCAATCTGGAGTTTTAATTCTTTCAGGGATTATGTATGATTCTTTAGGAATATGCAAAAGTGACAGTCTTATCCTGTATTATTTTTAAAATATTGCCGATACATCAATTTTATTTTGTTAAGCCCATCTCGTTGAGTCCCATGCAATTTGACTAGAGCACCTTTCAGCATTAGCCAATAGTGTTAGACATCTGTATACGGACAGATGTGAATCACAGACCATGTGCACGTTGAGGACGTACCTAGAATGATGCATAATTGTGTGTGTGTGTGTGTGTGTGTGTGTGTGTGTGTGTGTGTGTGTGTGTGTGTGTGTGTGTGTGTGTGTGTGTGTGTGTGTGTGTGTGTGTGTGTGGAGGACACACAGACCACAGATGTTAAGACACGGAAGCTCTTAGTCATGCATGCCTGGAGGGTTCCATCCCAAATCCAGCACCCTGAGACTGTACACTAGCTGTAAGGAAGGAGACTGAGGACTATGAGTGTGAGAGCCACTGTCCAGGATGAAACATCCAAGATCCATAAGTACATCAAGGACAAGGCCCCAACAGATGATTGACTCAGTGAATGTCTCAGACAATGATGAACAGAGGAGATGCTGGAAATACCGTCGTGGTATAACCACTACATGGGATGTACCACTGACAGAAAGCTGAAGTGGCCAATATCAAGAAATCTTACCAATGGCTAGAAAGAGCTGGTCTGAAGGACAGCACAGAGACTCATCATGGCTGCACAGGAACAAGCCCTGAGCACCAGAGCAACAGAGGCCAATACCTACCACACCAGAGAAGACCAAAGGTGTAGGCTATGCAAAGAGCCCATGAGACAATCCAGCACATACCTGCAGGGTGGAAGATGCTGGCAGGGAAAGCATACATGGAACGCCACAACCAAGTGGCTGGCATCGTGTCCAGAAACATCTGTGCAGAGTATGGATGGGAAGCCCCAAGGTCAAAGTGGGAAACACCCCCTAAGGGGGTTGAGAACCGGAGAGCCAAGCTCCTGCGGGACTTCCAGATCCAGAAAGACAACATGGTGATGGAGAACCAACCGGACATTGAGGTGGTGGACAAACAACAGAGGACAGCCTTTGTGGTTGATGTGGCGATACCAAGTGATGCAATATCAGGACAAAGGAACATGAGAAACTAGAGAAGTACCAGGACCTCAAAGAAGAACATGAGAAAGCCTGGAGAGTGAAGACTTCGGTGGTGCCCGTGGTCATCGGGGCAGTAATCCCCAAACTGGAGAAGTGGCTAAAGCAGATCCCTGGAAAAATGTCAGAACATCAGTCCGGAAAAGTACAGTTCTTTTTTATGAATGAACAGCAAAACATGAGAGTAATAGTAGTAAAACAATGTGCTTTATCTCTATGGGCTGGCTAGAGGTACACGTTCATGAGCAAGAAGCATTGCTTCCAGCTGTAATCGTGGATGTGGGGAGAGGGGCTTAAGTTGTAATACATTTGGTCCACCTCTAGATGGTGCCTCTGAGAAAAACTCTGAGTGTCTGCTTTAAGTACTTTTCCTGGGAAGCTGAGGAGGGTGATTCCTGATGCACTCTGAGACCATTACTCTGGTCTTCTGGCAGAGTTGATCAGTCTAATCTCATTTCATTCACAGTCTTTTGATGTCACTTCAGAAGCCTTCGAGTGACACGTAACAACAGTGAGCCGTGCTCAGTCTTGCAGCACCTCAGTAGAGGTTAGAGTTGGAGTAGGCTAGAGCTGGAGCAGATAAACACAAAATGCAAACTAAACCCCTCTGCACTGCACGGAATTTTTAATTTTTATTCTTTGGAACAAATTTAGAAAGTTTTTGACTTTATTATGTAGTTTGTTGTAATTTTTACCTGCCTTGAGACTGTGGGTGTAAATAAATCTAATCGGATAGTTTTTGCTAAAGTTCTACTTGCTGAACAAGAGAAGACATAAAATGAATGAGAAACACAAAGCTGGAGTGATTTTGTCTCGTATCCTTCCGTCCCTCTGATGTAAATCCGTTAATCTCCAGGTTTACTGACCCTCCTGGTGAGTGGTGAACAGGTGGTCGGGATCAGAGGTGGAGGGTCCAGCGATCATGAGGCAGGCGGTGGAGGCTCAGGTGTTAAACCCTCACTTAGAGCTTGGAGAGCAAGGTGAGAAGGATTTCATGTTGCATGGATAACATTCTGCTTGGTTTCAACCTGACTCAAAGGTTTTTGTGCTGCAGGTCTTCGTCAGATCCTGTCTGATGTGATCGAGGAGGTGAGGCGTTCAGTCGGCCAGGATATCGACGGAGCAGAGGTCCTCCACAGCCTGCTGACCTCCTCTTGGCTGCAGTCGCTCCTCAAGGTCTGAAAACGTATTTTCCTCCCAACAATGAGCACCTTGTGAAACAGAAAACTGGTCTTAAATAACACTTCTCCACTTTCTGAAGGCCTTTCTTTGATCTATTGTCACCGTTTCACTGATTTTCTGTACTAAAGGTTTCCCTCACTCAAGGGATGAACCACTTTTGTCAAAATGTTAAATTCTGCAAATAACATGTTTTAAGTTGGATCTTTTAGACACATTTCAGTCCCATCGTTTTAGTTTAATCTTTTTGCATAATAATACCTCAAGAAACCCAAGGACACTTTACAACAAGGCAGATAAAATGGACCAAGAACAACATAAACATTTAAAACACGGTTGTTTGTCTGAACAGGTGGGTTTTGAATTTTAATTTAAAAATTGAGAGAGAATGAGTGGCATGGAGGTCAGCGGGGGAGAGAATTCCAGAAGTGGAGAGCAGTGCAACTGAATGCTCCACTCCCCATAGGGACGAGGCAAGTGGGGGGAGCTGAAAGTTGAGGAGCAGAAGCAGAGCAAAAAGAGCGGGCAGGAGTGACTACGTGAATGAGATCAGATACAGTGTATAAGATGGAGCCACGTTATGACGAGCTTTGAAAGTCATGAGGAGAATTTTGAAATGAATTCTCTGTTGAGAAGCAGAGTTGTTGCAGAATGGGGGTGAAATGCTGACAGGTAGGAGTCCTATTGATAACGCATGCATCAGCGTTATATAGAAGTTGGCAGTTTCTGAAGGGATTACCTGGAGAGACCAAAGAGAAGTGAGTTGAGGTAGATATCTGGACTCTAAACACAGAAATAGCTAGGCTGTGGACGAGGATGGCAGTGGCGAGCGAAGTAAGAGACGGACAGAGACGGAAAATCTTACGTAAATGAAAATTAGCACACCCGGTAATATTACTGATATGAGATTGAAAAAATGGTGAACTGTTGAAGATGACACCCAGGCTCTTAACACAACTGCTGCGCTGCCAAAAGAGATGGGGAAACTTATTTTTAGAACTTTTCAGTTTTAGAAGCAATGACTTTCTTGAAGACAGGCGGTATGGAGGATGGTGAAAGTGAGGGTTTTGTAGAGAGGTAGAGATGGGTGTCATTGGCGTAGCAATGAAAATGGTTGTTGTGTTTCCAAAAAGCGTGGCCTAGCAGAAGAAGGGAAATGATGAAAAGAAGGCGCCCTAGGACAGAGCCCTGCGGCATACCAGCAAGAAACAAGGAAGACGGTGGATTTATAGGATTTCAGTTGAACAAATTGTGTGTGACCAGAGAGGTAAGAGGTGAACCAAGCAAGATTTAATACGGTGCTGGTAAAAGGTATTTTCCTCCTTACGTGTTTCCGTGTCTGAACACGAAGCAGGTTAAAAGATCTCAGAATCAACGCACTGTGCCCCCTTCTAAAGATATCACATTTCTACAGTACTGGATCTTTGATTGGGAATCACGTTGGCGGTGCTAAATACTTTTGTTTTTGTCATGAAACCATAAAAGTGATTGAAGTTGTAATAATTTGATGTTTTCAGGTGTACGAGTGTCTTCAGAGGCACCTGAGAGAGTCTCCAGCTCCAGTTCTAGATTACGCCTCAGGAATGTCCCTTCAGGTCCTTTTTAATGGCTTTACTCCCTGTGTTTGTGTGTTTTCACACACTGATTGTGTGGTTTGTTTGGTGTGTAGCTGCTGATAGACATCAGGTCGGTGCCCTGCTGCTCCGAAGAGGCCAAGGAGCTCTACTGCCTGCTGCGTCAGCCTCACCTGCAGGTCAGATGATGACAGTGGAAGACAAGAATCTTAAAGTAAATTAAGTTTATTCTTAAAACCCTAATGCTGACTCATCGCACTGCATGTTCTAGGCCCTCCTGTCAGCTCATGACACAGTGGCCCAGAAGGACTACGATCCCGTTCTGCCTCCGATTCCCGAAGAGCTTCCAGAGGACGAGGAGGCGACTCGGATCGTCTGTCTGGTGAAGAACAACCAGCCTCTGGTAAGTGAGACCGGCGATTAATACACAAAATCATTATTCTGAACACTATTTAATTACGGAATAACTAAATGTCCATCCTGAATAATAATTATGAATTGAGTTATCATCTTGGTGATGATATCATCATACTGAGACGATGATTTAATCAGTTTGGGTCAGTTCACCCAGCAATCACACAACAAAGGTTGATGGATGGTCAGACGGATGGACGATCTTTTAATACAGATGTGGCTAGACCTTCTGAGACTAGATGTTGGACCTTTCCAATTACTCATAACCAGTATATTTATATATTTCTATGTTCATGTTTCGGATGTTTTTTATCTTCTACATCTGTGATCCACAATCCTTCTGCTGCATGTTGTTTTGTTCTCAAGGCTTTTATGGATTTTTTTAAAAGGTTCTTTCTGATTAGCTCTGAACCTGTTCAGTGATTCTGTCGTCTCACAGTGCTGCGGGTCACCTTTTGCTTCCCGTATGAGAAGCTTCAGATCAGGGCCTGGTTCAGCCTGGAGTTTTCACTCAGACGTGGTGCAGAGTCCCGCCGTGGAGAGGAGGCAGCAGTTATCGTCTTGTGAGGTCCGACAGAGCGGCTTCCAGCCGACCAGTCGGTGCAGGTCGGGCTGTCGCAGCCCGATGAGTCGCGGTCGACTCTGTTACTCTGATCTGATCTGCTCCACGTCCTCCACGCCCACCATCTATGGCTCTGGGATGGGTAAGAAAAGATCTTCAGAAGGCCAGGGAAGTCTTGAGTCTTCCTCATCTCTCCTCTTTCATCGATCACTCTTCATTCATCACTCCATCCTCTCCTCTCCTCATACGGATTAATGATGTTTCTTTTCTTGAAGATGGGCTGGACGGTGCAGCTCAGCCCGGACCGTCCACCAGCACTCTGTCACATCCCTTCTATCCCAACGTCACAGATTACCTCCAACCAGGACTTCCTCCGAGTCCCCACATCCACACCGCCCCTCCGAGCCCCATGCGCCCACGCTGGCTACTGGAGGAGAACCTCACAGAGCTCTCTAAGCAGGAGAGTCTGGATGAGTTGAGGACCACAGTGCAGCTGGCTGCCAGCTCCTTGGAGACCAGCACCAAAGACATCAGAGCCCTCGGAGAGAACATGGCAGCTGCCACGGAGCTCATGACAGAGACTGTACAGTCTCTAGTTCTCCTGACTCAGGGCGTAGACCGTCTGCAGTCACTCCTCACCTCCTCCAGGACTGAGATCAAGAGAGGGAGTTGTTCAGGTGCTGATCGGTCTAGATGTTCCTCCTCCTCCAGCAGCAGTAGCTCCCTGGAAGCCCCCTCCACCTCTCAGACCATTCGCAGTCTCTCTGGATCCTCCCATGGATCTCCTCAGTCCAAGGTGGAAACAAATCGTGCTCCTCTTCAACAGAAAAAACAGAACTTCTCCCCAGGGCCGATCACAAATGGAGTTCTGGATGAGCTGAGCTCTGTGAAGGGAGGGCGATCAAACCAGAGGAAAAAGAAGAAAAAGAAGAAACGAAGACAACGAGTGGCCTCACAGTGAGATCTTCAGATATTTATGTTCACTCTCACTGACATCTTTTGTTTCTGTGCTTCCATTTGTCCAGAACTTTCCATTTGTGGAATACATTCTCCAAAACGTTCTTCCATTTCCCCTCAGAGTGCCTCCATATTTGGTCAGGACCTCCACCAGAACTCATCCCTTAGTTGTTCTGTGTTTTTGGGCCTTGACCGAAATAAAACCGTGTTTCTGGTTCAACATCGTGATGATGTCAGCTTTTCTGTTCCAGGGAGCGACTATAAAGAGAAACGAGATCACAGGAGAGATTTTTGTAGCTCGTGTGATCCACGGAGGGCTGGCTGAACGGAGCGGTGAGGACACTAAGCTAACTTTAACTCTATAAAGTTTTGGAAGTCCTAACTTTTTATTTATGTGTTCAGGTCTGCTCCATGCGGGGGACCGCGTCATAGAGGTGAACGGGTTTTGTGTGGACGGGATGGAGCCTGAGCAAGTCATCCAAGTAGTGGTGAGTTTCTATTTGAAGCCATATTATCCAACTTTTTCATATGTTTAAATCATTTTCTTGAGCCAGTAAGTAAAATCACCATTTACAGAGTTAATGAAAGGTCACCCAGCCCCTATCGTCTCTCGTGGTTGGAATATTGCACTTGCAACTTCAGAGTGACGGGCCGTTCTGTTGCGAAGCTGACATAAATGGCGCTGCAGTCTGCTTCCAGCACGTTTCCTGCATGTTTTAGATCAGGAACACAGCAGAGTTGTTTGATCTAGTGATGAATCACTCCTGTAGATTCTAATGAAGGCTGGGGAGACATTTCAGCTGACAGATTAAGGTGTTAAAAAGACAAACGCACAGCGAGGAGTTAAGTTACTCAGTTAACACATTGTAAAGGTGTTTAGTTACCTAGCAAAGTAACTGTAATGTTACTTTCATGTTTTATAACGCAGTTATGTTCTATAACATTGATAACGCCAAAGATTTTTATAACTGAATGACTTTTATCATCTCGAATGAACATGTCAGATATCTGAAAAATTCATTCAGTAAGAATGCTCTCATGGATATCCGGAATGTTCATTCCTAGTAGGAATCATAGAATTATAGATATCTGGAATACATATCCTGTCTGCCTGATAAATGTTAAAAAGGCCACCCTGATGTGTTTGGCACTGTGTCTTCATTTTTGTCGTTTGTAACACCAGCTCAGGGTAGGATGGGGGGTGCTGGTACACCTGATGTCACTCACTTGAGCTCCTCCAAGAAGGAGCCGGCTCCGATCGGCTCTAGGAGCCATTTCATTTGCGTCCAACACTAGTGTGGCCATCAGAAAGCCTGACAGCGCTATACTTTATCCTACCACATTGTAGTAATGCATCACTTTCCACGCCCAGTAACGATAACTGCGTTGCAACGATGGGAACATTAACGAATTAGATTCTCTTATACCTAAAAAAAAAACACTGTTAGTTCTTCTAATAGTTAAAGTGACAATGTGTATTTTATAGGGACGTTTCAGACGAGTATCCGGTACGGATAAAGCATTTTTGATGAATACGAGCATGAAACGAGTAAAGCTATAAATATCTGTAATCGTGCTGAAGGAAAATCCTCATTGGGTAACTGGCTGTCTTCATGCTCTGTGATTGGCCAGTCAAATGGAGCGCCCGCCCCTCCCTACACACAAAACTGCAGCCGGCCGGGAGCGCAGTCCATCCGTCTTATCCACGCACACACACAGACAGTAACGGATCTCGCTGTGATTGCTTCACTGTTGCTCATGTTTCTTCAGTTTTCCCTAGGTTTTCTTCAGCTCGCCTCTTTTTAGGTTGAATATTTAAAGTTACTTTTTTCGTAACTTATGTGGTGCATTTGACAAGACAGAGCTGACGTGCTGTGTTACTACCTCCGCTCCGGTCGGGTTTTTTTTAAATTTTTTTTAACTCCCTCTCTCTCCCTCTCTCCCTCTCTATCTCTCTCTCTCACACACACACACACCTTAATCAACATTGTTTTGTTTAACTTTGTGTGGGAAAATGCCAAGAACGTTAAGAAAAAAATCAGTTTAATCAAATTAAAATTAAAAAATATATATAAAGTTGTGTCTGGTTCTAGCATTTCATATTTCCTAGTTCCTACTGCATGAGCTCAGATGTATTAATCCATGCACTTAAATATTAATGTTCTGATTTTATTGAAACACTTGTTCTGAAATAGTTCCTTTACTATTGTGATCAAAAATATTTAATCTCAATTCTGAGGCTGCTCTGTAAATAGTTTTCAAATAAACAATACACATATCAACTTCTGATCAGTCCTTATCAATTTCAGACTTAAAATAATATATTGATGTAAACCACACCCACTTCTGGTTAAACCACGCCCACTTCCGGGTTATGCCACGCCCATTCCAAGTACAGATACAGACAATTTAGTTGGTTGAACAGATACAGATACAGATAGTGGTGTACTCGCTCATCCCTGGTATTTTCCCTGGCCATAGGGGGCAGTACATGCTTAAATGATTGCAAGCAAGCATTACGTTTGTGTTCAAGTAAGGCCTTGCCGACGGATGGCCATTAGGGTCAAAAATCTCTGAGAGTGCAACCTCCAGCAAAATAACAAGCACATCAGACTCCCTTTCATCACAGGCAACAAGTGGAGGTAAATGTCTAAAACAACAATGTTTATTTATGGTGAAAGTTTTGTGATCATTAGCCACAAATCGGTAAATGCATTTTGCCCTCATGGGCTTCTGTAGAAGGAAATATGGCGTCCAATATGGCGTCACCCAGAGACTTAGACCCGCATTTCATGTGTTTTAGAACAGATTTCTATGGTTATATGTTATGAAACTGCCAATATTTTTCATCGACTGGGCATCTTTAATTCATTTACAACAACATCTTGATGGATATTTCCAGAGATTAATGGTAAAAACTGCACATTGTCACTTTAAACCAAGCCTTTACAATCACCCGTCTTATAGAAAAACACAAGTTTATGTTCTAATGTGGATGATTACATTTAAGGTTTGTTTTTGATAATTTTTGTGTCCAATCAGCAAGCTTGCTCTCATGGAACCATCATGTTTAAGGTGATTCCCATCACAGAGAGACCTGTCCACAACCAGACCATGGTAAGCACTATCTCACACACACACACACACACACACACACACACACACACACACACACACACACACACACACACACACACACACACACACACACACACACACACACACACACACACACACACACACACACACACACACACACACACACTCACACATACACATTCACACATACACATACACACACACTCACACATACACATACACACACACTCACACACACATACATACACACACACACACACACACACACACACACACACACACACACACATACACACACACACACACACACACATACACACATACACATACACATACACACACACACACACACACCTTCTAACCCCTCACACCCGTGTCGTTTCAGCTGTATGTTCGGGCCATGACTGACTACAGCCCCCAGCAGGACCCCTCCATCCCCTGCATAGATGCTGGGATGAGCTTCAGGAGGGGGGACATCTTAGAGATCGTTGACCAGACCGACACCCTCTGGTGGCAGGCCAAGAAACTACAGAGTAACTCGGCCTGTGCTGGACTCATCCCCTCCACAAACCTGCTCAAGCGGTCTGATCAAACACTTTATTTGATGCATGAAATCACTGCCTCTATAAGACTTTCTTCTTTTTGAGAACTAAACCTATGATTTGAACAGTTTGGGGTAAAACCAGATTTTTGTCTTGTAATATAAATGAGCTTTGTTTAAACAGAAACAAGACGTGCATAAATGTTAAATCTTTAAATGTTAGAGATGTTTGATTTTCTATAAACTATGATAGCTTTGGTTTTTAGGACATTTTCAGCTCTGTTGTTGTAACAGGAAGCAGAGGGAGTTCTGGTGGTCTCAGCCCTACCAGCCTCATGCCTGCACCCAGACCCGTGAGTTCCTCTCTCACTGACCTTTAAAAACCTCCCAACGACTTTTCTGACTTTCATCTTTTGTTTGCTTCACAGTGAGCACCGTCGATGAAGGTAAGAAGGAAACAAGCTGAAAAGAGATCAGCTCTTTCAGGTTTAAAGATTTGACCTGTTTTGTTATCATCCAACAGAGGATGACATGATTGCCATTGATGATAAATGTGTCGAAGCAGGTAAACTTTAATATTCCGAGTAATTTGCTACACTCTTAGTTTTGGGGGGGGGGTCTAAAATCCTGTTTTCTGTTTATTGGGACAGACGAGGAGGCGTTTGAATCTGGTAGGTAAGTTTTTACTGAGTTCTTCTGTTTTGTGACTGAAACCGACTGATTACATTATCTTTGGTCCTTCATGGAAAACGTTTTTTTCCCCTCCCCAAATCTGAATGTTTTGTGATGGGAAAACATCAGAGGAGCTCATAGAAGGTGAGAATAATTCATTAATGTGTAATGCCATCTGCCTGACGGGAGTAAAAAAAGTAGAAATGCTATTTAATTGTAACTCAAAATAAATTGTCTGTGTTCATAAGTATATCTTTGGCGTTAAACAGTAAGATGCTTAGGGTTGCCGTGGCTACCCAGAGTTCCTGTCATCACCGTATATATGTATATATTGTTGGTGAAAGGTGAAGTAAGTTCAGGATGCCCCTCCTACTCACCTGAATATGTTATTTTAAGCATCAAATTACAAATTTCAGCTTCAGCTAGAAAAAATGACCAACAGCCGACTGCAGGACTCAACTCCTGGGAGAAATGACCTGAGGTGTATTTTCTATGCCATTAATCAGGATATTGTCCCGTTGTAGGGGTGGGGCTTATAGCTCATACTATTGACCCTTTGCACGTGACGACACGCCACTCATGTGACCACCCCCTTCGCCATGATGGACGGCAAAAAGACAGTTTACACCCATAGAAACTCCAGTGAAGCTAGTCAAAACAAGCCAGTTTGTAGCCTTTTATTGCTTTTATTTAGTTGATTTGACAGTAAAATGGTTTTAGCTTGCTGCGTGGTTGGCTGCACTGAGAGACAAGGACGTAAACTCTACTTGTTTAATCTTTTTAATAACGTTGATGGAGACTGAGGACGGAGATGAACTGCAGCGATCAATCAAGCGGACTAGCAGGCGTCAGATTTGCAGCGAACATGTTTTTGCCGGGTAAGATTAACGTTCATTTATTTCACGAGGAAGACAGGGACAGGGTAAATGTGATGTGTTTATACTAGTTATTGATAATCCTGATGGATGGATGGGTATTTCACCACGGAGGCTGCGCTCCGTCCACTGTAGTGTAAAGCGAGACAATTATTAACAATATTAAAGCTCCGATGTATGGTTACGTGTGTTGAAATTACGTTATTTATTTATATGAGCGTCGGCGTTCAGAGATCTTCTCATTCCGGTGTGAGAGCAGCAGCTGAACCCGGTAACACCACCAGCAACAGAAGCTGGTAGGGATCCGGACTTTTTAAAAATCAGCTTTGGTGTAAAGTGAAACGCTGTTTATAACATAATGTTATAAATCCAGAGGGGTGAATTTAGGCAAAGTCAGCAACATGTTTACATCGGTGATGCAAGCAGAGAGAACGTAAGCTAACGTTGGTAAGCTAGTTAACACACCGCTCTCTATGAGCCCCCGCTAGATGCACTACTTCTTCTGATAACTGAACTGGGCATGAACTAGTTGAAGGAATGCTGGAGGAGTTTTGTCTTTGTTTTGATCGCAAAAACAATTTCAGGCTCTACTTTTCCCTTTGTTTAGTAATCGTGTCGCTCACTGTTTACATGCTTTTGCCGTCCAGCATGGTGGACCCATGACGTCGGTGCAAAGGGTCAGCATCAGCTAAGAAAGAGAACCGATGATGGGATTAAAATGTATTAAATAAAACTATATGAATACCATAGAAAATGAGATTGGCTGTTTTAAACAAATTTAAATCTTGTTTATAATCGGACTAACTCATCAGCCCTAGTGGATATAAACCCCGTTTCTCTGAACAGAGGTTGTTCTGGAAGGCTTCTGAAATAGAATAGAACGTACTTTATTGATCGCACAGTGGATACATTCTCTTGTTATTGAAATGAGAAATGAGTACAAGATCAGGTTTTCATTACTTTTATTATGAAACACACAAAAAAATGGAATTATTTTTATAAATTTCCCACATTTTGTGTTCTTGTAATGTGATGAAATTTTCGTTTCATATTTTATTTAACCGGTTTATTTTACAGGATATTTCTCATTTCTCTATTATTAAGATAAGAGATAAGATAAGATAAAACTTTATTAATCCCTCGGGTGAGTTCCTTCGGGAAATTCAGTTTCCAAAAAAAGCAGCGCAACACCGACAGAGGTTACAGAACGTCAGAAATTATTATTATTTGGAAAAATATTTTTGAATGTAATGAATTTTTTGGTGAATTTTATCTTTAACCTTTTCTATATCGTCACCCTATGTCTTAACCATTTGTTTTTCCGTTTTTCACTCCTGGTTTTATCCCTGCAGAGGAGGATGACTTCAGCAGCAACATTGAAGGAATGTATCTGGGTAAATTTCTGAACTCATAAACAAGCTTTAATCTGTTCGTTTCCTGATTACTTGACCTTTAGTTCCATTTTATTCCACCATCAGCGGGCTTCAGGCGCAGCATGCGTTTGTGTCGGCGGCGCTCTGTCAGCACCACCCAGCTGTCCTGTCACACCCGCTGTCCCAGTAGCTGCTGCAGTTCGCTCAACAACCCGTTTGAAGAGGTGGTGCGGTACCAGCGCCACCCAGAGGACATGCATCGCCTTATTGCCCTCTTAGGTATTGATCGAGACTCATAGTTGTAGCTGTAAACAAGGACTCTAGCTCTTTCTGAGTGTTTTCCTATTTGAAAAATGAAAAACTAAGAAACAATTGCTCCATTCATCAGGTCCATCTGGTGTGGGTGTGAATGAACTTCGAAGACGCTTGATTGAGATGAACCCAAACATTTTCCAGGGAGCCGTACCTCGTACGTACAAGTCTGAAAGTTTTATAACTTTTACACTGAAGTCAGAAGATGTCTCCAATTTAGTGATGCTTAGAAAATAACAGAGGTGTGGACTCGAGTCACATGACTTGGACTTGAGTCAAACTCGAGTCATTATTTTAATCACTTCTGACTAGACTTGATAAACTCTGTAAAGACTTACGACTTGGACTTGAATGCCAATGACTTGCTACTTGAATCGACTTGCATCTGTTGACTTGATGATGACTTGAGCATATTTGATATTTTAGCACAAAAGTGGCACAACATGGACACAAATCAGTCTAGGTTCTCTAAATGCAGCAGCAGTTTGTTTATGATCAGTTTCAGTTGCACTTTCTGCTTGTTTGAGCAAATAAATGAAGCTTTAAGAAGCTTTAATTCTGCAATGTATTATCATAAAATTGAAGTTGGACAGATGACTTGATTATGACTTGAAAATTCAAAGATAAGGATTTGGACTTGGCCTGCACTTCCATATCACTGACTTTGGACTCGATATGGACTTGTTTGTCTTTGACTTGGACTTGACTTGAGACTTGTCTGGAAAGACTTGACTTACTTGTGACTTGCAAAACAGTGACTTGGTCACACCTCTGGACAATAATGTGTTTTTCTTTTAATAAAACAAACTAGACACCACAAGAGCTCCCAGAGGTTATGAGGAGTTTGGTCGAGAATATTACTTCACTAGCCGGGAGAGTTTCGACAACATGATCTACAACAACAGGTGCTGGTTTTTACAGGTTCAGTTTTGAAAGATTAAGTCAATTAGAATCTGCTAGTTTCATGAAAATAACAAGTATCTCCACCAGGTTCCTGGAGTATGGTGAGTACAAAGGGAGTCTTTATGGGACCAGCGTCGATGCTGTGAAAGAAGTCCTGAACAACGGAAAGATCTGCGTTATTGACGTTGAACCGAATGTGAGTCCCAACGCAGACTAGTTTTAGGACTAGAATAATATCATCGAGCCAAATTTTAAAAATTGCTTTGACTTTTTATTTTTATTAAATAGGCTTTACAGTCATTGAGGACTCATGAACTTAAGGCGTTCATCATCTACGTGAAGCCTCCTTCTCTGGAGTGCCTCAGAACCACCAGAAAGGAATCATACATCACCACCAACTACTATGTCAACCGACCATTCAAGGTTCGCTCTCTTAAGGCAAATTTTCATCATGCACACCAGATTTCATTCTTTTAAGTAGTTTAGTTAAAAAGATGTTAGACTTCTTCCACTGGTCTGTCTCAGATCCCTGCTCAGACACCCTGAGGTGTACCCCAAGGATTTGTACTGGGATCGGTTATTTTTATTCAGAAAACATCTTTCTTGGGCAGATTTGTAAAAGATACTTTGATGTTATTCAGATGATGCTCAAATTTATTTAACAATGAAACCAAACAAATTTTTTCCTGAAGATTAACTGACGTTCTCCTGAGGGACTTCAATAGTGGAGCCATACACCAGCTACACCAGGCTCACTCACACCACTCAGACCACACAACTTGCAGGTTCAACTCTTTATTGGGCTCTCCTGGTCTCATCTACGCACTCCCAGCGCTTGTCCCAGGTCCCAGAGTCAGAGTCAGACTCTTCTCCTCTCCTTTCAGTCTCCCTCTTCGTTTCCAGCGTCTGTGCTTATGAAGCACATCCTGCTGATTGGCAATTGGCCTCAGGTGTGTTCTGCCACAAATGGTCATGTAGACAGTAGACATGTAGACAGGCATAAAGGTGTCCATATGTGCTCTTAGCACCAGAATACCTTAGTCCACAGCTCAATGATCAGCTTCGTTGTCATTTATTCTGATCTGCGGCC